CTTCCACAAGCCTTCTGCAGAAGTTCCAGTCATTTGTCTGAGTAGGCAAATTTGAAGTTCGCATCCATTTGCCGTATCCCACAGTAATTTCAAAGGAAAGGTATTTCTATGTGGCTATGATATAACCAGAATGCAGAATAACCCCGCTGAGCCAAGTTTTAGTGAATTCTGTGACTTGAGCATTCTACCGTACTTCCCGTAACCCCGCTGTAGAGCGGTACTGTGAAAAATTTGTAATAGGATCGTGATCAGTTCACCGCATAATGCCACTGAGCCAATTTTGAACTATTTGACTTTCACTTGACTACCATAATCCTACCGTAAGTCCGCTTTAGCTTTGCAATCAGCGCATCGAATAACTCCACCAGACCAACTTCCAATCAATTCCGTGATATTTTTTTTGCCTACAGTGAATCTGCGGTGTCCCGTTTTGTGGTCCCTAGAGAAAAATGAATATCATATTCGTGATCAGTGTGCCAAAAAACCCCTTTGTAACCACAACCAATTTCATGATTTTCGCTTAATTATTGTATATACAGTAATCTTTCGGAGGACGTGCGTTATACCACACCTTCGCCGCCAAAGCTCGCCGTTATAGTCGGCACGCGCGCCGAGCTGGCTTACGGTTCCGCACCCATTTTGCATTGGTGCGCGTAAGCCAAGCGGCAATCGCGCGAAGCGCACCTTCGTCTAGCGTCGTCCCCGCGGCGTCGCGTCGCGATGCCGCGACTTTTGCGAAAAGTTGCATAAAGATTTTAACGCGCGGCATCATCTGTAGCACCGCGATAAGGTGCAAAATTGAAAGAAACTTCATTTTCTTCTTTTTTATTTGGTTTCGTGTTCCTATTAATTTTAAATTAAAACAAAGATATATAATGAAAGCGCGTAATAAAGCAAAGTTCAAAGGCTTAGTTAATTCTCGTAAATAAATAAAACCTTATATACAAATTGAAAATAAAGCTAAAGAGGAGATCGCCTTTTACCTAGAACGAAAGCAAAAATCGAAACAAAGACAAAATGAAACATTTTTATATAAAAACCTGAATAATTAGCGTTGCGTTATTTACAAATTTGTATGTTGCTGAGAATTCAAAATAATCTAAATCTCCTCATCGTTGTAGGCATTTGTCCTAGTAAGTTAAGGGCGCAGGTTATCATCGCCGAAGGGCTACTAACCTCAACTTGCAATATTTGCAGTCTTTTTATTTCATATTTGAAAATAAAACGAGTATAAAGCAGATTGAAAAAAATAAACAAGTCTTTTCAATTTTGCACCTTATCGCGGTGCGACGGACGATGCCGCGCCTTGAAATCTGAAGCAGCGATGTTTTCTGAGCGTTTTTATGCAAATTTTCAAAGTCGCAACATCGCGGCGCGACTCGCGAGCGAAGAAGCTGGACGAAGGTGCGCTTCGCGCGATTGCCGCATGGCTTACGCGCACCGGTGCAAAATGGTGCGGAATACCGTAAGCCAGCTCGGCGCGCGTGCCGACTATGGCGGGGAGCTTTGGCGGCGAGGGCTTTGTAGTATAACGCCACGCCGCCAATCTTGCTATGTGGCCGAATGGCGAAAAACGAACACGGTACTTGTGATCAACTTTTTGTAATCCCCAGGGACATTTCAGAAAATTCCGAAACATTGTGTTCAACTGTACACGACACCCCCCCCCCCCATGCTTGCTGAAACTACGACATGTACCCCGGAGATTTTTTAGCTGCACCCTCTCATCTGCACACCATTTCTCTTTCTCTAACCAAGTTCAGAGTTAACTCTGAGTTTCACAGGCGCCTGAAATGAGCGCCAAACTCAGAGTTAGCACGCACCTAAGCTACGCTTTTCGTTTCGCGTAGTTTCTTTGTGGACCGATTCACGCTAGGTTTACATGCTTGCGATGAACTACGTCTTGCGAGGTATCCTGCCGTAACACCCTTTCTTCCCCTTTTACTAGCAACCCAGACTTTGCGCCTTCTCGCCTCTAGTCGACATTTACTTGTAACTGTGAGTTGTGACTCCACCCCCATAGATCTTATTCTAACCACTACTTCTTTGCCCCCCCCCCCTACGCAACTTTCACATCTTCATTCTCATCATCGATTTAGCTACAAAATCAACACATCGATACCGATCGATAACCAAAGCCTATCTGTCAGATGTGCAAAAGCAGCGAAACAAATGCTTTCAATCGAACTATCAGCCGAAACTGATTTCACTGGTTTCCATCATGTACACTCCTTAATGATTTAGCACGTATTCCATCATCAATTTTTTTACAGGTTGTGAGGAGACTTCAGCAGCTGATTTCGTGCTATCGAGTCTTGCGAAGAAATGCTTGCTTGGAGATGCTTTGCTCTGGTGATTACATCAGCTCAACAATATAAGCAGCGGTTGTGTGGGAGTTTCAGGCTACGTTTCTGCCTAGCAAATGTCTCTATCGAGTCTACACTCTCTACATTTCAGAATTCTCCCACCAATCAAGGCATCGCTACTTTCGCGAATCCTTCTACCGAAAAAAATTCACCTCTTCATGTAAGAGACATCCGCGCCGACCACAATAAGACACCCTCCCGTTGCGAACGTACCTACAAAATCTATAAAACCTCTAGTACTGCATTTTACTAAGGCACGTAATATGAGACCTATATGTTCCCACTATGGCAACTAACCCCGCGTCCAACACATCGATGTCGACGAAAATGTCCTGTAAGCTCTACAGCTTCACAGTGTCAATTAGCTGGCAATCGGTTTAGACAGAGCTCCCACTATGGCTGTCAACCCCGAGTATCAACACGTATCGCATTGAAGACGTCACTTCCCGTAAGCTTTACAGAAACTCCACAATGGCAGTTAACTGACAATTGGTTTATTATAGACAAAACCCAATAGATACTCCTCACAAATAATCTTTCACAGTCATGGCGTGCATATTTGAGCACTACAAGCACTTATCTACGGGTGGAAGCGGGGAGGCTTACTAACTGTACGACTTTGAGATATCTGATGTGGAACACAGCAACGGTTCTTAGCACTCAGGATAGTTGTTTGCTCTTATTTACACAAAACATAGTTATAGCGAAGATGATGAGTTAAACTCACAGAGTAATGCTGAGGAGTCTACGACATAATGTATTATATCGAGTTGCCCTACGTGTCGCTTACAGACCGATAGTAACTATTCAAAAGGAAAGCTTATGCCCTATGTGCCGCTTGAAGATCGTATATATAAGAAAAACCAACTACTACTCCTACGAAGAGAAAACAACGAAATCAAGTATTTACAGGATACTCATGAGTGCCTTTCGAAATACGTGTGACCCTTTTACGAAAATATGCTTGTTCACTCGTTATGAAATTTGGCAGCGTATTAAAACGCATACCACTTGGCAGCAATCCAAAGTCAGAGATCAGTATATTTCATCGAAATTTCTCCGTCTGCTCTCTCCTCTTTTGCCGTGTTCCACGGATCAGGGGTGGCCAAATGGTAAACAACGAATCCAGAATATATTACGTAGTGATTAAGTCGTCCCGAGAGTATTTTCGCTTCTTTTGAACGGCTACCGCGATTCGCGCGACAAAGCTATATAGAAGATCTTGGTATCATTTGAATCTTTCGATTTTTTTTTCAAGCTGTTATGTCTCTACCAATGGATGAGCTTCTGAGATATCTTCAAAGTCTATATCTCATACTCTTATAAAAAAATCTGACTGTTTTTCTTTCCTCCATAACTTCTTCATAAAAAAAATGTATTCAAGCAACCAGAATTTACCATCTGATTCCTCCCATTTCTGCTCTTTCTACATTAGGTTCATAAAGGGCTTATCAATTGCAGAGTCGAGTGCACCTGCATCTCCGCTCCTCCCGAGCGGCCGCCTCGCCTGGACTATGCACCTATTTCACGAACATGCTCTCTAATCATTTTCGCACGCTTGATTAGCGATTGAAGCTCCGCCTTTCCCACGCTCGTTGTGGGAAAGTGATCGCAGAGCATGTTGATCCGACTCTGCAATTAATAATCCCTGTACGTGAATTGTCTGTAATCCATCCAAAACTTTTGAGAACAAACAAACATATTTTTTAGCCGGCCTAATACTAAAATGGAGTCTATAATCTACAATTTTTCCAAAGACGTCCTACAGTCAAATCATTGGCAGCTTGGTGAGGTTTAGCACTGGAACCGGGTCCCCAAGATTCCAATTACAAAAAAACAGCCAAACGATTCAGTGCAAGGATCAAAGTTACCCATACATATTCATAAAGAGAAGATAGAAGAGATCTTTCAAAACGGGCAATCTTCAAGAACACATGTCGTGAAGCGACGCGCACGACGTGAAGTACGCATTAAGTAAGAAATGACTTGACTGTATACGCAGGGTGTCCCAATAAATGTGATCATTGTTTGATCGCTAATTACTCTCATGCTTTCATGTCTTTCGTCGAGCTTGAGGAGCCATTCTGTAGAGCGAGGCTCAACTTAGATTTGCAGCATGGAGCGAATTAATATACACTCTTCATTACTGTAATCCTACGGTATGAATCTCGAGAAGGGTTTTAGGAAAGTGAAAGCGATTTTTGCCTTAGAAGAGGAATCGAATCAAACAAGCCAGAAATTCTTGTACTGAACTAATCAAAGTCGCTGATTCCGAATATGAGAATTGCACTTCACTGTAATACTTCTTTTATAAGTTATTTCAAGTTTAGGGTAGCAACTGTTCTTCCGATTTTCATCAGAAGTGTAATTACACCATTGAAAAAGCTCGAAAACTGGTAAAAAGTTATGTAGTGAAATCAGCACGCTTTTAAACCTTGCTGCACAAAAATTTTGAATTTTTTGAATTTTTTTTCATCAAAAGGCCTATTCCACAGTGACGCTAAATGGTGAAAGTTTATACCGTAATCCGACAGTAGGAGAAAGATGGGAGATTCGTTCCATGCTTTGAACCTACGTTGAAGCTCGTCCTACTGGATGGTACCTGAAGCTTTTATTAACGATCAAACAGTGTTCACATTTTCTGGAACATCCTATATAAGCGATTCACTCCAGAGCATAATCACTGCAGGAAAAGGTATTCTGAAGAATTGTCGAGTTTGTCAAGGCACAATCAAAAAACACCTAAATAGATGCAGCCACCAAATACATATACAACAAGCCAGGTGCATTCATAATGTATCTTTCGTAGTGTAGCAGTGAACGAGTTCTCGGCACACGGATCCAATCAATAATTGATTTCCATACGAAACCGCAACTGATGAACCTGATATCAATCTGCCATCATCAGCAAACGGTTCGGTGATCTCCCAAGTCTTGAAATCGCCTGAGAATTTAATTCGCAGAACCTGAAATACTGTGGAAAATACAACTGTGGATCGAATGCGATATCTGAGGTATTGATATGTTTTTTCATTTGAGGAGCGCTCTCCACGGAATTATTCACTTGATTTAAGTATAGGCGTTTCATCGCACGCACAGATTGGATGCTATTGCGTCCGACAAAGATAGTTCGTGCATGGGAGAGACAGCACACGGTATGAGAAATGAAAGAGCGCTCGATCAACGAGACGCGTGTGGCGTCCGCAGTACACCCTGTCTTTGCGTGCGATGAATAGCCTATACATATGGTGCGATTGTGCGCTTTCTCTGCGTTCAAAGCAGACAATTAAGCAGAATTCTGAGTACATAAAATTATTTCTCACATTGACTAGTCTTTCCCTACGATTGCTGTCACCCGAATAATAAATAATTATCCCTTTTCACTGCTATTATATGCTGTATGAGGACCAAGAATCCGTCAAGGCCGTATGTTTTTCTACCAAACTGCCAAAGCATACCTGTGACGGTGAACGGTAATGAGGATTGTCGCAATCACCAAGATGAGTATATGCCTCCCTCATTATTGGATGAGCACCCTGAATTGGTGATAATACACCATATGACTCGTAATATACATAATTTCAATATTTTAATCGCCATCTCCAACGAAAAGTAGTTTTGTTATAAAGGGACAGCATACTAGAGCAATTACCAAGAGAATGCTTTATACATAAAGGAACTCCAAGTCTATACAATTAAGGTTCCAATTTATTTCGAAAATGAGCCTAGGCTGTCACATAAACCAGGGTCAAACAAAATGATAGTTTTGATCTCTTAACGTGCTACTTCTAATGTTGAATCGTGGCAGAATGTTATTGAGAACATTGGAAAAAACTTCGATCATTTGTTACACTGTTGGCTTGCTCGATTTTGCTTATTTCCGCATTTAAAAGTAACGAAAAGTCTTGTTAGTCGCTCAGTCAACGTTTTCGCTAGAACTCACAGTCCATAGTACTCCGTCGCTATCAATGTTAAGATTGTCGATTGTGGTCTCCAAGGGAACATCAATTAAGCGCGAAAGCGATTGGAAATTCTAAACTTCGATAAAGAGAAAATAATTGATTTCAAGTTCAGACCACTGAACCTTCTTTACGAGGTACACGGAGATTACTCGGTTCGTTGATCGAGATATAATTACGTGTTTGCCATCAGGGTGCACTACGATACCGTTGGGGCATGTTGACTTTGAGAGCACCCACGAAGATTTCTGAGGTAGAAGATGATATACAAAAGCCAAAATTTTGTGCCGTTTACCTGCCCATCGTAGTAGACGACACTTCCTGTGGGGATCATCGAGAGCCAATGAATAAATTCTACAAGTTGTGACTGTGCAGAGCCATCATTAGTAAGCAAAAAGCTATCTTCTGACACCGCTACCAGATCGTTAGGTCTAAATACCTGCTTTTCGTTTATTCAGATTCATACGACGTTACAATAATGAACTTCCTACCTAATAAACTTATCGTCCTTGATGGTTTTGACGACATTGAGCTGTTTAGAATTACGATCATAGTCAAGCACCATTACATAATGCTTGAATTTTTTGGTATGACAAATAACAAATAGACGAATGTTTCCAGTAGATGTTTTGTAGTGAGAGATGCCGTGAGGATAGAAATTCTCCTGTAGAGTTGAGAATTATAAACAGTCATCTGGATGGGTTAGAAAATACTAGATAGTAGATTTTAAAAAATAATTTGTAGCCACCTTCAAGCAGCTTCTTTTTTATGTAAATTTCCCACACATTCACTGTTAACCTAAAAAAATTCTTTCGACGAATGACAAAAAGAGGGTTCAACGGGCTACATTACCAAAATAAAATTTGACTTGAAAGTTTTGCTTTCAATACACGTACATAGTGTGTAATAACCTGCACTAATCACTTTGAGCACACAATTGAATGTCGCTGAAATTCTCGCCCGCACTTATTTCTGATAGAAGCCTCGTCTACATGAAAATGGAACGCTCACCTGATCGTATGCACCGTTAATCTTCAATGGTACGGCTTTGTATTTTCCCGTTTGATTGAAGTCGTACAGGAGTATCTGGCCCTTCACATTCTGAAATACGCAGGAGTATAATGTGACCGATACTTTATTGAAATGTGGCTATAAAAGGAAGAGGGAAGAATGCTGACTAGAATTTGCAGCAATGGCAAAAAAAATAGCGAAAGCAAGTCAAAAAGATGTTTTGAGTCGATCCGAAAGTGGCCGCATTTTTCAGACCTATCCTCAAAATCAGATTAATCAACGCGTGAACACTGTTTGTTTAGAATATCAGATTTTTGTTTTACATGTTTTTGTTCCGATGATCGCTGAAATATTTTTCAGAAACTCCATCCCATGCTTTTCACATACCCTTACTTTATTTTTTAAAATGCCCACTTCAAACTTTTGGAAGATTTTGATAGTATTGGAATAAGCGAAGTAAGCGCATTACAACTAATTTTGTTTGTGTCTTGAACTCTGGCTTATCATAATTCTGTAGGAATATTTTTCCGAAAGTCTTTACCTTTGCGAAGTCGTAAAATACATAAACGCTCCAAACACCAAAAAATCTTTGAGTAAATGTTTAGGTAATTCGAATTTCGAATTTTCCGAATACAGCCTGGAGCGTGTCAAAAAACAAGAGTTGTAAAGATTTTAGCCCTGAGCCTTTACGAATTAAAAAGAAAAAAAGTTTGTCAGATAAGAAAAAACGGCATGACACCCTCTTTGTTCGCCATTGTTTGTGAGATTGGGGTGCGCAGATATGGAATTTGATAGGGTCAAAAAATCTTTCTCTTTTAAAAGCCAGCTATAGATCCCAAAAATTGCATTGTATCGCATTTTGTCTGCTGTATCCAAAAGTTACCAAAGCTCTTTCAAATGTCTGAAATGCGAGTAAATATTAGGTTGGTGCAAAAGGAATGGCCGATTTTCCAAGCCTTTTTTCAGGGCAACTTTTCCCCATCAGTTCTTCTTCTTTACAATAGATGTAGTATACCATCGCGATGCTGTTTTCATGCTCTATCTAACAATGCTTAAAACCGGCTTTCATCATCATTTCTTGTAAAGTTACTGAGCTTCAAATAACCGCATCCAAATTCAGAATTTCATTGCATTCACTTTTCCGGCCAGAATTTAAGCGCGTATCAATGGGATTTCTTCAAAAATTTAGCTCTTGTATTTAGTAGAAATTGTCTACATTATATGTACTCAACTGCATTCTTTGAAGTTATCCAGACTGAGGTATCGGCGCCCAAACATGAGTAGCTGCTGCGGTCATTTTATGACCCATTATTTTCTTCTGAGAAAGTCAGTCGCCGAAGCTTTGCTCAATTCTGTAAGCGTAGGGCTAGGACACTCATTAACAGTTTTTGCAAAAACATCCAGCTATTCAGTACGTAGGAAATCAGAAAATTCTATATTCCGGACACTTGCTTGTGGCGACAAGATAGGCCCTTATCATTTATACTAAAAAACATTGAAGGAAGTTATGAATTATCAAAAACAAGGTCCTAGCAGAAAAACCTTCTTTGTCTTTTAGTCCGTATTTCTCTTCCCTTTTATGGTTTGAGTATAATTAAGTATGCGCTGTATTGCGAAAGATTTGCTGCTTTTGAGGGTCTTTACCGCATTCAGAAATGTGGATCTTTTAGAAAGTTATAGCACGTCAAATTGAGAATTCGCGAATCGGCCATTCCTTTTGCACCAACCTAATAGCTTAGTTTAGAGAAGTGAAATAGTGGTTTGAGATCCGACAATTATTCAAACAATCATCGAAGGATCGAGAGAAAACATCACTGCTAACACGAGAAGAAAGTTTCATCGAATACGGTTTAGAGCGTTTGTCTAACAATATTCTCACTGACTTGAGGATTGAAGTAAGAAGAAACTTTTGAACCGACCAATAGGTACCATTACGTGACGATTTTGCATAGGTATATCAGAGCTTTTACTTCTTCTTCATCTAGTCCCCGAATCTTTTTTATAAAAAATTGCGATATACTTTTAGCCTGAACTCTACCTCTGCACGTTGGTACATGTACAGCACGCCTGACGATACAAAAGCAATGCCTTCATCTTCGATAAGTTCAATGTCCTCGGAGCCATGCTCTAAAAAGTTGAAATTTGTCAAGAGGCCATGTTATCACAAACTAACCAACTCCTTCTACTTTCCGGCATGGGCCAGGTCGATGATTGAAAACTTTTTTGTTGATATCAAGCAAAAGCCTGAACAACTAATGGGTTTTTCATTATGAATGTGATGCCTAGAAATCCTACAAAGTCAGTTCGATTTTCATCATTTGTTGAAACATCCACAAGCATCCACAAGCAAATAATCTGAATCCCAAGTCTATTGTTCAATAAATCTCGGCATAAATTTTATCTGGCCAATGGCCTACAAAAGCTAAGGCAAAAAAGTTGCCCACATGGAATCAAAATCATCTAAACCCCTTTCAGAAAACTTTCCCGAATTTTCGGGAAAGGGAAGCGTGCAAGTACAAGAATATAAAAGCCTCTGTGTTGTAAAGTACATATACTATAATCTTGTAGAAAAGGGGGGAGAAGAGACTAAGCGATAAATGGGGGGAATTGCAGAAAGATAGATCTAATGTTACGAACGTCTATGACATTAGTTTCGACATTTCAGAAATAGATGTGGCACTTTCACATGCTGAATGTCGTTTTCGGAAAGGAAGTGAAAGGAAACTTGAAAGTTCCCAGTGGTAATCACCGAGAATCTGCCAAGATACTAGCAAGCACAAATTCAAGGGCCGAAATCTAGCTCTGACGACGTTCCACTAACAGGTAAATTAACACGGTTGGAGGGGTGTAGGACGTTAGGCGACAAACCCAATTTTTTGGACCCCAAAGAACTCCCCGTGCAAAACGTCTCCTCTGCCAAAAACAGGGGGGTGGGGGTCGAGGCCGATACATTACCCGACGCCAATGAAAAAATGATGCATAGTTTTTAGTTACGGGATTTACGTTGCTTGCGTTTTGCACGTTTTGTCGCCTAACGCTTGCCCTCCCGGTTAGAGCAGGATAAGTGCATAAACCTGTGTGCGCACGATTTTAACGAGTAGAAACAGAATCTTTATGCGCAAAAAGATAAAAGTCAGCTTTCTACAACGAGTAATCATTATTGAGCCACCAAATTTGAGATGTACCTTCGCAACGACGATCATGAAAAATTATGTAAATGAAAGTAGTTGAGTGCTTTCATATTTTAGGTTGCTCCCGCGCAGCCTGGGAGCACCATGAGGTTGCACGAGACCAAATAAAGTCATAATGTTTCCCTTTCCTCGCATAGTTTTTCCAAATTTTTGCATTAATATGGTCCTCAAATCTACGGTCTACGTATGAATATCACCTTAACCCAAGTTTCGTCCCCTCTGCCTTGCTACAGCACTTGATGATCAGAAAAAACCGGCTTTTTTCGCCTATAGTGTCTTCATCTTTGATTTTCCTTGTCTTTTCTTCACTTCCGTCTCTCACTGTTGCAGACTATTAGCCGTACTTCTACAAGCACCACAAACGGTAATTCGTAATTGCAAAGTCAAGGAGATACTCGTTTCTAGGATGCTCGAATGCCACTTCTCGCTGGGATCAGGTAGGGGAGACATGCATATGCCCAGTGAAAGGATAGAAACATTACAGATCTTGATTGTTATTAAGGTTGACAACGGAAGCTACTATAAGATCTGATGGAAAAAAGATATTCGTTTAAGTTGACAGAAACCAAGTCTTTGACTATATTAATACCAACTCACAAGATTTTCATAACATATGCAGCTACTGCAGCAGAAGCAGCCAACAACAAAATGCTCCCACGCTTCATCTGCAAAGTATAAGGTCTGGCGGGATAAATAAAAATATTGGGCGTTTGTTCTATCATCCTTGAAAAAAAACATGGTAAGGTTGCGAATCAAACTAGCTGCAAAATCTGCAACAATTCAATCGGTTGCAATGCCCAGCATGCAATCAATAAAGATACACAGGTATCAAGTGGTTACAAATATTATGCAAGAAAATCGCCAAATGAGAAAAAAATTCTCATAATGATTGGTATGATAGGGAGTTGCATTAAACATTTACAGGTTAAAGATTAAAAGTGTTACAAACGCTCTGGCACTAGCTCGAAGCTTTCATGAAGTCGAGCAGATCACTTATTACAGAAGCTTTTTGATGAAAAAATTCCGTGCAGACCTTTAATTACTGATCACCTATCAAAATCAAAGCAACATCAAAAGAAAGAATAAATTTGGGGTGAAAGTACAGTCAGTTGTTTTCGTTAGAGTAAATTGCTGCAAAAATCGATTCTATAAAAGTGCGCAGTTCCAGTTACGAGTGGGCTTACTTTTTGTCCGAACCTATCTGTTTTCATCGAAAACAATTGTGATTTTGACGGGATGACTTGCCATATTTGCAACAGACGCAATTTTTATGAAGTTTGCTTTGAATACGTTTATTCATGTTGACTGTAATGCATTCTCCTAGAGTCCGACTGGCTAATTTATCACAGAAGTGAGGTAAAGATAGAAAGTCAACAAACATCATAAAACATTTTTCATATTATCAGCAAAAAGAGAATGTCTATTTTCAATGTCACTATGGCCTGTACATATAAGGCGCATTATTCGCTCCTATACTTGATGTTTTGGAACAAACTCAAAAACTCCATTCAACCATCGCGAGAACTAGGTTGGTCTTCTCTTCGTTTGTGAAAAAACTTGCAAAAACCCACGGAAAAGGTAGCCAAACGAGTGAATTGGGAAACACACTCACACAGAGCGAAACGTGTGACTATATGTAACGTATAGCTATAAATCGGACATAAAAATTCCCCGTTTTGTCTTATTGCGACAAAAATTTCAAGATGTAGTAATCGTACGCCCTACATACATACTTACATATCTATCGAATTTTCTTTTGAGATCGTAGAATCTGCCCACGTCAGGTTTCGAAGAAACTCGATACCAAGTAATTACTGCAAAAATTCAGAGCCAGTACTTCTCTCCAAGTATAACTAAGTACACTGAGCGAGCAAAAGTTTCAAAAAGATATTGCAAAAATCTTTCTTATCTCCAATCCATCAAATCTGGAAAATAGCCAACGACAATAACTACCAGGAGATGATATGAAGACCAAGCTAACACGGAAAATTTGAGCACTAACTGAAAGAATTCTAACAAGTGGACAACATATCTTTGGAGCAATTTTTGGCCAGAAGAATTTTCTGGAACGCATGTATAATTACTGCAAAATACTGCAAAATTTAAAGTCTTGTATATAGAACTACTTTAGACACCGAGCCTAAAACGAAAAAAAATAGAAAACAGGAACAGAAAACAACAACATTTATATCGATCGAGGGAGATAAAAATACATTTGTACACCGCTTCTTATTCAATGTGAAAGAATATATACAACAAATGGCTAGCGACGAGGTGTGCAGAATTTGCAGATTCTCTTATCAGCATGAAGTGTCATGATTGTCTAAGAAATGTCATCAGACGCTTTAGAAAAACTAAATCGGTATTGATGAGCAAAGAACTAGCTTTTCAAGGCTAATGCTTTTTTCTAAGTATTTCCGCAGTTCAAGTTCGAAAGAAAATGGAGGTAGATAAAGGAGGCAGTGAAAGCAGTTGTAGCAACAGACTTTCTAATTTTTCCATTGGAACGTCTCTTCTGTTAAAATATCGCAGTGGACGAGTTCTCTGCACACCGATCCTATGAGCAATTGTTTATTGTAGGGAATGGCGACAGAAGAACCCGTAATCAAACGCCCATCGTCAGCGAAGGGCTCGGTGATTTCCCAAGATTCGTAATCTTCCGAAAACTCAATCCGCAGCACCTAAAATCAATTGCTATAAATCAAAGCGGGGGGGGGGGACAATAGGGAAGGTAGAAAAAAGGAGAATTCTTGAGATTGATCTACATGGAGTTTGAATACGAAGCTTACTTTCTTCATTGAGCAAATTTTACATGTTTATAAGAAATTTCAAAAACGAAGTGGATATGTGAAAAAATATTTTAGAAGAAAAATTGTAGAGAATTATTACTCCCTCCTAAACTCGAAGCGTGATAATTACAAACGTATCGAGCTACCTGGGACGGTGAACGTTTTTTGAGGTTGTCGCAGTCTCCGAAAACTGCGAAAGCTTCTTTGAGAACCGGATGGGCTCCCTAAAATGAAAGTCTTTTATGATGACTCGAAATGAACTATCATATTTTATGTGTATAACATACAAATGTTTACAATACATACTTAACTCATTGACTCATGCGTGCACAGACCGCGCCGCATCGCCAAGCATGCGTTTCGCATAAAGAGTAGCTTCCTGCTACAAATCTAATGGAAAACGCGCTCTATGGTAAAAGGTACCGGGCATGACCCATTGCGTGTTTGCATCTACCGTAGTCAAACTTACAGTCCATAGAGACCCATCTGGAGCGACATAGAGATTATCGGCTGCAGTTCCCAAAGGAACATCAACAACATGGAAAAGCGTTAAGGTGTGCTAAAACTTCGAAAATCAATCCTTAAAGCATAAAACTGATAAATTAGGTTGCATCACCTCATCTACCCTGTAGACAGTGATCAATCTGTCATTGAAATGGGACACATAGAGATGTTTACGCTCTCGATCGAGGATAATGCCATTCGGAGAGACTGCGGACGGTAACAACCAACCACTTTCCTGAAAAATTTTCAATTTCTTAAACTCTATAGATTCGCCGTGTGTCAGCGCTGTGCCAACAAAGTTCCAGCGTCGTTTCAGCGCCGCGCCAGAGCTGTGCCCCGCTTTGATCGATCTATGATAAGACTGGCATAGGCAACTCTGGACGCCGCCTTAGTTACCAGAAGACAAACTGAATCCACCTTTCCATTAAAGAAAGCGATACTGCCACTTGGTCTCAAAGACATTATCTCCAGGAGATTTGTCATAGCAGTTTGTGCTGTTCCGTCGTTTGATATCATGAACGATTCTTCAGAAATAGCCATGATGTTATTTGGCCTGAAAATAATAAAAAATCGGCCACAAGGATGAAAGTAGAGCTACAGTGGGTACCTGATAAACTTTTCATTCTCCACTATTTTTACCAGATCTAACTGTCGCGTCCTAGTATTCCAGTCAAGAATCCATACAGAGTGTTTGAAGTCTTTAGTATGGTTAATAACAAATAATCTTATAACAGCTCGAGCAGTAAGGATATGTGAGAGGCCATGAGGGTTGAAATCATCCTGTAAAGAAATTAAGAAGTTTTTGCAAATAATAGCGAAAAGAAAAAAATGGTCCCAAGCACCTTTTCGCATTTGTTAGCGAAACTCTGTGCTCGCTAAAGAAGAAGAAGGTTAAGACAACAATTATCCGTAGAGCAGTCTACTTGCTGAAAATAACTTAAACAGTCACTCTCCCCTTTTATTTGCAAACGCATTCTCCTTGAATTTCGAGAGGCTCTGCTTCGTAAGTGTTCTTCTATAATACATTGACGTAGTCAATATGCGATATGTGCAATCAACTTCCTAGATTTTTCTCATTCCTGATTTTTATGATATGACTGGTACCTCTGCGAATTGTAGTGTGGTGCTCACCTTGTTGTATTCTCCTTGAATTTCGAGCGGCTCTGCTTTGTAGGTGCCCTTTTGTTTGAAATCATAGAGGAAGATCTGACCTCTAACGTTCTGTAAGCAAACCTCTGTAAAACAAAAGTGATTGTAGGTAATAAAATCTCCTAGCGCAATTTTTCTGAAATCATCGCAGTGCAAGCCACACCCAACCTATCAAACTCCGCCCATCCAAGTACGATGGCCCACCTTCAGAGCCGTGTTCCCAAAACCCGGTTTTTGGGGGTTTGCACATTTTGGCTTCAAGACTGTAATCAGAGTCGCGAAAATTCCTCAGGATCACAAAAACATGGAAGGCTAAATTTTGGATAGACGCTCCCTCAAAGGCAGGTCCGGGCAAAATTTCGAATGGAATTTTTTCCCTTAACTGGGCTTATTCCTCCTGCTGATTCTGAAAATGCAGCTTGGAGGGCACGAAAACGCCGAAAACGGGCTTTTCCAAAAGCTCTTGATTTGAATTTTCGCCTGCCGCCAAAGTTGAGACGCAGAGTCTTTGTGGGACCCTATGTCTCGACTGTGTGCGATATGCGCACTGTGGCCTATCGAACTAACTCGTCCCGGTCGGCGGGGCGCTCTGGTCGCCACTTCTGAAGCGGATTTCTCGCTTCAGAAGTACAGTTGGGCAAGTGCCTTACCAGGACGGGCGCCCCTGTACTCTACATTTTCGCATCTGCCCGGACGCTGCCTTTGAAGGCAGTGTCCCGGCAAAAAGTCGATTTTGAGACTTTCTGGTTATCTGGGCCTATTCGCTATTCCGAAAATCTACTTTGGAGAGCGCGAAAACGGAGAAAAAGGGCTCTAACGCAAGAGGGGAATCAGCCGGTGGGCGGGGCTCTCCCCTTTGTAAAATAACTCTTCCAGCTTCAAGAGCGACCTTCTCATTTCCGAATTCAAGTCACGCTTTCGCACTTGACCGGTGGCGATGGGGCTTCTAGCGAAAGGAAAAGATCGCTGCGAAGCAAGGGGGATGACCTCATAAAGTGGAAGGCTCGCCCACTTGTTGATTTGTCTCCGTTAGAGCTGTTCTTCGCCATTTTTTCGCGCTCTCCAGTCTGGATTTTCGGATTCAGCATAGCGAATAGGCCCAGGTAAGCACAAAATCTCAAAATCGACTTTTTGTCCGGACACTGGCTTTCAGCACGTGGGAGTGACCGCTAAGGGCGGGGTATGCACTATGGTCACTACTTGATTTTTAGCCTCGGAAAGAAATATAGCAAGCGTATGTATGGGTGTCCAAAGTTCGTATCTACGTAATGGGAAGGCTTTCCAGTACTGACAATGAGGTCAAGTTTTGGCATTGTTAAATGTAATCTTATCCTCAAACTTCGATAATCACTGATCTGCGGATCTCTGCAGTTTTGTAGAGTTGGCTCCGATATATGAAAAGTAGATCGATACGTAATTGATCGAGTGAATTTTGTTGCTTTTATTGAATTGCAAGTATGGGATAATGTGACACTTTCCCGCACTCAGCACGCTAAAGTGAAACACGGAAGCAAAAAGTAAGAAATGCTGACCACTCTACTACTTCAGAATCACTAAACATCATTTTTTGTTACTCACCTTTGCTCGTGGCGACATGTAGTAAATACCAGAAGTTATGAAGGCTAGACCTTCATCCTCCAACAAAGCTATATCCTCGGATCCGTGCGCTTAATAGGGATCATAGCAATAAAGTAAATATACGAAAAAGTCGAGCTAACCAATTCCTTCAACTCTACGACATGGTCCCGGTCGGTGATTGTAGACTCTTTTGTTTGGATCCATCATTAACCTTGAAACAAATAATTTTGGTAGAAAGTCATAAACTAGGTACTTGTTCCTCTCAGACAAGCCAAGCTTTTAATGACATAAGATAATTTGCTGAAGATAGCCGATGTCATTCGCTTACTTACTGCTGTTTCTGATTTTAAAGAAATCTGGTACACAACGTTGGACTGCATTGCTAACATATTAGGTTGTCCCGAAAGTTTTGTCGGTTTCTTTCATCGCTCACTAAAATTCACAGACCACCAATCCACAGACGGCTTAGGCACTCGGTTCAAATTTTTATCCTTTTTCTTACAGTTATACTTGCTTTTTGATTTAGCCTGTCTTTGCAATGTTATCGCCAGGGCTTTCTGAGCAGCTCAGCAGTGATGCCAAATCTTTCCTGAATTTTGGATTTTTTTATTCTGATGTTTAAAAAGCGCTAGTAACTGTTATGTAGAGCAAACCTTTGGCTACACTGTATCCATTTCAGATTACATGGTCCGCGTTTACCAAGTCCGTTATAATTATTTATGCGATAAAAACCGCTGCTTTTTGATTAAGTTTAACACGTAAAAGTACCAAAAATTCCAGAAAGCTGTCTTTCAAAGCAAATCAAAGTTCGTTATGTTGCATAAATGATGTTTAGTAAGAATTATGTCATTAGGCAAAAACTTCAAAAGCTTTCGTCTGTTTTATACATTGGTTTCATGACTTTGCCAAAAATCGAGACCTCCGGAGAAATGATTTGTTAGAGCTAAAATCAGTAGATTAGAAGGACATAAAAATACCAGCTTGTAGTCCGAGAGTTGCCCTATTTGATCCACACTTAATCCTTTTCGAAACTTTGTAATGAAATTTTTAAACATTAGCCTAACTTTGAGCAGGTAAAATTGACAGGTGGAGAATTCTGACAATTATCAAAAGAAGCACACAAGACTATGGTATGAAAATGTATCCGTAAGAAAGAGAGGGAAAAGCTGCATCGAATGCATGTTGAAACTCACTCAGATCTTCATTTGCGTGATTTTACAGTGGTTTGAAAAAACCGACAAAACTTTCGGGACAACCTAATATAATTCTAGTATTGCATCGAAATAATCTATGAATTGTACGAGTATTATCGTATTATTCCCAGAAAACTCGTAATTCTCCAGAATTTTTATCCTCAAAAGAGCCCGCCGCATAGCGGCTAAGCAAAGTTATGAAAAAGTGCTCCTTTCATTTAGCGAAAACCTATGGATTTTCCTTCCCTGCGGAAGAGGAAATTTTAATACAACTAATCGCTAGAAATCACGAGTAAGAAAAAAATAATAAGATGTCAATAGATGAGATACCGTAATAGCAAAAAAAATCTGTTTAGAGCAAGCACGTTGAATCGTCCGTGAAACTATCAGCTGTTGAGATATGTATAAACAAGAATTTTCTACAAAGATCGGAAAATTGGCGGAAAACATGATTTTGCTTGGCTAAAGCCACGCTGCGTAGGAGCCACTACAATCAGAAAACATGATTTTTCTCAGTTCATTAATTTCTCGAGTGATTAAATTATCTTCCCATCAATAAGGAAATGATGCAAGATGAAAGATGCAAAAAAAGATGAAAAGACAAAAAAGATGCATCTTGCAGATTCTAAAGAAAAAATCCACTTTTTAAAAGCCGTTGCGTTTGTGGGGATTAAGTTAGGTTCCCGCTGACAGTGAAAAAGGAAGGTAACAGCCAATTTACTCAAAATTTTTCAGACGCTGACTCAAATTTTTCAACAAGATGCATAACGACAGAGCTGATCGTTCATGAGCTTTTGTAGACTGGAATTTCTTCAGAAAAATGAATGCGCTCTTCAAAGTTTTTGAAAACGAATTTTCCATAGGAAGTGATCAAACACTGACATGTATGGCAAGATAGCCAGATTTTACTCGATGATTATGCAGTTCGTATACATTATTCGATTTTATGCCTGCTTAGAAGCCTTTCTAATAAAGTGAGACAAGTAGAGTGCATCCAGCAAACAATGTACTCAAGCTAAACTTACAGAATTTTGAATGTGTAGGCGGCAAGAGCGCCGAGAAAGGCGATTAATACGAAGTAGCGAATCATCTGCAATATGAGAAACAGGATGCCTCTCGTAAAACGGTTCGAGAAGGAAAACATAGTAACAGAGAACATGGTAACGCAACGAAATGAAGAATCTTGTGATTCATGGAAATGTCGGGAAATTCGTCAAAGGCTCTGCTACGGCATTGCCCCAGCTGATTCTTATCAACAGTAAACAAAGTGTTCGGTCGTTATTTACGTCTGTGCGGCCTACCAAAACTAATGTGGTTTGGTCTTAACAGCGTTAACTTTCCCTCTTTAACCTAATGAAACATGCGCGTGATGAACTGCAAAAATGAAAGAGAACGAGGAAACCAAAGTCTCAGTACTGAACTTTCAAACGCTAATCTCTCCATTCCATTTACCCTACTTTCACGAGTACAAAACGCATCTTTTCCCTTTTTTCCATTTTTTGGAAAGAAAACAGGTGCGCCTTGTTCTCGAGAAGTTATGTATAAGGTATTTTCGAATGGCATAAAACTCAGAACTGAGCAAGAAAGAAAAAATGTTCATTCTCCCTTTTCCCTCTACTGTCATAAATGTACAATCACTCGCCTACTTGGACATTGCAACTAGCATAACTATCTGCGTGGAGAAGAATATATACAAACGCAATTTTGTACATTGAATGCGAATTAATATGGTCGAAAAGTGGATGAAAATGAATGTAAAGAACTTCAAAACTTCTAACCATAGACTATTCATAGTGTTTGAAGAGCAGTGCTTTCAGACTGAAGTTTGCTTCACAATAAATGTCCAGGTAAAATAAGATCATGCCCTAGTCTAGATGATGGTAACAAAAGCCCTTCATCACGATTGGTTTGCATCTTTTGAAAACGAGTAGCTGCAAAATCACGCAAGAAACATGTTTGTGTATAATCAATTTATTTTTACAATCTTATGAGAATTCAAAACACGAAATTCCAGAATTAGTTACGGAAAGTTTGAGTTTCCCTTGAAGAAACTGGCTGCCCAGTCCCCGTATAACCGCCTGAAAAACACTCTAGGAATGGCTTCGCTCAGGATACTTACTCATTTCATAACATACCGTGCGTGTATTAAGCGCAAAATGGCAAAGATTATTACTTTTTCAACTGAGTATTCTTTGGAGTGAAAAGGACATATACTACATGATTGCTTCGTTTTACTCTAAAAAGCAGAAATACTACAAGCAGAACAACATTTTATTGCTCTATGTCACAGTACTAGACAGTGTTGTGCAAATTTGATGTTCTTATCCTAGAGAAATGGTTCCTTTGTTGAGTTTTTGTTGAGTGGTGGTCTGTTGTTTAGACTTTCAGAATCTATAAACGCTACTGTGCAATAAGAAAATAAATAGTCCTCCTCTGAAAGAGCTTTCTCAAGAAAAGTGGATAGGAGATGCCGAGGGATGAAGCAAAGATTTCAAACGGAATTTCAATCCAAAATGTAATTCTGACTTCCATTCGCAGCCACACTAATGAATGCAAAGCGCGAATTGGTGCAAATCAAAGCAGTTTCCTCCCCGGAAATAGGGGGCCAGGGATGAGAGTTTGTAACGGAGCTAAGTTGACAGTGCCTATCAAGCAGATGTCTGCAAAGCTTTGGAACAGAAACACCAACGATCATACTCGCAAACACGCTATCGATCGGAAGGGAAGTAGCAAGCGAAAACAAGGAAAGCGTAAACAAAATGCCGCAGTGCAAAACTGCAAAGGCAAATGCGCGCAAAAAAAGGATGAAACAAGCAAACATGATTTTCAGTGAAGAGGACGAATTGGTGAATTTTTTAGATGCGATTGTATGCCTCATAAAGTTTCCAAGCTGGAAAAAAATTCCACAGGGAGAGTCAGCAAGTTGACGGTGCAATACATCTATGTATTAGAGCCGGCGATCGAAAATCCGCTTTAGAAAAAAAAGTATAGAAAAATGTGCTTTGAAACAATGTTGTTTACTGGGGCACTGAACAATGTTGTTTACTCTCAACGCCCGCATGTTGATCTGAATCTGCATATCATAACTTATAATAACGGGCTAAGGGTTGTTTACGTTTGTGTTTGTGTGTGTGTGTGTGAATCTCTGTCTGTCACGAAATTCGTAAAGCGAGTTCCAGCAAAGGTCTTGAGCTAGAATTTTGGTAGTAGCACCCTATCAGCACGTAGGTAAAATGTGCAAAAGCACAAGCCGATCCGATAATTGAAACCTATGAAATTGTGCCCAAACGGATCCACGCGACATTTCGCGCGCCAAAATGGGCCTGTAATTAGACTTCTTTCAAAGTCATGGTTTCGTTTAGCAAATAAATCCGCAGACCATGGACCCTAGCCCGAAAAGTGAGTAAAAAGTTTACTTTTGCGCAAGATCGGCGCCAAAAAGGAATAATTGCGTAGATGATCGATTTGTCAAGGTTTCACCTGGGAATGCGGGACAATTTTTGCTCAGAGATGTAACTCACGTTGCTATCATCTTTATGGCGAGTATCAAGTCATTATAACCCCAGTAACTGATTCAAAATCGCATTTAATCCTTTGGAGAATACTTTCTTTCCCTTAAAGTCATCGATCTTATATGAAAAAGCTTTTGGAATGAGTAGTTGTTTACATTTCATTCGTGATGATCGGCATCGCGAGGTAAGTTTCAAAGCCATCATTTTGCAATTACGAGGTTGGTATGTGGATAGTACAGCCAGTGCGAGCCTCTGCGAAGCAGAGCTGACGCACTGGTAAAAAAATATAGTGATTATATCCTTGAATCTTCATCGCGTCCGCTGAACGCTCGATTGGCGAAGTTATTCAGCCCTCATGATTCTAATCAAGATTTATGGTGCAGAAAATTTGTACCAAATTCTTCGAAAGTTTCTATTAGAAATTCAGGGAAAGCTTGCAACATGCATTACTTCCCACTCCCACGCTTATTTTTATGCAGTACATATGTGATTGAGAGAGAAAATTTTCATCTTTCATGAAAAGCATAACTTTCCTTGAGGAACACCACAAGCGTTTTTTACGATTATCGAAAATTGGGCCATAAGCTTACTTACGTTACTGGCAATGCTAATTATGGTGATATCATTTTCGTAAGCTGATTCAAAATTGCACACTTTTTGTAAATGCACTACGTTAACAATTGTCTCTAAACTCTGAGCACTCTCAAAACATAATTCATGCAGGTATATTGCATAGTAAATAGAGTGCGAGATTTCCAAAATTGATGCTGAAATAGGTTTAGTCTTTTAGGGTATCTGACCAACGTAATTCACTGAGATTTAAAATATGGTTTCACATAGTGAGATCTCATCGAAGTTCCTTTATTTGTGCCACTAATGGTCCTTTATTTGTGCCACTAATGGCGCAACAACTTTCCATTCACAATGTTTCTGGAGTTGTATAACAGTGAACGAGTTCTCTAAATACAGATCCAATCAGCAATTGGTTTTCGAAGGGAACTGCGACTGTAGAGGCAGAAATTAATCGTCCGTCATCAACGAATGGTTCGCTAACTTCCCATGACTTAAAATCTTTAGAAAACCTGATTCGCAGAACCTGAATATACTTAATTTTGAATGTTCTGCATTATCCGTTGTACAACGAGTACCTGTGAAGGAGCAATTTTGCTGGGATCATCGCAACTTCCCCAATGTCCCAGTATGTCTTTTATGACTGGATGAGCTCCCTAAGAAGTTTTTTTCGGGGAATCAACAATATACGATATTTGTTTTACTGCTCACCGTCCAAACATCTCCATCCTTATCAACATAAAGATTATCCATTGATGTCAACAAATGGACGTCAGCAACCTTCACGAGAGATTTATAGCTCTGAAATACGATGAATGGGTAGGGTCTTTGGTCCAAGCATCACATACCTTATCCACTTTGTAGACGGACAGAGTTTTATCGTTCGCATGCGAAACAAAAAGATGTTTGCGTTCTCGGTCGAAAGCCACTCCGTTGGGTGATGTGGCCCTCGGCAAGAGCCAGGAACTGGTCTTAAATTCAACCATCATCAAGCATGAGACGCTGTGATCCAAGATCTGCCTTGCATTTTTTTTGTTTTTTCTCCTCTTCTGTATTACATGAATGAATGGATGAAATATTGCTAGTTCGATTTTTTTGGTATACACACAACACTCTTTTAGTTTGTAAACGGCAAACTCACGTCACAACAAGGAATTTTATTCAGCGGTTTTTCAGATTCAATTTCTTTCACAGTGGTTCTTTCCCTGATCCAAAAAAGGCTAATACGCCAAAAATTCTATGTCACATTGCATTACAGTAATCTAGCAGGCTACAGGAACACCGAATTATTGATCCCAAAACAAAATTTTTCACGTGGGAGAATTTCCATTCTCAAAGATGTCGTAGTCATGCATCTGCATTTTCTCTTTCGAACACATGAAAAGAATACTCCAAATATATACCTTTCCATCGTAGTAAACGATGCTTCCACTAGGTATCATCGTTAGTATTTCAAGAACATTCATTGTCGCTGTTTGTGCCGACCCATCGTTTGTCAAAATGAATGCATCTTCTGATACTGCTACCAAATTATTGGGTCTAAGAATACAAAGCCATTTTTATCGTTTTCCTGGAAGAAACTCACCTGATAAACTTCTCGTCTTCAATTATTTTGACCAAGTCGAGCTGTCGAGCTTTACTATTCCAATCAAGAACTAGTACGGAATGCTTCATATCCTCAGAATGGCTGATGACAAATAGCCGAATAGTTCCTTCGGATGTAAATATGTGCGAAATTCCATGAGGATGAAACTGCTTCTGGAAATTATCGACTCTAAATGTCAGCTTTCAGCGATTAGGAACTAGGTCTTACTCGATCAAAGTCACCGTTGATACTCAATGATACAGCTTTAAACGAGCCCTTTTGGTTGAAATCGTACAAGAAGATTTGACCTTTGACATACTGAAAATACCACTGACATAACTCGCCTCAGCTTCAAAGATTGAAAATGAAAGAAAAAAGCAGAGCATGTTACAAAGAAAGTTCCGATAATAATGTATCAAAACGTAATCATGCTTTAGCCTAGTACCAGAATTTACCTCCGCTCGAGGGAACATGTAGTAGATCCCAGACGTCACAAATGCAATGCCTTCTTCTTCTATGAGGGCTATGTCCTCAGAACCATGCTCTAAACAACAGACTAATGTAAAAACGGAGCAAGCACATAGGAAGCATCTGACCGATTCCATCTACTTTACGACAGTGTCCCGGTCGATGGTTGTATACCCTTTTGTTTACGTCCAGTGCAAGCCTAGAAATTTTGCTTTGTTGATGTAGCACGTAATTTCTCTTCTAGTACCAAAAAGCATCACTGGAGTTTATATGAAATCTGCTTCCCCCTTCATTCAGAATACTTCTTAACCCAGTTTTAGCTGGACTAGCTGGGATAAGTGTTTTCGCTCAGCCCGTCTCGATATAAAGTAATGTTCACCATTCAGACTAGTTTCGCACAACATTCCCCTCTCTCTTCTCTATGTACCGTACTCTGTCCCATTCTGTTTTCGTAACCAGCATGCTCAGTTACACCCCAACCCCAATTTTCCCACCAGCGCCCGGAAGGTGAATCATCGTGCGACTATTCTGTGGCCCAAAAGAATTTCTGAACGAAGCAGCTGCCCAAATTTTGCCTATTTCTGCGAGCATAGAGGAGAAATTATTATTAAAAATAATCAGTTGTCCAGCATCGAAGATTGAAATCATGATCTGGATCCTTAGCTCTACTGAAAAATTTCAAGAAATCAGTGTTTTTTCCACTTCCAAGTTTTTAAATTTGCGGATCTATTTCCTTCAGATTATTTTTGTATTGGCAGTCGTTAACTAGACGATTCTTAAAACAAGAATTAAACAACCGATTCAATTATTTCCAGAGCAGATTCTTTTAAACATCTTTGAATTTCCCACAAACCGGATGCATGGCTCCGCCGAGCTCTTCTCCTATACATTGAGAACGGAGAAATAGTGCTAAGAAACAAAGGCGCATACTTTAAATCAAGTTCACCGTCCAATTTGCGGTTGAATTTTGTTTTTTTTAGTATTCTATCTACTAAATATATTCACCTCTGAAAATAACAAAGTCGGAAAACTATTTGTTCATGATGTGGTGCCTGCAAATTTTAGTGAAATACTCTGATGCTTCATTGAATTATAACATCAATTTTCAGAGCGGAATGATTCTTGGAGCTGGTTCATTGTTTGGCAGTGCTCTAGTATGTTCTAACAATTTTCAGGAGATTCGCTCTGCATGATTTAATCACGTTTAGGTTCTGATTTCCAAATCCCTCTTTTTATCACAATTTCATAATCACATACACAAACTAAGTTCAAGGTCCAAGATGACCGTTGGATATAGAAAGAAAAGGAAAACAGCGAAGACTTTCAGTCCTCAGATCTTTGTTTAGAAGAGTATAGATAATTTTGCCATATTGAACACAACGCTTTCATGGGCATTTCCTTTTGTATCTGGCAATGAGTAGTTGCGCTTCTCATGTGGATTGTGAAAGACTTTCTCTTATGTTTCATCGCGACTGTGAAATTGTTCCAAAATCACGCTCGGTACCGTAGATAAAACCCTTCAAAATGGTCACGGTCTGGACGAGAGTTTGGAGTTGAATGCTTTGGCCACGTATAAATCGTATGAGCTGCCTCTTGGGCAGTGACCTATTTAGGAATCTCTGATCATTTTCCTCAAATAAACTTTGGGTATTACACGGGTCTGCCTGGATACTCTTTTTGAAGAAACCAATACCGAAAAGCCTTTTATGGTACACCGTGATATTGTGCAACAGACTAGGGAAGAGTAGTCAGCAGCTGAGCTATCGGCTGGAGTCCAATAATATGGTTTGAGTTTCTGCGCATGAAACGAGGCTTGTAAGGCATATTGACCCTCACTCTTCAACCGAAATCGTCGAGGCCCAGACACAAACGCAGAAGGGAAAGGTGAGGGCAACTTACAGGATTCTAAACACATATGCAGCTAATGCTCCAAGGACTGCGATCAGTAATAGTGTTCGAATCATTCTGTAACAAAGCCATTACGAACTATTTCATTCAAATTTGATAAGATTAACAAATGTCCAGGATTATTACCAGGGTTGAGCTTGAGGTCAGGCGCGCCCGACCTGGGGTCGTATTGAGGGTAAGGCTGAGGGGAGGGGTCGTAAAACGAATTGTTCACAAAGTGGAGGGGATGCTACGATTGAGTGAGTTGAAGAAGAAGAACGCTAGACTAGTGAATTCCACAGGAGGGACTGTCTTGATTGCATACTGGTTGACTTCACTAACGAAGTCTCTGCCTCTAAGGCCACCAAAGAGGATTGCTGCGTAAAGTGGGTAAGATTGGCGTAATCAGCATGCCAAATTACCTATAACGAGCTCTACAAACACCACCTATCATATTTTCTAGTGTTTACCAAGGAAGCGTGGTTTTCAAAAATGATTAACTTGATCTCAATTTCTTGTGCTCAAACGAAGTAATACCATTTATCAGTCTATGTTAGAAATTAGATCTCCTATCGCTTCAAAAGGTGGATCAAGAAGTGCTGCCAAAATTCCAAACACTGTGTTTTCCACCTTAAGTGCTTCAACTCCACCGATCACCGCAAAGCCGGAACAAGTCCAAGTAAGCTCCAACACCTACTGTACAATCTTCGAGGTTTGTGCTAGCGAATCACATAAAACTAGGGTGGAAAAGATTCCTCGGTGATAAAGTTAACCGGGTCAGGCGCAACCCCTCAGAAGCTCAGGTCGCCTGAGCTTTTGTAGCCTTGCGCCTGACCCCCTCAACATGTCTTCAAAATCCAGAAATCGCTCCATTCCTGGTATGAATATTGAGCTCATAGCTCCTTCTTGCTACAATGAAAATTTGGAGTCAAACACCCCAGCCTCAAAGAAGTTATTGTCCATGCAATAAACCCACTCAGATCAAAATTTAACGTCAAATTACGCGTGATTGTATAGTGCAATCACAGAAAATCGGGCGTACAGCTTCAAAAATCCAAAACTCTTTGGAAAAGGATGGTGTCCTCCAGAATGTCGCACCTGAAGTTCCGGAGGTGAAAAGGAGGAAGAAGGTGGCCGTTTGGGGCTTTCAGGGGGGAGGTCGTTTTTGAAAGGCTTGTGCCTGACCTCTTTGCTCAACTCTGGTTTTTATGACCGAAGATTATTTTGAAAAAGAAACTTTGCGTTTTGCAATAACGCAGAAACGAATTTTTCTATTAGGAAGGTTCAGATATTGAAAACGAAGATGACACTTTCAATTTCAGAATTATACGAAAATTCGCAGAAAATCTAGGGTAGTTAATCAACCGGCAAAGTTTGTAATACGAGTTTCATTCCTATTTTTGAATGGTAAGTCTGCTGAATCTTTAGATGGGAAGTAATGGTGTTTCGAATATGGCTGAAAAATCAAACCAATCAACCGAAATAAAAAATGTTTTGTATGGTTTTTTTCTTAAATTTGAAACCCTATGCGGAGATGTTCAACCTTAAATCGAACTGTGGTCGATGTTCGACCACAAACTCATTCAGCAAAAGAAGGTTACCAGCATTCATAGCAGCATGCTGACTGAATTCACTTCAACGCTTTAGTATTTTGTCGATCTGGCTGTGAAATCGGAATTCACATAGTCTTTTTCTTGGGTTTGAAATATAAGTTCGTCCTCACTACTGTCAAGATACTAACCTTACTCTTTTTATAACCAAAAAACACTAAGGCGCTGCTGCTAAGCGCATGCTTCTTCTGCCATATATGGATTAGCAGGCTGGATATCGTTTTTGGGACAAAAAGCAGAGGGGATATCGTTTTTGTGGCCGAAGGGGTTCTTGGGGTTTCTTACGTTCAGGGTTTGGAGTCAAAGGGACTTCGTAAAATTTTGCGAAAGTCAATGGGGATTTCGTTTTTTGCATTTTCGTAAAGCCACGTCATGCCGAGCCTGCATATAATTGATGCACAAACAATAATTGATAACACATGCCACAAAACTTTTGCTTCCACCCAATATTATATCTAGTATCCAAATACGCCCACACTGAGTAGAAATGTGAACCATTGAAGAAAATGAAAAGGTTGATTTTCTTTTATTATTTGTAACCTCAGAAAAAAGCTTCAGCAAGTTGAAAAAGTGTGTGCGTATTTCACGTACAGGAAATTTCTTTTACAAAACCGAGGATGGATGCACTGCAGTTATTAGCCAAATAGTCGATTCAGAATGTAACATGGAATGTTTACCAGAAATGTGGGAGGGTGCGCAAACGTGCTGAAGATGGCAAAACAGACGACCTGAAGAATAACCTTTGATAAGGTAATTGATGTGGCAACGCAACCGTCAAGCGTATATTTATCGCCCTCTTGTGGCTCTAACCAACACAATTTTAGGAACTTTCCTAACACATATTTGTACATGGACATTTTTGCTTGAGTTTAATGTCACCTTGTGCTTAATGATTACCTACGGCACACCTCCAGTGTGCTGCAATAAACAAATAAGTAAATAAATAAAGGAAACCGAATCAGTCGAAAATGAGTGATTACAATGCAGTCCAAACCCTCATTGAGCTTTTACAATCACATCCCAGTTCTAACATATTTCGGACGTATTTGCCCGTGTTTTATGCGTTTATGATTTATTTGTAAGAAAGAAGAAACATCTCTTTTTTTGTCCAAATAGCGTTACATTGGGACCAATGAATCTAAAATGATGTAGTTGTGGCAAATCACCTAGTTCAGTTCCACAAAGTGACATGAGGAATCCCACCTGCCTTACAGTTCATTATAGACCAGTGCGAGCCCTCTGCCTCGTAGAGGCTCGTACTGGTCCTACCATCTGTGTGCTTTACCATTCCCATGAAATGATGACAATGAAACTCACCGCGCTAAGGCCCGTATGCACGTACGTCCCCGCTGGGGAGGGGAGGGGAGCTGGATCCCCAGGGGAACGATCCCCTCCGCCGAACCCCGCCATGACAGAGGGGAGGGGAGCGATCCCCTCCCCTGCACCTAAGCGGGGATGGTGTGAATGATTTCAGAGGTCGTGATCGAGCGAACCCCAGTGCATACGGGGTTCCAATGGGGGAGGGGATCCCTTCCCTTCCCTCACTCGAACCCCGTATGCGCGAATTCAACTCAATAACGCGGGGGAGAGGATCGACATCCCCTGCAACGAAGTAGGGGTTCGATGGTGTAGATCATGCCAGAGACGCGGATATTCTGGTTCTGCTCAGTCATTACCAAACATTTCGTTCATTTTGATGGAGGATTTTCTTTGAAAGCCGGGTTCTTCTCTCAGCGACCTGTGGCTTGCAATTTGTCTTTCTTTTCTATATTCGCCTCTTGAGAAGAAATCCGAGCAACAATAGCTGCCAATTTTGATTATTTGTAGGAGTTCTTCATCATTCAGGAAATTTGCGCATTTTTCATATAACATAATAGTTTTAACTATATAGGCTGAATAAACACACTGTAACTTTCATATTTCATGACATATTGCCATTATCTTGTTTTTTTTTAACATAAGCTGCCTCGAAAAAATCTAGAAAGTAGCATATTGCCTATTTCTGGGTAGAAATCCCCTGGGGAGTGATCCCCTCCCCAGCGTTCCCCTTGTGCATAGCAGGGATGGCTGCTGGGGATCATTCCCCTGGGATAAACGACGATATGCAGCTGATAGTTACAGCGTTTATGGAGAGCTGGCACAATTTGCAGCTTCTGTTATGTGTTAGAATACTGCTTTGAGCGTCCGCGCGGCACCCCCCCCCCTTTTCGGCAGCATAACGTCTTCTACCCATTCCCTTGCAGACACACATCAACTTCTATAGTTCAACATTTTGACGCTGAAATGGAGCAGCATGAACGAAAGTGGGCAGCATCCAAGAAAGCAGGAACATAATGGGAGTAGAAAAAATCATTTTTAGCGCCCCGAGCGCAGTCACTGCATACGCACATTCCTCAACCCTAAATTAATTGAAGTGAGGAGATGAAGATGAGTTGCAGTCAAAATATGAAATAAGAAAGAGTTTTTCATAGAAAATTCTAAAGCAAGGTGATTTCCCCGCTTGATCCCCTCTTGTGCATAAGAGGGTTCACTTCCCCTCCCCACAGGGGATCCCTTGTACGATATTGTCTTTGTGCATACGGGGGTTCGCGCGGGGAGGGGAGGGGATCTCTAGCGGGGATCATTTCAATGGTTAAGCGCACATCCCCTCCCCGCGGGGATGTACGTGCATACGGGCCTAAGCAGACTGTCACGCTCAATCAATCTTTTTGACGCCCTCTTCGTAAAATAATTAAACTTTTGTTCACTTTTTTGGGCTAAAGTCTTGTGGCAAGAATCCAAGTGGAACCGTTTGAAGCGCATTTTTTGAGGGATCCATCCAATGGATACGCTCGTGCTTTTGCATTTAGACTTTCATGCTGGTAGCATACACCGTGCGAAATTTGGGCTCAGGACGTTGGCTGGAACACGCTTTACGAATTTCGTAACGGACAGACAGACACACACACACGTACAAAAAGACGTAAACATCCTTGGCCGGTGATTATAGGTTACTAGTTGGCTTTCCCGGTCCAGCCCGGGCCATTGTTCACCTGCACTGCGAGCCCCTCCCCTCTCTTAAATGTTGTGGATCACTTGCCCTGGGACATCCGCTTACTTCCGCTTCGAAATCGCATCCTCGTGATCGAGGTAAAAATGAGCTTCACCACCCTCCTTTACATGATTATGGGAAAATGCTTGATTAAACATAATAAGCCTTCAGTATTTAAGAAGAACGTAAACAAATCAATAAATCGATAGAAGGACCTAACGAATCGTCGCAAAAAGTAGCCTATCATCTGCGCAGGGGGTGAAAACATATGTGTGCAAAGTTTCAGCTGGATCGGTTGAGCGGCGCGCGTTTCTATAACGCACATACCTCCAAACTGACAATTTTTGAGTTTTATATATATACACCAGCTGGCTTTCCCGGTCCAGCCCGAGCCATTGTCTACCTGCACTGCGAGCCTCCCCTTCTTATATGTAATGGATGACTTACCCTGGGGCATCCGCTTCGAAACCGCATCCTCGTGATCCTGAGGTAAAAATGAGTTTCACCGCCTTCCATCAAATGACTATGGGAAAATGCTTGATTAAACATGATCAGCCTTCATTCCTTAGTAACTCATAAACACACCAATAAATCGATAGAAGGACCCAGCTAGTTTCAGTGAAAAAAGTATCCTAAAATTGTCTCCGGGGTCAAGAACATCTGTATGCAAACTTTTAGCCCAATCGGTTGAGCGGCGGGCGTTTCCATAGCTCACTTACCCTTCAAACAGACAATTTTTGAGCCAATAAAGATAAAGGATAAAGGATTCGGCATCTTCAATACATACCCTCTGGGGGCATGCGCCGAACGCACACACTAACTTCATAGTCGAAGAGGCAATTGTATGCGTGCGAGCCTATTACAGTGACTTGAGTTGAGTATTTTTGAGTTATATATATATATTTATTTATTTATTTATTTATTTATATAGATGATACTTCAACCATATCATCTTTGATGATTTTGTAGAGCATATTTATCAGAAATGACCTGAAACTTATGTAAAAGCCTAGTAATCATTTATTATTCTGATATTCATGTGCTATCTGTTTTCGTAAACAGTCAAAGTACTGTTAAGTTTCTGCTTATTTGCTCATCGTTCTTTTCTTCCCTTCTTCGAATAAGATTTCAAGTTAATTTCATAATTATAAAAGGTATTCCACGAAATAGTTCAGCACATTTATGTGGTATTTTCGGTAGCGAACATCGCTATGTTTCTGCAAACTTACTAACATCATTATTCCAAATCTTCTGAAGATTGTAACTAATTAAACACAATTTTACTCAAATTCAAGTTCTTGTTACTGCAGAATTATTTCACTTATCCGAAACCTTTGAATCTAAGAAATTATTGGAATATTTTTGATCAAAGCCTAATAAAGAATTGTCTACAGCAAAATTTACCGGCCTATTTGAATCCACTTTCAGGTCTAACAATAAGAAATTCTCCTGTATTTTATCTCTAGCTTGGAGTGTTGACTGACACGAGGAAAACCGAGTCAAATACGATTTCGACTGATCTTTTCAAAAACCCGGTCATATTTCTCATTTTTTGGCTCCGTTTTGAGATTCTCAGGTCTAGTATACTTTGACGTTGTGACGACGTTGATCTCTTAGGACGCCACCTAAATCCCTAGCGTCTCTGGCTTTACGCCAGGAAGATCTGTCATGGGGTAGAGTGAGGGAGGGGAGGGGGAGAACGCATAGCGGAATACGGAGTACTTTGAAGAAGAACATCTCAGTTGAACTCGTTATTTCTAATCAACCTCATAGACCGCATTAACTGCTGCCAGAACGTTTAAGATGAAGACATTGCATTCGGCCCCTGGTACTGCGTCCAGAGTTGCCTGTGCCAGCGTCGTGCCAGCGCCGGGACGCTTACGGTCGAGAGAAACGCAACGCTTGGACGCTTTCACTTGGTGGCTTCCACGTGGGCGCTGGCACGGCGCTGGCACGAAGTTCCGCACAGTCACGTGTGGGCGCAGCCTGAGGGCAAAGTTTGACGCACTGTTTGTACAACCCTATGGAAATAATTTTGCACCATTCATTTCATAATAATAATTGTTCACAATGTTTCTGGAGTTGTGTAGCAGTGAACGAGTTCTCTACATACAGATCCGATGAGCAATTGGTTTTCGAAGGGAACTGCCACAGATGAAGCAGAAATTAGCCGTCCGTCATCAGCGAATGGCTCGCTGACTTCCCACGACTTGAAGTCCTTACCGAATTTGATTCGTAGCACCTCAATATTTTTACTGGATAGTGTTCTCCATTATTCGTGTAAATCAAGAACCTGAGAAGGAGCAACTTTGCTGGGATCATCGCAATTTCCCATATGTCCAATTGCGTCTTTTATGACTGGATGGGCACCCTAAAAAGCGCTTATGGGTGACACTAGTAAGAGCCATATTTGCTTTCCTACTTACAGTCCAAACATCCCCATCCTTATCAACGTAGAGATTATCCATTGATGTCAATAAATGGACGTCAGCAACCTTCGCGAGAGATTTATAGCTCTAAATTGAGTTTACTGAGTGGAGAACTCCGTCCAAGTGTAGTGTACAAACCTTATCCACTTTGTAGACGGACACAGTCTCGTCATTCACATGCGAAACAAAAAGATGTTTGCGTTCTCGGTCGAAAGCAACTCCATTGGGTGATGTCGCTTTCGGCAGAAGCCAGGAACTGGCCTTAAATGAAGCAAGTTAGTGCTGCGTACTCGCGTGTGACTTTTTTCACAATGATTAATTCTCGAATTGGAAATCAAGTTCATGATTGACTGACGAAGCTCTAGAATATATTTTATTACAATAACCTGTTGGACTACGGTAGGATATGAAATTATCCATCTTTAATAGAAAGTGATGTTTTCACGACTCGGAAAGTATTAGATTGGTGCATAATAACCGCTTTGCGGATTCTCACTTTGACGTGCTATAAGTCTCTAAAAGACCTACATTTCTGAATGCGATAAAGACTGTCAGAAGCGGCAAACCTTTTACAGTACAGCACAGCACACATTCATCTATGCTCACATCACAATGGGACAGGAAAATATGGATGAAAACAAAAAAGTTTTTCTTCCAAAACGTAATTTTTGACCAATCATAACTCCCTTAGTTTGTCAATGTAAATGATAAGTTGCCTATCTTGTAGCCGCAAGCCAGTATAAAATTGGATGAAAAGGGTTTGAGCAAAGAGGGTTCAAAACGATAAAAAAATAAGCTAAAATTGTCAGTTTTTCAACATTTTTTTCAGTAGCCCCTCGAAGTCCCGACTTATAGACCTTTCTAATTTTCTCAATACTGAACGGCTTAATTTTTTTTGCAAAAAAGTCTAACAGGATGTCCTATCCTCACGCTTACAGAATTCACTAAGCTTTGGCGATTGCCTTCTTCAAATGAACTTTATGGGTAACAGAATCACTAACGACTACCCATGGTGAGGCGCCGATATCTCAGTCTAGATAATTTCAAAGAAGATGGTTAAGTGTGCGCAATGTGGACATTTTTTTATAAACACAATAGCTAAATTTCCGGAGAAGCGACTTCTTTCGCGCTCGAAATGTGCTCAGAAAAGTATTGCAACAAAATTCTGATTTTGGGTGCAGTGTTTGAAGCTCTGCAACCTTTTGACAGATGATATAGTAAGCCTGTCAAACATCACTAGATGGGGCATGAAAAGAGTTTTCCAATAGTATGCTGTATCTTTTTTAAAGTAGAAATTCCGATGGGAAAATGTCTTGAAAAAAGGACTTGGAAAAACGGCCACTATTTTTGCGACAACCCAATACCTACTTTCAAGAATTTTTACACCTATGCAAGGTCCCCCTACCCATAAAATAGTCACAAAATTTTCAATAGTAGCCTAATGGGTTACGATTGTGCACATCACTTATTTTTAATTGTCATTTGAATGTCTTTCAAAAAAAAAATAAAAATTCCAATTAGCTCCTGGGAAAATTCTTATGGAGGTGGCTAGACTTTTTTTTAATTCAAAGTGCTATTTTGTCGCGCCTCTCCTTCCAGCCTCTCCTCCCTCCCCCCTCCTCCCCTCCCTCCCCCCCCCAGAATTTCTCGGGCCATCACTATTGTGTATAGTTGACTGACGGAATCGCCGGGATTTAACGCCCGCGCGCGTGTCTCTGGCGGGCTAACATTGGTATTCGGGCGCATGAGTCATCATGGCGCCTGTACACAGCAGCCGCGTTGCAGGCACGCTCGCAAGCGTTCAACCTACAGCGACCCGGGCGATTTCGTGCAGTCGACTTTACCGATTCTTTCGTCATTTTTGCAGGTATAGGAATTGCAAACATATTACCTTTCCATCGTAATAAACGATGCTCCCACTTGGTATCATTGATAGCATTTCAAGAATATTCGTTGTTGCTGTTTGTGCCGATCCATCATTTGTCAAGATGAAAGCATCTTCCGATACTGCTACCAAGTTATTGGGTCTGAAAAAAGAAAGCTATCTTTACGGTCTTCTTGGAAATTAGGAACTCACCTAATAAACTTCTCATCTTCAATTATTTTGACCAATTCGAGCTGTCGAGCTTTACTATTCCAGTCAAGAACTAGTACGGAATGCTTCATATCCTCAGAATGGCTGATGACAAATAGTCGAATAGTTCCTTTGGACGTAACTATGTGCGAAATTCCATGAGGATGAAACTGGTTCTGGAAATTATCGACTTTGAAGGTCAGCTTTCAGCGATTAGGAACTAGGTCTTACTCGGTCAAAGTCACCGTTGATGCTCAATGGTACAGCCTTGAATGAGCCCTTCTGGTTGAAATCGTATAAGAAAATCTGACCTTTGACATCCTGAAAATACCAATGATATAACTATCCTCAATTTTGAAGAGTGAAATGTTAAGGGAAAAAGCAAAGTACGTTATAAGAAAAAAAATATTCCGAAAATAATGTATTGAAACATTCTTGATTCAAAGGGAAATAGAAAAATAAGGCGGAATCACACTTGAGCCTAGTACCAGAATTTACCTCCGCTCGAGGTAGCATGTAGTAGATCCCAGACGTCACAAATGCAATGCCTTCTTCTTCTATGAGTGCTATGTCTTCAGAACCATGTTCTAAACAAAGAACGAATTTAGGAGAGTAAGCATATCAATTACAACTGACTTATTCCATCTACTTTACGGCAGTGTCCCGGTCGATGATAGTATACCCTCTTGTTTACGTCCAATGCAAGCCTAGAAATTTTGCATTGTTAATGTGAATCATACCTCCTTCCTCTTCTGCAAAAACTAAAGATAGTACACAATTATTAAACGGCTATACAAAGCCTACATTCTCCTTCATTCAGCAAACTTCTCCTGGAATCCTATACCGGAGTGACTGGGATACCCATCTTGCTCAGTTGTCGATATAACATGATAAAGTTCACCATTTTGGCAGTTCCATACAATATTTCCTTGTATCTCTCCTATTTCTAAGTCCCAACTCTAGCCTCACTGCGTTTTTTCAGCAAGCTGAAAAAACACAGTGAAGCTAGAGTGGGGTCCCAGCTAGGCTAAAGTTTCACTTGCTTCTCCTCCCCCCCCCCCTCCCATCTCCTTCCCAACATCTAGGCTAAGAAAGCCACGCCCATAGAAGAGGGTTGTGCACCTCTACGGTACAAAAGAAATTAGTGAGCGGAGCAGTTCCTAACGCTTCGCTGATTTCTGCGAGCATAGAGAAACAACTTGTTGTCACTGGAAATAATCAGCTAATCAGGGTAGAAAATTCAAAAATTATCATGATCTGGATCTGAAAACAAATCTCAAAATATTAACTTTTATTTTTTCCACTTCCAAGTTTTCAATTTCGCATATCTATTTCCTTCAAGTTATTTTTGTATTGGCAGTCGTTAACTAATGAGTCTTGAAGCCATTTTTATAAACATCATCATATTCCTTACGCAAACTTCTTAGACAGTTCCCTGGAACTTCCGCAGGACAAGCGAAATTTGCAGCGGTTCCATAGGGTTTTGTTTACTATTGCAAAAGTGGAAACGTTGAAAATGGGAGCTTTCGCAGGACTTTTTACAAAGCGCTGCGGATCTTCCCTCGAAATGCCAGCGGTTCGCAGCACTTTGACATGCCAGTACTTCCGCAGGATTTTGAATGTATTGTCTAATATGATGTTGCCTCGCCAACAACTAGAGGCATTATCGAACATATCAGTCGTAGTGCAGAGGATAGTGAATCTCACAGTCAATAGAGTAGATTCAAATCTCGCTTCGGTGTTCTCTTTTGCTGCTGTGATTCGCATTCTTCGGAACATACGCAGCACCTAATTCGGGAACTTCCGCAGCACGTTTACGGAAGTTCCGCAGGTGACCCGGTGGAATTCCCCCATACGTTCTGCGGAAGTGCCGGTCAGTAGTCTGAGTTGATGTATGGTTCGCCGAGCTCCTTTCGTACACATTGAGAAACGATTCCTGCTAATGAAACAAGGTCGCATATTGCAATTAAGTTCATCGTCCAAATTTTCTTATTTCGTCCGATTGAATTTAATTTTTTTACTATCCTGTCAACTATTTTCAGTCACCTATTGCAAGTTTTTGTAGCTTTCTAACCTGGGAATAAAACATTTTTGTAAAGTTGTGGTGCGTGCAGATTTTTGTGAGTTATTGTGATGCTTCATTGACAAACGGTAAAACATCAATTTTCATAGCCCAGCGATTTCTGATTTTTCGTTTGGTAGTGGTTCATGTATTCATAACGTTCAGAACCTCTGCATGTTTCACTTTCTATTAAACAAAACTGTTTCTGTCGAAGTTCTGCTTTCCAAATTTCTCTTCTTTACCATGATTTTGTTGTCACATACACATATCAAATGCAAAGAAAATAGGAAGAGAGGCCTCAGTCCCCAAATTTCTGTTCCTAGTAGAGTACAAAATTATTTGGTCATGCTGAACACAACGCTTCAAAGTCATTTTTTAGAGTTAATGAGAGCATTTGGACTTCTCATGTCAACATAAGAACGGGTTTGTATGTTTCATCGCGGCTGTCAAATTCATTGAAAATCAAGCCACGTACCGTAGAAAAAGCTGAGTGGTCTTCGGAAAGGTTACGATCTGGGTGAGGTTTTGAGTTGCATTTTTTTCGAATAAATCGTATGAGCGGTCTTTTCGGCATTGTCTAATTAGGAACCTTTCATCATTTTCCACAAAAAAGAACAGGTATTTAAAGCCTGATACTGTCTCTCATAGAAAGCGATACCTGGCTCTCGTTCATACCGTAATATTCTGCAACATGCTGGTGAAAAGTACTCAGCAGCTCAGCTATCGGCTGAATTCTATTATGATTTAATTTTCTGAGCATAATGAGGCTTATTCATATTCTACTGTAATTCTCACCTTCAACCCAATTCGATCGCAAGTCTACACAAATGAGGAAACTGAAAGAGGGCAACTTACATGATTTTGAACACATAAGCAGCTAATGCTCCAAATGATGCGATCAGTAATAGTGTTCGAATCATCCTGTAACGAAGCCATTACGAACTATGTCATTCAAAATTTGAAAAGATTAACATATGTTCAGGGTTATTGCAACCGAAGATTATTCTTCAAAGAAGATTGCTTTTTGGCACAGAAACGAGCTTTTGATTAAGAACGGTGTCAGATATTGAGAACGAAGATGACGATCACTTGCAAATTCGAAATCATCATGAAAAGTCGCAGAAAATCTCAAGAATTACATCAACCGGGACAATCTTATGCGGCTGAAAAATCAAGATTGCTATTTGTATTGTTCGAATTTCTCTGCAGAGACATTTGGCAGTCACAAACTCTGCTCTTTCAGCAAAAAAATTCTACAAGCATATGTTGTTGATTAAATTCGCTTCAACACTTCAGTATTTTGCCGATCTGGCTTTGAAATAGGTACTCACTACAAGTGTCAAGATACTAACCTCACTCTTTTTGTTAGTATTCTAACAAGTCATTTAGGCGCTGTAGAGCGCATGATTTCTTCTTCCATATATTAGGTTGGCACATAAGTTTTGCAGCTTTTCCCGTAACTTTTTTCCTCTTTTATGTAGCAATCTCATTTTCTGGCATCTTGTAGATCGTGATGTAAGCTGCAAGTCTGCGCAAACCGTTTGATTTTTGATAACGTAGTACAAAAAATCTAAGCATTTTTGAAAACTGCTGAAAATCGAGGTTTCACGATTTTTTGGCAAACTTGAAGCCCTACGAAACCTGATTCAAACATATGAAAAAGCAATTATAGGCAGCATGCAGCTGGAAGTAGGCAAATTGGAATCAGTGAAAAAGAAATAAAATTAAAACATAAATTAAGGTGGAGCGCCTTTGAGAAGTTGAACTAGCCAAATGCGTCAAGTTTTGAAGGCAATTTGTCAATAATTAAGCTGCGAAAAGTCAGAATTCGCTATAACTTTGCACTATAGGGTAATCCTATGCGGTAAACACGAATATCATATTCATTTGTCGCTAAAATGAAATTCATCTTTTGATCTCACGAACGATTCCTTTTCATGCGAAACGGATCTCATTTTTGTGATCAGCATGTCAAATAAGCCCTATAGGCCAAGTTTCAGCAAAATCTGATGCATTCTAAAAATTTTCCCATAGTACCGTAAACCTACCGTAATCCTCACATAAGATGGTAAAATTCGGCGAAAATGTGTGCACTAGAGGCTTACATCATATTCCTTATACTGCCAAAAAATGAATGCGCTATGTTCAAATAGACAAAAATTATATAAAAAGTTGCATTACTTATGTGCCAACCTAATAATTCAAGCACAAAAGACTAGTGACAAGAAAAAGGCTTGTGAAATGGTGCACAGAGCATTTGTCTCCGAATAATATATCTACTATCCAAATACTTGGTAGTGCCGAAAATGATTCATCGAAAGGATTGTGAAAAGATTGATTTTCTTCGTTAAATGACACCTCAGAGAAAGGCTTTAATGAACTGAAATGGTGTGTGCATATTTCATGTATAGGAACAGTTTTTTTTCCAAAAAATCGCAAATGGATGGGTCAGTGTAGCTATTAGCCAAAGAGTCGATTTAGAACATTCTATGGAATGTTTACCAGAAATGTGGGAGAGTGCGCAAACGTGCTGGAGATGGCAAAACAGACGACGCGAAGAGTAACCTTTGATAAGGTAATTGATGTGGCAACGCTACTGTCGGCAGTTTATTTATCGCTTTGTTGCATTTGTATCACCTCAGAAAACTTAGATACTTTCTAAACAGTATTAGTTAAGAGAACACTACAGAAATTCAAATCATACCTAAATATGTAATTATAATTGAGTATATCAAAACCAACCCAAGTTTATTCAAGTCTTCTTTAAATGTTATTTTGTTTGTGTCTCATGCAGTGTATGTTATAGGAAGAAAGGATTTTTGACTACACGACATTATATTAAGTATTATATTATAGATAAAGCTAGTGATGTAATCAAAGTGAATCCGAGAAAAGATCTGGACTTACTAGAATCCGTTTCACACATAATATGAGGAGTCCCAAGTGCTGATTATTTCAAATTTTATATTATTATTATTATATAATATTATATTATTATATTTTCGAACCAACTTTTGTGATCCTGCAGGACCCTGCAACGATTAGAAGGGGCCGATTGGACCCTAGATTTGAAATTTTTCAGTAATCACTAATTATTATGACATCCTGTGGTTGTCCGGTTCTCGCAAACTGTCAACACAGTACTTTTGAATTCCTACTGATTTTCACCGTTTTTTTGTTCTTACTCGATTAAGATTCAAGCATTGTGTTCTTATGATTTTTCATGGTCTTTTCAGTTACGAATTTCACTTTGTTTCTGATATACTTACTACATATTTATTTCCAAGATATCATCCGAAAGCTGCGCCTTTTTAGCACTGATTAACTCCACTATTGAAGTCCTAACCAAATTTTGATTCTTTATTTTCTTAGCTTACACACACCCTTAGGTCACCAAAACTTGCTATGTAGATTGGGGGTATGATTTCCGTAATCAGCATGTCGAATTACGAGTTAAGAGCTCCACAATACCTGTTACACTTTGTAGTCCTAACGTCTAAGAAGCGTGATTTTCAAACATGACTGACTTGGTTTCAAAAGTGAACGAACTCAGTTTCTTATACTTATAATAGATACTCTCTATCACTGCATGCTATAATTAGACTTCATATCGCTTTCAATTAACGAAAAAGTCGAAACAAGTCCAGGCTCAAACACCTACCATAGATACTCTCATAGAATTTCGAGGTACAGGCTAGCGAATCGCATAAAACTTGGGTGAAAAACTCTTTTGGAGAAAAAGCTGGTCATGCTCAACTCCTCAAAGGTCAGGCTGTGATTTGGTAGCCTTGTGCCTGACCCACTTAACTTGTCTTCAGAATTCAGTAATCGCTCCACTCATGGTGTATATGTTGAGCTTGTGGCTTCATCGTGCTACATTAAAGTGGAGCCCCCGTACATCCTTACGACTCTGGCTAAATTCTTCTGTTAATCCTGTATTCAAGCCCTTCTACCTCCCCACGATGGCGACAGAGACCCCCATTTATCCCCTCCAACCCATCGAACGCCAAAAGAAGCGCAGGATACAGTTCGACGCCACACCTCCAGACTTCAATCAAGCTGCGGAAGAGTTACTAAAAGACGAGAATCTCCCACTTTACGCAAGAACCATCGTGGCGTTTTTGATGGAGAATCGGAAACTCTATGAAATGGTCGCCGAACAGAATCGTGAGTTACTTGTTCAACTTAAAACAATGAGTGAGGAAATCAATACATTGCGTAAGGATAATGAGCGCCTAAGATCTTGTATTGAGCGATCTCCGCCGCAACCTTTGCCCTCCACTCAATCTTCTACATCTACATCAAATTCCAATACAAATTCCGGTTGTACGTGTGAAGAACGTGATCGTCTCCATTCTTTAGTGATAAGCGGTGTTCCTGAGAATAGATGCCCTAGTAGTTGGCTGAGAGTAAACCATGATTGGGATTGTGTCAATCAGATTTTTGACTACCTCTCTATTGATTGCTTCCCCATTTCCGTGTATAGGATGGGAAAACCTCATCCCACTTATAATAGGCTCTTAAAAATTGTAATGCCGTCCCGTTTTTTTGTAAACCTTGCGCTGAAGAGGGCTCCTAAGTTGAAAAGCTTCCCATATGCACATGGGATCTACATCCGCCCCTCTCTTACAAAAGAAGAGAGGGACAGATTACGCAACGAAAGGGGCGCTCGTTACAGTGCAAGGCGTTTTGATCTTCAACAAGGACTAACACAAGGTATCGATTGTATTGAACAAAATGGTTTATCCGCGAACGCGCAACCCGGTACGCCGGGGCGTGTGTCTTTAAACAGTCAATGATTCCTCGGAATGAAGGTAGCTTCTTAAAGTGTATGCTTGCTAATGCGCGCTCTCTGTGCAAGAATATGGATCATCTCAGGTTTATTCTTACCAAACATAAGATTTCTATAGTAGCAATAACTGAAACTTGGTTGAATGAGAATATTTCTAATAGCTCTCTTTTCGGAAGTTTGCCTCGGGACTATGATATATACAGATGTGACAGGTTAGACAAGAGGGGAGGAGGGGTACTACTGGCCATTGAAAAGAAGTTGAATTCATTTTTAGTGTTTGAAGAGTCTGTGTTAGAGGGTTACGAAATTTTGTGTTGCGACATCATGGCGTTTACTACTCTGCGACTTATTTTAGTATACCGTACCCCTTCCTGCCCCGTTCCTGGTACAGAACAATTGATAAAGGCTCTTACCGATCTATTAGCCTGTCAAAATTCGGCAGTCCTTATGGGAGATTTCAACCTACCAAAAGTGAATTGGGAGGACCACACCACCTCAGAACCAGCGTCCATATCTATCAGAAACTTCATTCAAATGTGTAGGCTTTACAAATTGTCGCAGCAAGTTAAATCCAATACATGCAAGGAACACTTATTGGATCTCATATTCACAAATAGGGATAATTTGGTCAGTGACATAAGCGTGGAGTCTCCTCTTGGTAGCAGCGATCATTCCTCGCTTAGATTTCAAATAAGCCACTACGAAATAAGGGAGACTGAGTATGTCAGGTACAGGGATTTCAGAAATGCAGATTTGAACGGGATGAGGCAGCACCTAGCCAGTGTTGACTGGTATGGATCTTTCATGACCGTCACCACGGTGAATGAGATGTATGAGCTATTTCTAACAATAATTAACCATGCTATTGATCTCTACGTACCCTGGTCCTTGCGCCCTATGGGGCGGACAAATATGCCTGATTATCTTCTTAGACTCTATCAAATGAGAGAGCGAGCTTGGCTAATTGCAGCTGATAGTGACAGCGCTGAAGATAGTTTCAATTTCAATAGGTTAAATGCTAAATTTACTAAACTGCTCAGGAAATACAACGCATCTTTTGAGAAAAAGGTAATCAAGTCTGGAGAAAAATTTGCGTTCTATAAAATGATCAATTCACGGCTTAGAAACAGAAGCAAGCTAGGAGTTTTACGTAGAGACAATGGTGTGGTTATAAGTGATGATAAGGAAAAAGCCGAATTTTTTGCGGATACTTTTGCAAAGACTTTTGCTGAAGAAAAAAGCTTTGATGAGTCTGAGAGAGAATTGCCTCCAGTATTCCCAACAATGAGAGAAGGGGTTTGGTTTAGAAGTGAAGACATCTATCTCCTCCTAACTAAGTGGCCTAAATCAACATCTCTTACACCTGACTTTTTGCAGTTACAGTTTATTAAATCAGTTGCAGATATTCTTTCTGGGCCACTGCAACATATTTTCAATTTGAGTATGATGCGAGCTGAAATTCCTGAACGATGGAGGGTCTCTTTTGTCACACCCATTCCCAAGAAAAAGCCACTGACTAGCCCTGAAAACTTTCGTCCTGTCAGCATAACATCCATATTCGCAAGGCTTTTTGAAAAAATGTTAAAAAAGCATATTGTTAGGCATCTGGAAGAGAACAATGTGATTTCTAATGCACAGCATGGATTTCAGCGTGGTAAATCGACGGTTACAGCAATGTTACAAACGCTCAATGATTGGACATTGCAATTAGATAGGGGACAAAACATTGATGTAATCTATCTAGATTTCACTAAGGCGTTCGATAAAGTACCACACAACAAACTGATAACCAAACTTAGAGCTGTAGGAATACACCCGAGAATAATATCCTGGATTGAAGCATTTCTAAGAGAGCGGACATTTGTAGTTCATATCAATCAGATGTTCTCTTCTCCTAGAAAGATGGGATGTGGGGTCCCTCAAGGAGGCGTACTTTCGCCTATACTTTTTAACATATATACATACGAGCTCCCGCTTATACCACTGTCCAAAGATATTTCTTGCTGCGCATTTGCTGACGATTTTAAATTGTACAGAACAGTCACGGATGACGCTAGTCGTAAGCAGCTACAAGACACCTTGAATGAAGTTTCGGAATGGTCTGAGGATTGGGGTCTGCCTATTTCACGTGAAAAGACCAAAGTATTTCACATGGGCTCAAGCAATCCTGGTTATAGCTACTCAATGGGAGGAATAACGCTTGCAGCTGTGGACTCGATAAAAGACTTGGGATTTTTGGTCAGAAGCAATCTTTCCTTTGACAAACATTGTAAGGCAATTGCGGATAAGGCAACAGTGGCTACTTATAACCTTTACAGAGGACTATCATGTAACGACCCTGAAGTCTTACTGAGGGCGTATAAGACTTACATAAGACCTATATTGGAATATGGTACGGTGATCTATAGTCCGCACACGCGAAAAGCAATTGATTATTTAGAGAAGGTTCAAAATAGCTTTACTAGAAAACTGTTAATAAGAACGGTCGGATTCAGATATGATCAGATTCCAAGCAGTCGGGTTCGCAACGCAAATCTGGGCATTCCTACTCTTGCTTATAGAAGGAGAAAATTTGATTTAATCATGGTGCATAAAATACTATTTGGAGAATGTAAGCTTGACGCAAGAAATTTTATTGCTACTAGATGCTCCAGTACTAGAGGAGGGTCTAGGAAGCTTATAATACCAAGGGCAAGGCTAAATTTAAGGAAATATTTCTTTACGTGCCGAGTGGCCCATGATGTGGATACAATTTTGAGAAGAAAGATGTTCGTAGCAAAGCTATCACTGTTCAAAAAGGTTCTAAGAAGCTACCTTCAGTCTTCGTACTAACACTTTATCTTTCTGTATGTTGTGTTTAATTTAGCAATGTCGTTTTATTGTGTTCAGTTTTCTTTTTTTGTTGTTTGTTGTTCTACCATAGGGATTTCCCTATGCAATAAATAAATAAATAAATAAATAATTATTATGACATCCTGTGGTTGTCCGGTTCTCGCAAACTGTCAACACAGTACTTTTGAATTCCTACTGATTTTCACCGTTTTTTTGTTCTTACTCGATTAAGATTCAAGCATTGTGTTCTTATGATTTTTCATGGTCTTTTCAGTTACGAATTTCACTTTGTTTCTGATATACTTACTACATATTTATTTCCAAGATATCATCCGAAAGCTGCGCCTTTTTAGCACTGATTAACTCCACTATTGAAGTCCTAACCAAATTTTGATTCTTTATTTTCTTAGCTTACACACACCCTTAGGTCACCAAAACTTGCTATGTAGATTGGGGGTATGATTTCCGTAATCAGCATGTCGAATTACGAGTTAAGAGCTCCACAATACCTGTTACACTTTGTAGTCCTAACGTCTAAGAAGCGTGATTTTCAAACATGACTGACTTGGTTTCAAAAGTGAACGAACTCAGTTTCTTATACTTATAATAGATACTCTCTATCACTGCATGCTATAATTAGACTTCATATCGCTTTCAATTAACGAAAAAGTCGAAACAAGTCCAGGCTCAAACACCTACCATAGATACTCTCATAGAATTTCGAGGTACAGGCTAGCGAATCGCATAAAACTTGGGTGAAAAACTCTTTTGGAGAAAAAGCTGGTCATGCTCAACTCCTCAAAGGTCAGGCTGTGATTTGGTAGCCTTGTGCCTGACCCACTTAACTTGTCTTCAGAATTCAGTAATCGCTCCACTCATGGTGTATATGTTGAGCTTGTGGCTTCATCGTGCTACATTAAAGTGGAGCCAAACACCCCCACCCTTAGGGAATATTAGCTCTTTCAATGGGCCCATTCAGATCAAAATCCGTCGTCAAATTACGTATGATTGTAAAAGTGCAGTCGCAGAACATCGAGCGTATGGACTTCAAAAATTCAAAAACTTTTCAGGACAGGATGATGTCATCCAAAAGCACACTCTGAGGTTCCGGAGATAAAGAGGAGGGAAGGCTAAAAGGGGTTGTTCTGAAAGACTTTGCCTGACCCTCTTGTTCATCTTTATTAGTGGATGTTGTGCCTGACCCTCTTGTTCATCTATTAGTGACTGTCTTAAAGGCAGTGTCCGGGCAAAAACTCGATCTTGAGATTTTGTACTTACCCGGGCGTATTCGCTACCCTGAATCCGAAAATGCACATTGGAGCGCGAAAACGGCAAAAAAGGGCTCTAACGCAGGAGGGAAATCACAAGTGGGCGGTCTTCCCCACTGCGGATTCACGCTCCAAGCTTCCGGAGCAATCCTCTCGGTCCCGATTTCAAGTCATGCATTTGCGCCTGGCCTGTGGAGACCTCAGGGCGGTAGCGGAATTGAGAAAATCCTTCAGAAGATGGGACCGCGAAATTCCCGGTGGGGAAGACCCCGCCCACTTCTGATTTCCCTCCTGCGTTAGAGACCTTTTTTGCCGTCTTCGCGCTTTCCAATGTGGATTTTCGAAGTCAGCATGGCGAATAGGCCCAGATAAGCACAAAATCTCAAAATCGACTTTTTGCCCGGACACTGCCTTTAAGGTGCCACCTAAATCCCAAGAATTTTGTGGCGCCAGAAAGATCTACTGTGTGGGAGGGGGGACGCTCAACGGAAAATCCTAATGAGCATCTCTATCTAGCGAGCTTGTGTTTCGACCATTCCTAACCAAAACAAATAGGCATGCACCCAGAATGTCCGAGGCAAATGAATTGCGTTGGGGCACTGGTAGTGGTTCCAGAGTTGCCTGTGCCAGCGCCGTGCCGTCGCCGAGTCGGCCGAAACCAGGCGATTTCACGTGCGCGCTGGCTGGCGATGACATGAAGTTGGTCCAGGCAGTTGTGGACGCAGCTTGAAGGCAAAGTGATGATGCAATATTTTATTGTTTTGTACAATTCCATGGAAATGATTTGCACAATTCATCTCATAAAAATATAGAGGTGTTTACACTGTTTCTGGAGTCGTATAACAGTGCACGAGTTCTCTACATACAGATCCAATGAGTAGTTGGTTTTCGAATGGAATTGTTATAGAAGATGCAGAAATAAGTCGTCCATCGTCAAGGAATGGCTCGCTAATTTCCCATGACTTAAAGCCTTTCGAGAATTTGATTCGCAGCACCTGAATGTATTGTAATTGCTAAATTCTAGGTATCTTCTATAGCTCGTAACTCATTAAGCCTTATACCTGAGAAGGTGCGAGTTTGCTGGGATCGTCGCAATCTCCCAGATGTCCAAATGCGTCTTTTAAGACTGGATGAGCTCCCTAAACTGTTTTCTGTGTGCAATGGCTTTTATTTGGTTTACTGCTCACCGTCCACACATCTCCATTCTTATCAACATAGAGATTATCCATTGATGTCAACAAGTGGACGTTAGCAACTTTCGTAAGAGACTTGTAGCCCTGCAATCCTCAAATGCTTTGAGAGTTCAGAACCAAATCCAGCGCACCTACCTTATCCACTTCGTAAACGGACACTGTCTCGTCGTTGAAATGGGAAACAAAAAGATGTTTGCGTTCGCGATCGAAAGCCACTCCATTGGGCGAAGTGGCCTTCGGCAAAAGCCAGGAACTTACCTGGAAAAAAAATCTACAGTTCGTTTTCGTCGTACTTTATTAAAAGCCATGTCAGTGTCATAAAATCTTGAGAGATATTTGTTGCCAAAGAATTAGCGGCGCAAATCCAAGGCTATCAATTTTATCCGGCAGGAGTTCCGTTTTTATTACGTTACACACAAATCTTATAACAATCTGTATGGGACTTCCTGAGTGCTAATTGCAAAGCTGAAATTCAACCTGAAGTTGCTGGTAGATCAACCTAGTCGTGCGGTGGAATCTTTCGTGAAAAAATTAACAATTCGATTGAAAAAGCGGCATTCGCAATTGTAGTCGATTCTATAGGTAAGTAAAAAAGTTCTTGGACATTGCTTTTGAACAAAGAGTTTGTTTTGATGTAGGGGGGAATATTGCACACGGTGGAAAGTAAGTCCTACAAATCTATGATAAGCTCGAGAAGATCCATGTTCAGGCAAAAATTAAAACATTGATTTTTCTAACTCAGATTTTCACCTTCCGAAAACATTTTGACGCTCAGGCTGTATTCAGATACGTGCATAATCACATATACAAGCTGTATGGAATTCTTTCATTTGAGAAAAAGGAATGGTTGAAAAGCGGCAAACTCCACCCCCTTGATCCTGACTCCTCGCAATATAACCTAGATGCACACAGAGCGCAGCTGCAAACTTTTACCACTCAGACAGTCGAAGGGATACCTCCGGAGGGCAAATGCCGGGGCCCTCCCATTTCATGCGTTTTGCTGCTCCGGGCTCCTCCAAATCTGGCGCAACCCGCAGCAGAGATTGAGCACCGAGGAGGGGTCCCATTTTTCCCATTTCGCCTTCTTGTGACGTCACCGTGAATGAGAAAAATGGGACCCCTCCCCGGTGCTCGCAAATCTCTGCTGCGGGGTGCGCCAGAGTTGGAGGAGCCCGGAGCAGCAAAACGCGTGAAATGGGAGGGCTCCGGAGCACGAAGTGGCAGACCCCCGGCATTTGCCCTCCGGAGGTATCCCTTCGACTGTCCGAGCACGTGCATGCATTGTACTCCGTGAAACAGCAGATTCAATATAAAAATGTCCAAAAATTTTCTTACCAACTTGATAGCAGCAATCTAAAACACGCTGCGCGAACAACTGTGTGCAACTCCTGTGCTTTCTGTATGTTCCATCACAACTTTCTTCAGGTGGTCCCAGCTATGGCATAAAGAACTTCCTGCTTGAGGCAACGCTACTCATTCTCACTATCGCAAGATCCTAAGGGTCAGGGTCCAGTGATGTGTCGAGGGCGCTTCCCCTGAGAATGGGTCCCGAATTTTCAAAAGTTGTTTTAATGAGTTACAAAAGGGTGCAAGTGACTCTTTTATACTTGTAAATAACTGAAATGATTTTTAGAAGTTTTGAGAAATTCAAACCAGGTTTGTAAAATTTTACGGGTTTGACACCCACCATGCCCCTTTTTAAGATTCCGGGGTTATGGGCCCGCAAAAATTTTTTGAAGCAGCTCAAAAAGATTTATGGAGTGTAACAGCTTTATTGGTCGTAAAACCCAGTTTTTCGATTTGACCACCCTCCTCCTCCCTCCCCCGTGCGGAAATCCTTGTACTTCCACTTGATCGTAACCATCAATGCGTTAATTTTTTTTGCACAGGCTATACCTTCCCGTCGTAGTAAACAATGTTTCCGGTGGGTATCATCGACAGCATCTCAAGAAAATTCAACGTTGATGTTTGTGCCCATCCATCGTTTGTCAGAATAAAAGCATCTTCCGAGATTGCTGCTAGATTATTGGGTCTACAATACCGCTCACATTTTTTGAAAAAAAGACGCGAATGTATGGACATGTATGGACATGTACGGACATGTCCATACATGTATGGACATGTCCGTACATGTCCGTACATGTCCATACATGTATGGACATGTCCATACATCAGCGTCGCGTGGCCATATCTCGCTTCAGAGTGGACGAATTCTGAATCCAAGGCCATCGTTCGATTCAGCTCGGCGCGGAGAATCTTCTGATATATTGGAAGTGGGGGTACGATGTTTTCGATATTCCGTTTCCAGTTTTTTCAATTTGTTCTGCGGAGGTCCTTTCGCAAATATGTGAAGCAACGCCTACCCAACATAGAAGACTTTACTAAGAACTATTCGATAATACTGTTCTTGTAAATTATTGTGCGCTAGAAAATAGGCTCACACTTCTTTCCAAAGGAGGTGAAAGCGTTGGTGAATTTTGGAAAAATCACGCGTTTCTAAATTCTACTCGCCATAACTTCCTTCGGAATAAGTATATTTTGAATCCGAAAACTGCGCCTTGCTCATCTCATCAAGTCGAATCTTCCTATGTACAGCATGTCCTTGGTATTTCGATTTCAGTATTCTTGAATCTTTCTGAGGACGTCTTTTCGCGAAGGTGTAATGCAGCGAACATTGTCCCGAGTACATTTCAGCAAGGATCTTTCGATAGCACTTTTTCTGTAGATTATGATGTGCTAAATGGTAGTCGCAGGTTTCTTTTCAAAGGAAATAGAAGGGCTGGTGAATAGTGGAAAAATCTTGTCGTCCCAAATTCTACTCGCCATATCAGCAGGATACGAAGCTATCTTGCTAAGCAGATGTGAGTTTCGAAATCAGCAGGTCGCATAACCTCTACGAGCAAGTTTTCCGATATGTTCGGGTCATTTCATTTTTCTCGCTTTACGCTCCGAAGCGCTCCGATGGATTTTGGTCAAAATGTTGATGCTCTTGAATTGTAAGGAAACTTCGCTTACAGAGGTTTTCAAACACGCTCTTTACGAAAATCGTGGTCTTTGAGGATTAAAGGGTCTTTTTGGAGAGATACGGTGAGGTGACTGTAACTTCATCACGAAAGTACGTAACTTTGGCCGCACTTCTCGCGTATCTGTCAGAAACCTTGCCTGCTTGCTTTTCTCAGTCAAAGTTACTAGGAAGTGTGCTATCGAATGGTGTATTACTCAGGCTCCAGTCTGTGAAATTCGCCGAGTTACGAGCCTACAAATACACGTCCTCATGAATTTTGCCCAAATTGTAAAGATCGCATATCTCGTCGAAATTCCTCCGCGAGCGCTTGTATTAGGTCATTCGGAAAATTTTTTCGTTTTTGCACCTCCAAATTCAAACGAGCACAATTTTTCCCTGATTCAGCCTTTTTCCATCAAATAAACTGCATTGTGTTCAGCAAATTTCTGGTTACACTGTTATAGTGCTCTTGTGCTTTTTTCTTGCGGAATGATCTCAGAGGAATCACTAAAGCCTGAAAAGGCGTTTTTGATTAGTCAATCTCTATTAGGTCCTACTATTTTTTAATAGGCACCGAGGAATTGGAAAATTCGGTGACTGGTAAAGGAAGGTCTAAAGAGTTTGAAAAATAGACAGGAACCTCGGTGCGCAGTCAACCCCTTTTGTGAGAGCCACTTTTCTTACATGTGGTTTGGCGGAGTCATGAGCGTGGATGGCAACTCTCATAGCTTATACGTGCAAGTCTGCTTAGTTTTGAAATTTTGACAAACAGTCTTCAGACTACTCTGCTCTTACAGTACAATAGCATTTTAGCAAGTTTATAGCGTACAAGACCAGCAGGATTACATTAATTTGAGTGCATCAACCTTTTGGAATGACAGATTGTTCTGGTCATGCTTTCAATGCTTATTCCAAATGATTTACCACATTGTCGCTTCTCATTGCCGCACTTAGCCAATTTTTTGCTGTAATTAATAACTCAGGCTGGAAAAGGATTGCTACATAAAATTATGAGCGACGAAAGCAGAGTCAACGCGCCCTCAAACTGCGATTGCGACAATTTGTGGGTACATGTCGCTGAAATTTTTCGGTATTGCAGCTTTAGCGAAGGTGGCTCCTAATAGGTTATATGACACTTCAGGGCCTGCTGATAATTTTACGCAGCTATAATTGCGATTTAAAGGACCCTATGAGATGCTCGTTTATATGGCAGAAACACCTTCCAGGACACTGCAAAATATTAGCTTTCACTCCTCTAGATCTGAACTTTCTGAAGTAAACTTGAACTTACCTCAAAGAAGACGTGGTCTTGGCAAATGCATTGCGCACAATGATGGTCTCCTCAAAGGTCTTACGCTCAAATTTAAGCTTAGAGAACACAATTATTCGATAATCACGTTTTCGTATGTCGAATTTAGAGCCGCGTAAACTCCCCTACAAAGCGTCTTCTGCAATTTCGGTGGGATCCCAGAAACTAGAAGACTTCCTCTACAGATCCATATATGGCAACCCTTAACAGCCTCCTGACACCCTCTTAAAATATGGTATCAACATCAGAGGCACAAAAAGGAAAAAACTATCCGAATGACCTAATACAATGCGCTGATCAAATCCTTCCATATTTTTAATGAAACCTTTTTGTGTTAGATTTGGTGCTTTGAGCTCTAGCCACGAAATAGCTTTGATATTCAGTTGAGCAGCTGAAGCAGACGCAAGCACCATATTCAGTGCAGTGGGAGACGTTCAACGAAGCGAACATAATATCTGCAACGAGCGTCATACAAGCGCTCACGGAGGAATTTCGACGAAATATGCGATCTTTACATTTTGGGCAAAATTCATGAGGACGTGTATTTGTAGGCTCGTAACTCGGCGAATTTCACAGACTGGAGCCTGAGTAATACACCATTCGATAGCACACTTCCTAGTAACTTTGACTGAGAAAAGCAAGCAGGCAAGGTTTCTGACAGATACGCGAGAAGTGCGGCCAAAGTTACGTACTTTCGTGATGAAGTTACAGTCACCTCACCGTATCTCTCCAAAAAGACCCTTTAATCCTCAAAGACCACGATTTTCGTAAAGAGCGTGTTTGAAAACCTCTGTAAGCGAAGTTTCCTTACAATTCAAGAGCATCAACATTTTGACCAAAATCCATCGGAGCGCTTCCGGAGCGTAAAGCGAGAAAACTGAAATGACCCGAACATATCGGAAAACTTGCTCGTAGAGGTTATGCGACCTGCTGATTTCGAAACTCACATCTGCTTAGCAAGATAGCTTCGTATCCTGCTGATATGGCGAGTAGAATTTGGGACGACAAGATTTTTCCACTATTCACCAGCCCTTCTATTTCCTTTGAAAAGAAACCTGCGACTACCATTTAGCACATCATAATCTACAGAAAAAGTGCTATCGAAAGATCCTTGCTGAAATGTACTCGGGACAATGTTCGCTGCATTACACCTTCGCGAAAAGACGTCCTCAGAAAGATTCAAGAATACTGAAATCGAAATACCAAGGACATGCTGTACATAGGAAGATTCGACTTGATGAGATGAGCAAGGCGCAGTTTTCGGATTCAAAATATACTTATTCCGAAGGAAGTTATGGCGAGTAGAATTTAGAAAAGAAAAAATTTAGAAAAGAAACAGTATTATCGAATAGTTCTTAGTAAAGTCTTCTATGTTGGGTAGGCGTTGCTTCACATATTTGCGAAAGGACCTCCGCAGAACAAATTGAAAAAACTGGAAACGGAATATCGAAAACATCGTACCCCCACTTCCAATACATAAGAAGATTCTCCGCGCCGAGCTGAATCGAACGGTGGCCTTGGATTCAGAATTCGTCCACTCTGAAGCGAGATATGGCCACGCGACGCTGATGTATGGACATGTCCATACATGTATGGACATGTACGGACATGTACGGACATGTCCATACATGTATGGACATGTCCGTACATGTCCATACATGTCCATACATTCGCGTCTTTTTTTCAAAAAATGTGAGCGGTATTGTAAAATCATAAAGCCGTGTATGGACTCCCAGCAAAGGGAAGAACTTACCTGATAAACTTCTCATCCGCAATAATTCTGACCAAGTCAAGCTGTCTAGTTTTACTGTTCCAGTCAAGAATTAGCACTGAATGCTTGAAGTCCTTGGAATGGTTAATGACAAAAAGTCGAATAACGCCTTTGGATGTGACTATGTGTGAAATGCCATGGGGATGAAATTGTTTCTGGAAAATCTACATCAGAAGTCGGCCATGTCAGCCAACTACGTTCAATTATGGTCTTACTCGATCGAATTCTCCATTGATAACCACTGGTTCAGCCTTGAATGTGCCTTTCTGTTTGAAGTCGTAGAGGAAGATTCTACCTTTGACGTACTGAAAATCTTTCAATTCGTCACAGGAAAAGTGTTTTCAGTTGAAATGACATTTCCAAGAGATCTATAGCATTTCAAAGGGCATCGAACGGTATCAAACCTGTCATTATTATCTGCCAGGCGCCTCTCGCAAAGTAATGAGAACTTTTCGAGTAAAACTACTGAAAAAACCACTAAACCATTGTAAAAAAAGGAACAAAAGCGTTCGAAGTTGCTCAAATGTTCCAGAATTGAACCTCAGGGGAACATTATGCAACTTAAACATATTCATTATACTTGTACTAGAATTGTTTTATTTGAGCGCAGGAAGGACCAAAGTAATTTTATCTTCGACATACTTTTCGGAGGACGTGCGTTATACTACAAAGACCTCGCCGCCAAAGCTCGCCGCCATAGTCGGCACGCGCGCCGAGCTGGCTTACTGTATCCCGCACCCATTTTGCACCAGTGAGTCTAAGGGCCGTATGTACTAACATCCCTGCGGCGAGGGGAGCGGCATCCCCCATTATGAAGGGGTCGCGTGCGGACGCCGCTACGACTTTTACATCATTGGGGACGTCGCTCCCCTCGCCGCAGGGATGTTAGTGCATTCGGGCCTAAGCCATGAGGCAGTCGCGCGGACGCAGCCTCGCCAGCTTTGTCGCGTTGCGACGTCGCGCGCGATGTCGCGAAATTTACAAAAAGTTACATGAAATTACTCAGAAAAAATTTCTCTTTCAGATATTAACGTGCGATATCGTCCGCCGCACCGCATAAGGCGAAAATTTCAAAAAAAAACTTGTTAATCTCCTGTTTTCTGTTTGATTCATGTTCATTTTGAAGTAAAATTAAGGAAAGAAAATCTGGCATCAGTTATCTACTTTTGTCCTAATAAGTTAAGTCCTCAGGTCATCATCACCTGTTACTAACCTCAACTTGCAATCTAGGCCACAGGTCACAGCTTGCAGTGACAATTAAGTATCTATGCCATGGCAAAAACAAACATGAAACAAAAAAAGGAAACTGAAGAAACACTAGGGAATTTTCAAACGAATCTTTTGTTTTTATTTGGAAATATATAAAAGAACGTCCAAATAGAAAACAGGAAATTAACCAAGTTTTTATTTTTGAAATTTTCGCCTTATGCGGTGCGACGGACGATATCGCACGTTAAAATCTGAAAGAAGAATTTTTTCTGAGTATTTTCACGTAACTTCGTGTAACATTCGCGACATCTCTGTCGCACCGCGACAGAGCTGACGAGGCTGTGTCCGCACGATTGCCTCATGGCTCAAAGGCATTGTCCAGGTCAACTGAGGGGTGCTGGGATTTTGGAATAGTGTGGGAGCACGGCTCCTGACTAATGCAACAGTTCAAGTCCGATTGAAAAAGGTGGATTCTGAAGCGAGAAAATCGCTCCTGAAAAAAGGGTCGTTCCTCCAATCCCGCTTCCTTGACGAGTTTTGACGTGGTTGATATGTTAGATCTACAGCATTCGCCACGTCAAAACTTGTCAAGGAGGCGGGATTGGCGGAACGCTCCTTTTTTCAGGAGCGATTTTCTCGCTTCAGAATCCACCTTTTTCAGTCGGACTTGAAGTGTTGCATTAGTCAGGAGCCGTGCTCCCGCACTGTGTCAAAATCCCAAAACTCTCCAATTGACCTGGACAATGCCTTCAAGCTCACCGGTGCAAAATGGGTGCGGGACAGTAAGCCAGCTTGGCGCGCGTGCCGACTATGGCGGCGAGCTTTGGCGGCAAGGTCTTTGTAGTATAACGCCACGCCGCCTACTTTTCGCCTAAAAAACACAACTCGACGTCCAGAGACGATCGACAGATAATGAGAACAGGTTTGGAATCAAAATTCACTTTGCTTCAAATGAAGTAATATTTGTTTGGAAAGGGGAGTCATAGCTTGCCGCGCAGTGTGCACGCTCACATTCTGTAGCAGATTACGAAGCTCTCCAGTATACTGTCTAGAATCTGTCTGGATCTGGAAATCAAAGAAAATTTACCTCCGCTCGAGGTTGGATGTAGTAGATTCCTGAAGTCACAAATGCAATGCCTTCCTCTTCTATGAGGGCTATGTCCTCAGAACCGTGTTCTGAACTGAACGAATTTCGGAATAGAATACCGTATCGATAACAACTGACCGATTCCATCTACTTTCCTGCAGTAGCCGGGTCGGTGATTGTAAACTCTTTTGTTTACGTCCAGTACAAGCCTAAAGTTTTGGTTTGTTGGTGTAGGTCATATCTGCTCCATTCCCTATCCCATGGGAGAAAGAATGATTTTACTGCGGCGTAGAAAGTCCGCATTCTTTCTCATTCAAAATTTGTTTTTAGAGTGCGCCCATCTTAAGAAGGCAGTGGCGGAACGAGGCGCCAGGAGATCGAAAAATTTTCGAAAGTACTTACATGAGTTATACAAATATGCAAGTGAATTGCTTATACTTGTAAGGGACTACAAAAAAATTTTAATTTTTCAAAAATTCAAACTAGCGCTGTAAAAACAATTTTGAGCGTAGCTGAGCACGCCCCACAAAACTTACTGATTTCGGCCTACGAAAATTTTGTTTGTATAGCTAAAACTTTCAAAATGCGCGTCTAAGGCCACGCACCTCATTCAGAAAAAATTCTCCTCCCCTTCTCTTCCGAAGGAGATACCGGGACCGCCTTTACTGGAAGGCTTAGACATCGACAAGTGCCCGAAGGTTGTGCGCAAAAATACTGTGAAAGAGTTCCCTTAGGAGGATATATTAGGTAGTTTCCAAAGTTCTTTCCGGTTTTCATCTGTCATCGGAACGCTTGGAATAAAGATACGCTTTGTAAACCATTCGATGCAGCCTTTTTTCCGCTTTCCAGCAGCGGTCATGTTTCCAGACCATTTGCTTCTGTGTTCAAGATAATCGCCAGAATCCCAAACCCATGGTTTTCGCCACATTCACTGGCACAAAATTTGCGATCTCATTTCTTGGGAGAATTGTAATAACAGATGGATAGATCACAAAGTACAACACAACAAATATTTTGGACCTTTCTGATTAGCTTTCTAGTATTTTTTAGATGATTTTTTGAACGAGTCTTCACTTTCGCAAAGCCGTGTGATACATGAACGCAACAAACGCTAGAATTCCCCGGAATTTGAAAGTTCCAGAACTCGATAAACATTCAACACTAAATTTAAGAGCAAATGAGCTTTTTCCTAGAGATATCTGCATGGTTCGACCCGTTACATTCGGCATCTGTCACTTTAGCTACTTTTCAGTGACTTCCGTTGGGTTTGCAACAAAAGCTAGTTTGGGGAATGGAAGTGTGATAGTGTATTATTAGCAACGGATTATCCTAGCAATTGATTATCTTTGTCAGTCCGTTGGTTTATGGCGCACTAGAGTGCATAATAAATAAATAAAATAAATATATAATAATAATAAATAAATAAAATATCGACCATTGAAAATTTGCATATAGCCGTGCGCGTCCAGAAATGCACAGTTTGGATGATTTCATACTGCAGGTTTCATAGAACGGGAAGAAAAAAACGGTTCTGGGAAAGCGGAAAACAAGTTACATCGAACAATAGCCAAGTTGTCGGTTGATGTTCTGTAAAGTTTGGCTGATAGAGATATGGAGTTTGTTAACGAAAAATAATTTTGATAATAATCTAGGAAAGCCACTTGGAGAGCCAAGTATCATAGTGTTGAGCCTTGTTTGCCTTATTTAGCTATTGTCAAAACTTTTTCAGAAGTTTAGAAGATGAAAAATTGCCAAACTGGGGCATGGTGTAGCACAGGTCAAACCTTCTGCGAATATATTCCTCCTAGGATCGACCGACCCACATTCGACTATTGTTCACGTAAAACCCTTCTTCACTTCATCAAGGATCGAACTCAAATATTTGCTACTACCACCGAGATCTGCACTGACGGAAGCTTCAGCTGGGCCTACGCCCAAAGCCTTTCACGCAACCGCCACAACCCTCCTGCTTGTTGCGGCCAAGCGTTACAACGCACAAGTCAGCAACGGCTGTATATAGGTCTCTCGCTCAATCACCATCCATTTTCTAGTTGATGCGGCAGGTGAGTTGTTGCACAACATAGCGGGGACCGACTTCCTTGGCCACCGTCCTGCTGTTACATCAACCAACGCCCTTTATGGGGTCCCATGAGCGAGAAGTTAGGCACCTTAACCCAACGTTTTTGGTTCATCCCACAGGCCAGTTCTGCTTACAAAAACTTGGAGCTTGCGTTCTTGTCAACAAAACAACAAAGAAACCGAGACAACATACCCATTGAAAGCTTGAGAATAGGTTGAGGGCGTTTCGACCTCAAGTCCTTTGATCGTTCACTTTACCCGATATAACCGCAATGACTCCAGCTATCCTGTGGGAAACTTCGGAGATAACTAGCTACTAGATGGTTCAATTGGTCTTGTGCCCCTATATCCAAGCCTATCGAAAGATTTGCACGTCAGAACGGATACAGACTATCATCAGAGTCTCCTCTGACTTCGTCCTGCTTGGCATGGTGAACCATCTTTCGGGTCGCAACCTGTACGCTCTATCGGAACCCTCTGCGATCGGACAAGACAGAGTTACGTTGCGCCTCCTCTGAAGACGGATCCCATATCACTTGTTTAACCGGCCTTTACCTTCATGCCATGGGGTTTTCCACCCTTTGACTCGCGTACATGTCACACTTCTCGGCCCGTCTTTCAAGACAGGTCGGAAAGGTTGTCGACTTTCATACTGACACCCTGCAAAGCAGGATAAAACACTAGCCACGGCAAATCTACCAGCAAGCGAGACCGTGAGCAACGCAAACGGTTCGAAACGCACAGCCAGTGCTTCAGCGCAGCCGTAGGCAACATGCATCCGCCGCCACCACAATTAAGCGATTGCAAACTTTTACTCACTACGTCAACTTTCTCTCTCTTGAGCTCTCTCTCCAAAGTTCTTTGCAACTTTCCTCAACAGTACTTTTGCTACCTAATTCTACATTTAGCCTTAGAAGAAGTTTACCACCCACTTTAGGCTGCACTCAAATAACCGAATTCAGATATGACCATACAGCTTGTTTCATTGTCCGCACAGGTCTCACACACTCTCAAGAATGTGTCTTCTGTCAAAGGGATTTTGGACATGCAGCACAAAGTGAAAGCCACATTTATACGTTAGTCTTCTCAGCGGCATAACACCGAGCGATTCAGCACGCGCGTCGATTCTACAGGGAAGCAAATGGTCGCAGAACATGACCAGAAAAGAAGAAGAAATATTGCGTTGCATTGTTCTTGTGTGCTCATCTTTCTTCCATCTTTTATGGTAGATAAAAAAGTGGAGAATTTTTGGAACCTAGTATTAGTATACCTACTACAAAGGCCTATCAAAAGCTATTGATGTTATTTTTGCTTTCATATGGCATTTGAAGACTTGCTCTTGCTCCCTTGCGCACCTTTTCCGTCTGAAATAACCAAGACTGAGTAAGGACCGTTAAAACTAAGGCTCCCGCCAGAGTGCCGAAGTTATGCCAGGCGCTACGCCAGCATTTCGATCGATACACGTGTATTTCTTGAGGACGTCAGCTAGCCCCGCCCCAACGAAATACACGTGTATCGATCGAAATGCTGGCGTAGCGCTGGCATAACTTCGGCACTCTGGCGGGAGCCTAAAGATCACTTGCACTCAATTCTCGACACAACTAGCGCATTGAAAGCTTTTTTTAGAGAGCATGGAATATGTTTTTGACGGAACTATGTAAAACTGCGAAATACGGCATATTTTTCGCATTCAAACTGAGAAACTAATACCGAGATGAATGGTTGAGCAAGTGATGACAAGGAAAATTTTTGGACGAGAACGAGGCAATCGCCAATGTTTTTCTATCGCCTCTATTGTCTATTTGTTTCTCAATCTTCTGAAATTTCCGAAGGATCTTTGCTCTGCGAGGGTTCTACTTGAGAAAAAACGGATTCGCAGAACTTGATCAAATTTGCTTGAGACAAAAGCAGAAAACAGTAGGAGTTCAACTTACATAATTTTGAACACGTATGCAGCTAATACTCCAAAGATTGTAATCAGTAACAGTGTCCGAATCATCCTGTAACAATGCTATCAAGACCTAATTTATCTCTAGAAATTAAAAGAATTTGACAAATATTCACGCAGGCACATGGTCTCAAAAACACTTCAGCCTATCTCAAATTAGTTCGCCTAACTCTTCTATCCATCTGCATCATCAAGCTGAACGGAACTTCTGTCTTACTTCTGTTGAAAATTCGTGAGTTCATCTAATTGAAATTTACGAATTGCACTCAGGGGTTTTGTAAAGTTACCTTAATGGCTTCTCCTTCAAGAATAGGACCGAAGCCGAAGAAGAAAATCACTCCACTAAATTTCTTCGGGTGAGCCACCAAAATTCGAACCTTGCTGTTAATTGGTATAAGTTTATGGCCTACTCTTTCTGAATAAGCAGTGTGTTCGTTCTCTCTCCAAACCTCTTCACATTATGAGAAGTTATAATTCTGAAGAAAAGGCAGGGTAGTTACATTTGCTGCTCTGTACTCCAGAAGATCACAAGGAGCAGATTTCTAGACACTTCATTCTTGACCAGCCCTTGGTAGTAATCTGATTGGGTGCTGTTACAAGGCGCATGATTTATTCTCTGTGATATTAGGTTGTTGAGGAAGTTCTTCGGCACTTTTGGAGATCTTATTTTCAAATGCACTTTTCTTGCGCCAGGTTGAATCTAGGAGCAATATTTTTGTAGCGTTTTGAATGTCTGCTCAAGCTGAGTAACAAAAAAGAAGTCTTATCGCTGATCCCCACAATTTTTCTTTCTGATGACAATTTTTCGCATTGCTTCAAGCGAATGGTCTAAATTTTAGATGATCTGAATAATAAATCTGTCGACTGCAGCAGCAGTTGCATATTCGACACAAGCGCGAAATTTCACAAGCTGTCAAACTTGATTCCAAGTATTCTTTTCGCAGCAGTCTTCGCTTCTGTGGAAGTCGCCACGCCTGGGTGATGGTTCCAAGGGATGCGCAAGCTACCCCACGTTTGCAATAGCCAAAAATTTCTCATTCCGTGCAGAACGAGTATGCTTCAAACCCACTCAAAAAAATGATGCATTGTTGTGGTGTGAAAACGAACAATTTTGCAAATTTGGAATAACTTTTACGGGGGAGGGGGCACCTGGGATATTGAATCGTTCTTATAACAGCCTCAGTAGCCTCCAATATATCTACAGCATATGAGCTCGCCAGCACTCATCATGTTTGAGAAATTTAAAGTCGATATCTCTCCCTTTGCGCTGGTGTCCCATGATAGTGCTGGAAAGCCACAAGGCAAGCATATGTTGTAGAGACGACTTTTCAACAAGAGTTACGTCAGATAGGACTATTAGCTCAAGGTTATAGCAGTTTTAAAAAAATTTCACCAGCGCCCGGGTTCATTTACAACCTAGTAATAGATTTGCAAACTGATAGCGAGAAGTTATGACTTTTCCATCGGTGCGAGGGATCTTATCAAATACAAGCAGTCAAGGGACTATGTAGAAACCATATCTATGCTTGAGGAAAGCAAGAAATGTTGATTTTTTCCAAATTGCTTGAGCACAAAAAGAGCTTGGAGGAAAAGTGTAGATAACTCATCTCTCACATGCAAGAAAATTTAGCGACACATTCGAAATGGATGAATTACTATTAAATCCAAACAGTCGATTTAAAATATAACATAATTTGCCAGAAATGTGGGAGAGTGCGCAAACGTGCTGGAGATGGCAAAACAGACGACCCGAAAACCTTTGGTAAGGTAATTGATGTGGCAACACAACTGTCACCAGTGTTTCTCGTGCTGTTATTCTGTTACTTTTCGCTAGACTCCAAAACTTTCGGAACACCCGCAACTTACATGCATGTAAGAAGGGTGCTTGAGAGAAATGTATCAAAAGGTAATGACGACATCGTGGGCCACCGATGGCCCAAGGAACTTTTTCAGGAGTCTCGTTTCTATTATCATGTTCCAGCTCATTCATCCTATCTTTTCAGTCACAAACTTTGTTCTGCAATAATTATTAACAACTTTATCTCGAAGAAACTAACTGGGAAATGCAACCAGCTGAACTCAGATTTCAACTCACATTATTTGACCTCCTCATGTACAGCAGAAATATTCCATTAGTTCGAATTCACTTTCGAGTGAAAAGTTGATTAAATTTTTTTTTGAACTTCATAGCCTGGAGGAGCGTGGAAATGTAAAATGAATAGTCAAACTAAGTTTACCCAGTCATCCTGTGTGTAGCGGCTCTTTTGCTGTCTAAGGCCCCGGGCAGACTTCACGCGATTTGATCGACTGAATCGCGACTAGACAACTGTTACAACATCATTCCATGCCGATCAACTTGCATTCGGTTGTGATACTTTTCCAGCCCGAAATTTTTGAATGTGAAATGAAAATGAATGGAAATCTTGGCGATTAGATCGCGACGATTAAGTGGCGTGAAGTCTGTCCGGGGCATAAGTCCGCATCTAAATTTAGGGACTTTTTTGTATTCTTTAGTTTCCAGCCTTAATAAAAGGCGAATTGATAAAAATATACTCCAGTTCAATCTCAGCTGATCTTTCTGAGATGCGGGCGGTTTTTGCTCTTTTTTTTATTCCTTTTTGAGCTTTTCGGGATGAGTACTTTGGCGCTGTAAAGGCATGAATAACTAGGTACCACCGAAATTTGCCATCATCACCTCTACGCCAAAAAGTACAAAGAAGTTCCAATCATAGCCGAAAATTCCAAAGATTTGAATCAAATATTTAATTAAGATTTTGAATGAAAATTGAGCTCTCGCAGCCAAGGAAGTCTCTAGGGTACCCGTGTTATCCCAAGAGAGTGCGATGGCACAGTGTGCTAGCTCCGTGTGCTAATCTCGATGAATTGATACAAGAAGCTTGCACCTGGCCCGGCAAGACGCTAGCACGAACTGGCATGGCATTGGCACAGCTTCGGCACTCAACCATGGACGCAGCTTAAGTCAATGGTGATCAGTTTTACTGTTTATCCTCACTTAAAAATAAATATTCACATTTTATCTCATGAAAATATTCAGGTTTATTTGCGAATGCCTTTTGCAATGCAGAAAAAAGGAATTGCAAGGAAAAATGCCTTTTTTTTAGAGTGTGCGAAGAAGCCTTGTCAATTAGCGAATAAATTAGCGTTACCTATCATTTGCCAGCACAAACCATTTCACATTTTCACATAATTATTCTTCGTTCTCTGTTCTCCACGTTTCCCTTTTTTGATCTACAGAATGATGGAATGGTAAAGAGCCAAAGTTTCTACTCAAGTAGCTTGCATGATGTACATTCCGCAAACAGACTGGGAAACCTGATTGTGGTAAATTCACACCTGCAAGGTAGTATCACGCATTTGTTTCAAGGACAATGCCACCTCGCTCATTTGCAAACCTCAAGATTTATAAATGATTTTGCAATAAAATTCGGTCAGCAGTTTAGAATGGTGGCGGACGCTCTCCCTCCCTGCATTCAGTACTCAGAACATAAAATTAGCCAAACAAACAGTTTTTGTTCGTGAACAATTGGCATACTTTTATTTCTGTGCAAAATGGTTTCATCAGATTTTGAGGAGATGACTGACTTATGCCTGTCCCTCTGTAAGCTCACGAAAATTTGGAAAAGACCAAATAAGGTTTGGAACGAGTCAGTTACCTTTCGCACACTGTCACCTCTTCCCTCTAGTGGAAGTGATTCTTTGAAAAAAAAATCAGATGGCCTGACGATGATGAAGTTGAGAATAGGCTTAAATAGCAGAGAAAACCGCGACGTGATCGGAAATTGGAGTTTTTATTTGGTAAAAACTTTTCTTTCGTTTCAGATTGCTTTTAAGGGCTAAAATTCGTTTGAAAACACTAAAAAGCTTCTTCAAATGGGATTCAGAAGTGATGGTCATACTTACAAGATGAAAAACCCATTTGAGGGTTTTATGTCGCTCATCCAAAAACAATAATGGTCTTGCCTTCTCTCTCTTTCCAATTACTTTTTTACCGCTGTTGGCTCATTTAAAGAGGCGCGATCACATGAAAATTTTGGGTACACTTGTTCCGAATAAAAATTCAAAAAGGTATTTATACAAACGACTTGTAGCTGAAAAGAGGCTCAGCAATCTCCGATCATCGTGTAAAACTTGGGTTCGTTCTTTCAAAATTTCATTTTTCCTTCCATACTGCAATTTTAAATTTCACTCTAGAGTTTGTGATTCTGTTGAATAATTACAGTTGCGTGGGCGAAGCAGTTTTTATCCATAAACTACTTCATTTTCAAACTTTTATGGCTTCTTTAAATTTCAGTCAAAAGTCATTTTCTTGTTGAGTAAAGAGGTGTGAAACCGATCGTCTTCAAAGTCACTGTGAGAAAAGCGTTTCTATGTAGCTCTCACAAAAAGAAGTGAGCGTAAAAACATTCTAACCTCTATTACCCCACTTTCCTATTCTGTTTTATCCTCTTAATCATCACTAGATGCTATATTTCTTTTTTCTTCTACTTATATAAGGTTTCGAATTCTGAAAAAGTTTCTAGTGTATTTTCCAAAAATTTCAGCCCTTAAATTTGGCAAAACAAAGGAAATTTTTACCCAAAGTAAACACCATCTTGATCTGCACTTTTGTTCCACCTTGGGTTGAGCAACATTTTTGCTGAAAAGAAATTACATTCCACTGTACCGAAAATGGTGAATCAACAATGTAAAACTGCATATCGCAAAAATATGCGAAAACCTGATTATTGGAGAGAAGGGATGCGCAAGTTTTGAGGCAGTTATCAACGAATGAGATTTAAATGCAACTATGAAACCACAAATCCTCAACTATGTCGACTATTTCAGGTTAAAGGCAGCGTCCTGGCAAAGTATTGCTGGGAATTTTCAGCGTTGCAATGGTAACCCCCCCCCTCCAACTAACCTATCAGTGAAGTCTGGAGCGAAAAATTTCATCTGGAAAGCCTGAATTCCACTCCGGAAGTCTTCTGGACTCTGCCCCCTCTTCTGGACCCCGCCCACTTACAGGCATTTTTTAGCAAGCGGATACAAAGAGCTTCGGAAAAAGCTCATTTTCGCCATTTTCATGCACTGAAAAGCTCAGATATGGGTTTAGCATTTCGAAAAGGTGAAAAACTGGAGAGCGAGATCTTTCTCTGGGGAAACAAGTCCTGAATCTGCTTAATGTTTGCGAAAAAACGATTTCATCTATTCCCCTTCATAACAGCATCCCATTCCCTATTGCGACTAATTACATGATCCCTTGCGACCCCACCCTGGGCCAAAGCGGTCGTGTTCTCGCTGCAGTTGCGAGACCACCCGTGAGAGATTCGAATCTCGCTCCACTCGACAAGATTCGCATGGGCTACGGTGGGGAACGACTGCGTTGGGGCGTCGCGGCGTTGTTCATAACATAATTATCGATCGGTGCTCAGTCGTTGATGTGCGTCGGAGTCATTCGTTCATTGCTGAGATGGTTTCCTGCAAGGTTCTTTTAGTGTTACTCTTTCTTCATCGGTATCTCGGTTTTTCCAACGCGGATAGAAAGGGATGATCACTGCATATACGCGTTTCGATCTGCTTACAGGCTAAGTTTGACCATCTCTTTGTTACTTGGAAATAATTGCTTATACAGGAACGTTCTCGATGTCTGCCCTTTTCCAGCTGGTAGGTGAGAAGCTTCTCGAACAATTTTTTCATTTGTGGGAGTGATGATCTCATTACGGGCTTTTCGAAATTCTAAAATGTCACCATAAAAGCCGTGCGTTACACATTCGCATGATGCTTTCGTCAGCCTCCAGTGTTTAGGAATTCTACTTTTTTGTAATGGCTCAAAATCTGTGGAGATTCAGGCGGTGTGACCTGGTTATCTGACACATTGGCATTTGCGATTGTAAATCATGGTTCGTCGCTGTATACATATCTTGCTTTAAGTTTGCTGAGAAATGATTTGATGGAAAGTTCCGTGGATATATCCTTAATCCAAAGATATCTTCGTGCTTCTTTTTCGTTGTCGAGCCTTTTCACTAAAATGCGTGGGAGCAGAGCATACATTCAGGATGTAAAGAGTTGAAACTAGCTTGATAAAGTAGTCTCGGTATGATGTTTTTGAGGAGTGTATTTTTCACTCAAGGTTCGACTCTGCTTTTGTGCAATCACTCCATAAAAAAATCACTTGAAAATGGCGCCATTTCGAAAGGTCGTCCTTCCTTCATCATCGTAGTGTAAGCGAACAAAACTTTTGGAAATTATCGGTAACGAAAGAGCCAGAGGGTCACACTAGCTTTACAGAAATCAGTTACTTAATGAAAGGTTAATGGTTTTGAATTGATGTGAAAAAGTGTCTCCTACCGTTTGTTTTGAACAAAAATTCTTCATTATACCCTCGAAGGTAATAGCAAACTTATATGTCGAGCAAATTTTGCACGAAAACTCCGGTCTTGAATTATCTCGCATTTGAGGCCCTTTTCTCCCTTTTTTTGTTAAAGTTGGAAGTTGCATTGGGGGGAACAAATAGTAAGGAAGTAAAATTTGTGTGGTCCTTCATACATTAAGGGACGGGTTTGTTTTTTCCTCATTCAAAAGAGTGATCATTCTTTTCCCTGCAAAGAAATGCAGGGCATTGCACTGTGATAAGATTGGTCGATACCGCAAGATTCTCTTCATCACCTTCATGTTACTTTCACATCATTCATCGTCTTTACTCGGAACGGTCGTTTGTGATTCAGTGCCGTTCGTTATTCATTTTTCGATTTATAGGTTAGGAATGGCCTGTGGACTAGCTTTGAAGCGCCCACACGAGTATGATTCGTATTTGGCAGACGAAAGTTTCCCACATGAGGCTAAACGGGCTCGCCAAACTGCGGCTCATTGCTCACCATTTCGGCCTCAAATGGGTACTATAGCTGCAAATCTTCCTTCGACTAGTAGTTTTGCTCAGGCTGTGAACAAAGTAATATCATAATGAAATTTTCAAAGCGTTCACTGCATTATCTGTTTTTTTAGGATGATTCGCCCTTCGCCTCAGTGGCCGGCAAATGCCAGTTATCTGAATCCCAGTTGGACGCCTATTTGCGTTCGGAGGTACGGAGTGGTCAGCGCCGGAAGCTGCTGCCGAGAAGAAGTTGTGTAGACGTGAAAATTGAGGATGACAATACTCCACGCAAAGAATACCGGACTCCTAATTCTCCTCCTCAGGTTTGCGTTTTTCCCAAGCATCAGAGTGAAAAGATACCCAGTATTGGCATGAAGAGTGAGGGTTGTGTCACTGTGTAGCTTCAGTGTGGATTGAGTTGAGGCATCTGTCAGACTTCCCTCAGTGGTGCCCAAAATTGCTCAAATGTCTTCGATCCCTCTTCACTTCTCTTCTCCCCTCACACATGTTCTGCGCTAGGCTCCTGGTGCTTTTAGGCCGGCGCGGAAGGAGTGTGAGGAGGGCTGGAGAAATGTAGAGGGAAAGAGAAATTGAGGCGCTTTTTGGGCGAAATTTGAAGGCGCTTAAAAGCAGCGTCCAGGCAGATCTGGACCTATAGGAATTCCACATGGAAACTAATTTTGGGGCCCTAACTAAGGCATTGCCCAAGCAGCCGCGAGGTGATTCACTAATGGCTGAGATATGCGCAAATTGGGCCCTAGGATTGTATTCGCATGGACTCATGGCAGCTTCTCGCGAGGATGCACACGTTGCGCCATGAATCCATGCGAAATAGGATTGTGCGGTCCAGTTTCGAATGGAATATCTCAGCCGTTAGAGCACTACCTGCGCTGCCGGTTGGGCAGTGGCTTAGTTAGGACCCCAAAAATCACGACATACGTGAGATCCCCATGTGTCCAGACTTGCCTGCATGCTGCCTTTGAGGATTTGACGTTTGAGACACTGCCAGTGACAAATTTCCCGTTTTCCAATGCCAACCGTCTTTTTTGATAGGCACTAAATGGGTTTTCGTTCATTTCTCCGCATTGAATGCTGCCCCATAAAGGTGTTGTCTCTTCCACTGTCTAGTTCCAATCCCAAATTTTTGGTCAGAGTTTGATGGCACTCTGTAATCAAAATGTTATCGAATTTCAGTTTTCACCTTACGGACGGACTGTGAAAAATTGACGTCATATGTGCAGCTTAAAGGCAGTGTCCATGCAGATCTGCAGGCATGAGTTTTTTTGCCTAGAAATGGATGAGAGGGTCCTAACTAAGGCACTGCCCAAGCGGCAGCACAAATGTTCCATTCACAGCTTAGAAATCCGTCCCCAAACAGTTCGCGCTTGCGCGTGACCCTTCCGAAAACGATCTGGCTCACTTTAACACTGCGTTCGCGCTCGGACCCGTCCTAAGTGTTAGGCCCCGGGCAGACTTCACGCGATTTGATCGTCGCGACTGAATCGCGAGGAGACAACTGTTACAGCATCATTCCATGCAGATCAACTTGCATTTGGTTGTGATACTTTTCCAGACCGAAATTTTTGAATGTGAAATGAAAATGAATGGAAATTTTGGCGATTTGGTCGCGACGATTAAGTCGCGTGAAGTCTGACCGAGGCCTTACGGTCAAGGCGCAGGATCGGAGTGTTTGGGAATGGAAATCTCAGTCGTAAATGAATCATTTGCGCTGCGGTTTGGGCATTGCCTTAGCTAGAACCTCCTTATCACTTTCCAGGCAAAAAAAAACCATGTGTCCTGCCTGGACACTGCCGAACCGCAGTGTTGTCCTAAGCGTCTATTTTGTAGGTAAAATGCAGCAACATTTAATTCTTTGTATAGAGATTCAGGCAGATTTCGTTTGGAATTTACAGTTTTGCTATGTCTAGCTTTTTGCATTGATTACTCGCAGCGTTAATATATTATTATTAATATATAAAGAAACGTAAGCGCAATTCAAAAATGTGCAAATAGCGGGAAACCGCATAGCGGTCCCGAAGTGCGCGGATGCAATCTAGCACCTTTAGTTGCTGGCTCACTAGTTGTTGAAAAATTCCGTCGTTTGCTTCTTGTAGTTGCTATGCTGTCGAACGTTTGCTTTCTAGATGCGACTAATTTTTCGCAAAACATCATACTGAAATCGCATCTGGTTCGTATCACAGGACGAGTATAGATGTACCTCCAGCTTTGTGAGATGTCTCAAGCGATGTCTTCTTTTGTTAACGTTTACACTAACGCAGTTGGTGTAAATTGTTGTCGAAGTGGGAGTACGTGCATTTTTGGCGATTTTCATAGTATAAATTCGATTGAAATGATTTACACAGCTCAGTATCCAGGCTCTGGATTTACGTGAGCTTGTGCTTTTTTTCTTTGAATTAGGGTGAAGTTACGAGTCAGACTGATTTATGACGGGAAAGTATTGTCTGTACGGGAAACACACTTTTTTGTTCTTGCTTCATTTTCTTTCCTGAAGCTTCTTTTTAGTAATTAGATCAATTAGCGCAGCCAGTGGATTTTACATTATGCACTCTTGGAACCTGATCACATTTTTTTCAATATTCTGTGATATTCACCCGCTAAAGATCTGAGCGATTCTTATTATCTTTTCAGTCTGGATCCGATTCTGATGGTGAAAGTACAAGCATTCGAAAGAGTAGTACTAGTTATCAAGCGCTAGCAGAGAAACCGCAGTTCAGTCTGAAACAGGTGAGTTTCACTAGCTTTGTTTCTCGAAGGTGATTGTTCTTTTTTGAGGTGCGGATGATCTGTGAGCGTCTCCTCAAAGAACAGGAAATGCGCCTTCGATACGAGTATGAAATTGCATTGAATCAAAAATTGGACGGTATGTTCACATATTATCTTATAATATTGTTACTAGTCTCAGTTTGCGTGTTTTCAGAACAACACGAGCAGTACGTTCAGTTTGCCAGTGAGCAAATGGCTTCACAATACAAGGAGAATTCTGCTGGCGAATTTTCGTATCTTTCATGAGTCTATTCGCTCAACTCTGCTTTTTTCTTGAACTTTGAGCATTATGAAATTGTTTGATTGCTGATTTGATGTCATTCTTCTTTCACGAGCATATGAATCTAATTGCCGTCGTTACATAGTGTCTTGGAATTCAGGTCATCTAATATTTGATATATGTATATATCTTCTATCTATAGGTTGTTGCCTGCTGCCTTTCGTGATTTTCGAGTTCTGCTTCTGTAATTCATCATGATCGGAAGCTTGCATCATATTCCACATTACTTGTGATTTGTCCGCTCCCTTGTCATGTCTCGCATGTGTAGCACTATGAGTACGATAATAAATCTTCATTGTCGAGTTTCCGAGAGGTAATTAAATGTGTGTCAAAATCATATTGAGTTGTATTGGGGAGCGAGTGGTTTGGCATGCTCGATACTGCGCCCTTTGGGACATATAGCTATAAATTAGAGGCAGAGTTGGAGTAGATTGTGCATCAGTAGTACGGTTGTTGACGATTTTATTACGGGAACAAGGCAGCAAAAGTCAGTGAATTTGTTTATAAGAAAAAACGACCATTTTAAATATAAAAATCGATCAATAGTAGGACTTGAACTTTTGGGCGAGGAGCAAAGAGCGGAGATACCGGGAGCATTAATTGGTCTTCTTAGTTGTAAGTTCATCTTCATGGAGATGCGAAGATGTATAGGCTGCACCGCCAGCATTAGTTATGCGACGTCGCGCCTGCGGCAACGCGACGGTGCGGCGTGACGCGGAATTCCGCTACGCGTTAAGGCACTTTGCATGCGCCGGTGCGTCGTCGCAAGTCATACTGGCGCGGGACCATGCTGGCTGATATGGCCTATATGTTGTGCCATCAAAGATACCAAGTATTCGTCGCAAAATTGAGGACGTGGAGTACGTTGAATGAAGCAAAAAAATCGATATATTGATCGGAGGGTGCTGAATTTGGCTTAACGATAACTTGAGCTCGGGGAAGTCATAGAATTTCTAAAATTAAAGTGGATTCGTTTTCGAAATGTCAAACCCAGCCTACACAGCATCCTGTCTCCATGGCTATATTTTCTCTTTACACTAAATACGAGCATATTTCCACTGTTAAGGGCCGGGCATACTTTACGCGATTTGGCAATATTCCAACTGTCCATAACTCATTGTAAGCATATTTCAACTGTACAGAAGATAGGGCATTTCATCAATCCACGTACGTTATACACACTATGCATATGCAGTTTGCTAGTTTGGATCTGAAGACTTCTGGCGAACTGCCAAATCGCGCCGTGACTGATATCGCGTGAAGTATTCCTGGCCCTTTATCTCGAATTAGAACCCTCAGCAGCACCATCGGGTTAGGTAGACGAACAGGCTGCGTCCGGAATTGCGCGTAGCAGCATCGTTCCAGCGCCTTGGGATAAGGAGTAGATTGATCAGTACTCTATGTTCCACGTGGACTCCGGCACGGCGCTAGCGCTGCATTGGAAGTGTTGGCACCGCGCTGACACAGTGCTGGAACACTGGACGTAGCCGGTGAATGGCAGCGAATTGGGAGCTTCTGGAACATGCTGCGAAACTGTAGCCCATCTAACGAAATTGTCCAGCCTGATGAAGGGTAATTGGCCGCTTAGTGGATGGGCTAATTCGAATCCACATCGCTATTTCGCCGTTCTTTTGAAAACTTCTTCAGCTTGATCAATTTCGTAGATATAAAGATTCTGCGACACTAGCAACACAACGCGTAGAAAATGACGGTCTGGCTGCTTGGAAATAAGGTAGGCGCCAGACTAAGCGACTGCCTGCTTCAGCAGAATGCTGCGCAACTAGTAAGCTGATGTCATTTGGCGTCACGTTGGACGGAAGTCGTAGTGGCGTCTGCGTTGTTCGCAAGAACTGTAGTTTTGGTGAGATGTTAATACTCGCAGTATGAGAGAACTTACCACCATAGAATGTTTGTCGTAGAGAAATGGCGGAAACCGACTTGATTTTCTTCCAACGTGACATCAAATAACAGTGACTACGTCGCATTCTGCTGAAGCAGGACGATCGGTAGTCTGGCGCCTATCCAACGCAAAATTTGCTCAAAACTTGTAGCACATTTGATGCTGCGCCCAGTGTCGTTTGTGCTAGCGCTGTTCTGTGCTGACGGAGGGTGAATAATCAATACGCAGTGCTTCCACATGGTTTCGGCACGGCGCCAGCACGGTGTCGGCACCAAACTCTCGGCGCAGCCCAAGTGTTGCTTGCAACATTGACTCAGTGCCTTTTTTCCCATTCGTAGGAAGATAACCGAAGATGGATTTTGTGGGATTGGTGTCAGGAGGAAAGGATAGCTGCTATAATATGATGTGCGCTGTGAATGCTGGTCACCGTCTTGTTGCTTTGGCCAATCTCCACCCGGGCGGTCGTGGAGAGCTGGACTCCTACATGTACCAAAGCGTCGGTAGCGAAGGAGTTCATGTGAGTGATATAGGCTAAAGCAATATGTCAATCAAAGCATCTTCAGATTATAGCTAAGGCTATGGATCTGCCGCTCTATCGGAGAGAAATTACGGGCAAGCCTATAAACCAGGATTTCGACTACAACGTAAGCCCTTTTGTAATTTTTGAGGAAGAGCGTGCTCAGGTCGTTTTAGAGACCCAGTGCCGTGCCAGGGTCGTGCCGAAACGTCGGGTCAATACGGGTTGCGTCCATGTGGGTTCTGGCACGACGTTGGCATGGCGCCGACTCACAGGCTACTTTGGGCGCTGGATTAGGATTTTGAACAGCAAACGAGTCACTCATCTGTCAGCTAAGAAACGGTATATTGACAAAAAGTTTGCCTATTCTTTGATGACCATAAAATGAAGTCAGTAGTCGTTTGCGTTTTCACTGTAGCCTTAAGTGAAAGAATGGACAATAAACGGATGAAAGAAACTTAATCTGTGGCCGTATTCATCAACGAACCCCGAGGGTTAAACTAACCCTGGAGGGTTAGTTTAACCCTGGAAAGCGTTTAACCCGTGTTCATGAAACACAGGGTAGGCTTAACCCTGAGGGTTAAATCTAACCTTGAGGATTAATTTTACCCCGAAAGCGACTAACCCGTATTCATCAACGAACCGTGAGGGTTAAACTAACCCTGGAGGGTTAAACTTACGTGATTCATCAGGGTTAATTCAACCCTAGCTCAGAGCAAGGTTAACTCTACCCCGACACTTCATACAAACGTTTACTCGCATCTAACAGTTTATGGAAAACGATCAATGAGTATTATGGCATTTAGTATTGGTTGTTATTATAGTATTTAGTTTCGACTTCGTTTTATGTTCTTATTCGAAGTACATGAAACCCTGACTTCGCGAGAAAAAGAATTCTAGCTTTGGTGACAAATGAATGCGACGAGGAAAAATGGCATTCCACTCTGACAAGTGCCAAAACAGAAGAACCCCTTTATAATAACACGCATTGACCCCTAAAGGAGTAGCACAAGCCCGGTATAAAACGAACTGCGCAAAAGTTAAAAAAAGCCGTCCTTAAGAGCTATCTACTTTCTTCATCTGAATATTCATAATCACTATTGTTCTTTTTCTTTGCACGTGTTCACGATTGTTTTTTATTGTTCTGTCGTGCCTTTTGGCATGTACTGTTGTTCAGTGTTGTTATAATTTTCACATAGGGTTCCCTATGTAAATGAAAATGAAAAATGAAAAAGTAGAACTTACACTGCACAATTGCACACATGAAACTAAACTCACGCTGTAAGATTCGATGCTGCACAAGTATGCTAGAGATTTATTATAAAAACTAGTGTTAGAAGCTTATTCTTTGACTATACTACTATCAGTGAAAGAATAGAAGTATAAAGTGAATTTAGCCCGTACTTAGGCATTCTGTGATGTGAGTTTGCACAGCGCACGCGTAACAGACGCCTTAACCCTCCAGGGTTAGTTTAACCCTCAGAATTGATGAATACGGCCACAGGTTTGTTGATCGATACGGGTAGATCGCGTTCCGTGGTAAACCCTAGCCTATGGTTGATGAATACGGCCAATGAACCCTCAGGGTTAAACTAACCCTGTGGCCGTATTCATCAACGAACCCCGAGGGTTAAACTAACCCTGGAGGGTTAGTTTAACCCTGGAGAGCGTTTAACCCGTATTCATGAAACGCAGGTTAGGCTTAACCCTGAGGGTTAAATCTAACCTTGAGGGTTAAATTTACCCCGAAAGCGACTAACCCGTATTCATCAACGAACCGTGAGGGTTAAACTAACCCTGGAGGGTTAAACTTACGTGATTCATCAGGGTTAATTTAACCCTAGCTCATAGCAGGGTTAACTCTACCCTAACATTCCATACAAACATTTCGCATGTAATAGTTTATGGAAAACGATCAACGAGTATTGCAGTATTTAGTATTGGTTGTTGTTATAGTATTTAGTTTCTACTTCGTTTTATGTTTATATTCGAAGTCCATAAAACGCTGGCTTCGCGAGAAAAAGAAATCTAGCTTTGGTGACAAATGAATGCGACGAGGAAAATGGCATTCCACTCTGACAAGTGCCAAAAAAGAAGAACCCCTTTATAATAACACGCATTGACGCCTAAAAGAGTAGCACAAGCCCGGTATAAAACGAATTGCGCAAAAGTAGAACTTACACTGCACAATTGCACACATGGAAATAAACTGCTGTAAGATTGGAGGCTGCACAAGTATGCTAGAGATGTATTATAAAAACTAGTGTTAGAAGCTTATTCGTTGACTATACTACTATAACAGTGAAAGAATAGAAGTATAAAGTGAATTTAGCCCGTACTTAGGCATTCTGTGATGTGAGTTTGCACAGCGCATGCGTATCTGACGCCTTAACCCTCCAGGGTTAGTTTAACCCTCGGGGTTGATGAATACGACCACAGGTTCGTTGATCGATACGGGTAGATCGCGTTCCGTGGTAAACCCTAGCCTATAGTTGATGAATACGGCCAATGAACCCTGAGGGTTAAACTAACCCTGGAGGGTAAGCTTAACCCTCAGGGTTCGTTGATGAATACGGCCACTGGAGGTTTAGCTTAACCCTCAGGGTTCGTTGATGAATACGGCCACTGTATCACTTTCTTCTTACTTCTTCAGTAACAGCTTCATGACATCTTTGGAGTTTTCGCTCTTTCTGGAAAGCCCAAACGTTATAGTACACATAGCCAACTTTTTGAAGAAACTGTCGGAACTTATCTTTTCTGCGTGTGAGAGTTTCAGTTCAGAATCTGAACATAATCAGATATTTCGTGATTAGTTTACGATCACCATAAAGCGATGTGGATGCTTAGGAAAAAGTTCCTACACCCACGTTTCTTTGTATTAGGTTGTAACAGAATTAATGCAGGTTTTCGAAATTTTGAGTTTGGATTACCATATCTTTTTACAGAAATAGTCAATCCGTTTCCAATAAAAACTGCTGCAATCAGCAAACCTTTGGCAATTTAGCACGCACTACTGTAACGTGGTAGTTCCACTGAGAAAAATTTTATAGCCCGAAGAATGCCAAAAGTTTTCTTCAAAAACCTTCAGTTTGAGAGACCACAACTCGCTATACAATGTAGCAGAATGGTACAAACTTTACTCTCTGTGTAGGCAATAATCGGTTGTGCAGCAGCGTTAAAGTTGAATTTTACGAAAAAAATTTTGCTGGAAAATATTGCAAAAAATTTGTAATCACTCATTCTTCACAAGTGCTCTGAAAAACGAAAATGTGGATTTTTTACTTTTTTTTGAATTTTCTCATCGCCGAAGAGAACAACGGCTCCCGTTTTTTTGCTATCATATGTTCTATGTCTGTATTTTCTGCTCACGGCGAAAGCTCCGCAATTGCTCTGCATTTAGGATTTTTATACGCCGCAGAATGATAGCAGCGGTTGTTTGGGTTGGAACTAAAATTTCTCAGCCTGGAAGCTTTCGAGAAATTTTCTTCAATGTGCATTTTGTAGCACGGATCACATACAAACAGCACGCCAGTTTGCAAAAAATTGCGATTTTTCGGGGTGGATTTGGAGCAAAGAATGTAAAATGAGAAAATTTTAAAGTTTAGCCTCTTGATTTCAAAAGCACGTAATTTCAAAATGAACCCAGTGATCCTGAAACAAAAGCATGCTTAAGAAACTAGAAGAAGAGAGCTTTTAGATGGTATGCATAGTTTCCTAAGACAATGAAATTATGTTTTGAACCAACACTTTGAAAAAGAGGTATGAAAAACCTGCATTAATTCTGTTACAACCTAATACATTCTGGAATCATCTTAAGCCTCGGACAGAGTTCATGCGACTTGATCGTCGCGATTCAATCGCTGCGATTTCCATTCATTTTTATTTCACATTCAAAAATTTCGGGCTGGAAAAGTATCACAACCGAAATGCAAGCTGGTCGGCATGCAATGAACTCGTAACAATTGTCTTGTCTCTATTGAATCGCGACGATTAAATCGCGTGAACTTTGTTTGAGGCCTTACACTGATTTGCAGCAGACAGTACTCGCCTCACTCTGATAACGGAATCTACATCTTAGTACCGTTTGGTATTTTCACTCCTTGAATTCTGCTCAAGAATTGCACTTGGGGTTTTCTTCAGAATAAAGAGGGGTCAGTAGTGAGGAAATAATATTGGAATGAAAGCTCATTAATATTTCCTTTTTTCCTAAAGGTGAAGCTCGTGCTGCTTTTTGAAGCATTTTTTCTGGTTTCTTCTTCCGTGGAAGTAAAACAAAGCTGAACAAAGAAGCTGTGCAAGAGAAAGGGGAGGACTCACTTGAAAAAATACGTGCAAAATCCTGACAGATAATATAGAATATAGTGATCTGATAGCTGGAAAAATCATTGCACGTTTTATCCCTTGGAGGTTCCATTAAAAATTTTAATATAGTCCCATGAATATTTTTCCTATTTTGGTGCATATGCTGCCAAAATTGGCAACTCCAGATCAAGCGCTGCTAATAAGTCATTTCTTTTATCATGTGCAAAAAATGAGTCAGACATATTAAAGCCCGTGAAAACAGAAATGTATATCTGCGTTTTCAAATTTTGAATAAGAATGCCCCTGATAGAAAAAAGTTTGCAGTCCTATTCTACACCTAAACACTAGCAATAGCCAAAATTTGCTACAAATACGTACATTATGTGTCATAAAATGTTGTTTTGAAGTTTTTGCTTAAAGCAGAGAAAGCAGATCCTCTCGAAATAATTTTCCGTTATAGACGACAACTGGTGATGAAGTCGAAGATCTCTACGAACTGCTGAAGAGTGTCAAAGAACATCATCCTTCCATACAAGGTTACGTAGCATGTGTGAGCCAGCCTCAGCCATTCTAAATATTGCTAAATATTTTCTTCAGGTGTTTCTGCTGGTGCCATTTTGTCGAGTTATCAGAAGTTACGACTAGAGAATGTTTGTCGACGGCTGAATCTTACTCCTTTGTGTTTTTTATGGGAGCGAGATCAGGAGGTATACAAAAACTCATGTGAAATGCGCTAGATAATACAGGCACAACTCTATGTAAAGGCTAACTGCATAACGAAGGCGCAGAAATCGTATTAGTTAAGCGGGCACGAACGCGGCGCGCGCGTATCCCAACCGTTGTATATTGCGCCTTTATCATGCAGCAGCATATAGTTGTCTTGGCACACAAATATAAGCCAAACTACTTTTATAAATCTTGGAAATTGGAATTTTTTTCACGGGTATGGTTTGCTCATAAATGAATTACTGGTACGCAGAAATCAGCCGTTTTTGATGAAGACATAGGCTACTGCCAGGCTTGTGCTTTTGTGAGATATGTACCTCTGACAGACATAAAGCCATGACCTACCATATTCATTGCAAGAATAAATTCATTTTTATAGGAGCTGCTCCAAGAAATGATCTCCAGCGGACTAAAGGCAGTGCTAGTGAAGGTTGCTGCTGTTGGACTTGACAAGACCCACTTGGGAAAATCCCTTTCAGAGGTAAGAATACGCAAGGACTTCATACGAAGTATCTAATCGCCTTGGTATGGTAATGTTCATAAACATCTAACCCAGGGCAAATGGAATGTGCAATAAGTTCATCCTAAGGTCAGGCCTACAGGAAGCGTTTACAGTTTGCAGCCCATATGCTTTCAAACTGGATTACAATATTATTTGTTTCGTTGGCCCATCTCTTACCAGCAAAGAAGTTCAAATATTTTCACATTCTACGAAATGTATTTACATCAAATACAGTGAATTTTCTGTCCTATATGTTGAAAAACTTGTGTTTACCCAATAACAAATCTGTGTTCACCCATTGCTTTGGGAAAAAGGTCGTGAAAAGTTTTTCTTAATAGATCTGAGCCTAGAATTTCGATTACTTTGATTGGGTACTCTTTTGCAATAATCGCTCAGAACCATTTATGGCCCAATATCATTTTAGGATTATATTTCAATGCCAACATCATTATTCCAGATGGAACCCATTTTGATGCGGCTTCATGCGAAGTATGGCGTTCATCCATGTGGTGAGGGTGGAGAGTATGAAACATATGTGTTAGATTGCCCATTGTTTAGCAAGGCCATTGCTATCGATGATTCAGAGGTATGTTCGCTTAATGGGTTGGCTAAAAAATAAGTTCGTTTTGGCATGCAACTCTTCATAAAAAAAATTTCTTGTTGTTTTCCATCCATGATTCTTTGTGAGAAAGTAGATTAAAGCTTCTTCTATCACACATCAAATATTTAGGATTCTCTGTGATCAGTAAAGACAGTCATGCTTCAACATGGCTAAATTTCCAAAAGCTTAATTCTTTAACTTCCTAAGCTTTGTTTTCGTGCTGTAATGGATGTAAAGAACAGCAGTTTGGAATATGGATACAGAGGAGCTTAACCTGTTTAGTGAGTAAAAAAAATTGTGATCTGCCACTTCGAAAACCTTTCATCAAAAATAAAGAACCAAATTTCCTCATATTTGCGCACCATGAGAAAACCGGGGTTTCTCACTCCTTGCGGATTTTTTTCTTTGTAAGATAAGTTCTATTCAAACAGGATTCATATCCAATTCTGAGGTACTCTTTCCGCATCAAGCACTGGACAAAAATCTGTCTGCAGCATTTATAAGACCCGCAAAAGAGAAGACCGAACTTATTTGTTAGCCAACCTGATATTTTGCCTACATCAAATCAAATTCGAAGCCGATTTGGAATCTTATATTTCGTAGTATCAGTGTTTTCGCTGAAAACAAGTTTGAGAAATGCTGTCATTAAGGCAACTCATTCATAGAAATGAGCAGTAGTATTTGATAATTAGCGTTCAGCGCATGCTCTCTGGCTTCGATCTTCCTCAAATCACTTGTCATTCAACTTTTTCCATTTTTGCTTTTTGAGATTCAGCTTTTTCGCGATATTTTGTAGAGAGGCATGTCATGTAGTTCACTGAATTCAATGTGAAGTAATTTTCAATTTGTTGGGTTAGTGAAGCTACCACTCTTAGGGGCATCCATCGTTTGGGTCACGAAGATCAAAAAACGAATGTCTTGTAATGAAATTCAGTAGCGTCTCATGCTGGACAACTATTTCCACTTTGTGTCATCTTCGTTTTGAGATAACCGTACCCGTACATTTCCGTTTCGACGCATAACAGGTGGTCGAATTTATATAGGCAACTTGCCATTTTAGCAAAAGGCGTTGAAAATCTGTATTTACAATTTCAGCTTGCTAGAGCAAAATAAGTCAATAGACTGAAAAATCTTTTTTAGTGTTTGTCTCTCTTTCTTCGCTACAGTATATGTGTATTGAAATGTTATACTTACCATTCTCTTGGTTGTTTCCCAACTTTTGAACCTTTGACTCCGAAAAAAAGTTAATTTTTTGTTAATTCAATTTTTGAATTAATTAATTAGTTGATTTTTTCACAAAGTTAATTTGAGTTTCTAGAAAATTTCAAAAAATATGTTTATCCTTTAGAAGTGAGAACAAGTTACTTGTAAAGCTAAAACTCATGTAGACAAGTTTGAGAACCTTCCCCCTTTCTTTTTCCCCAGGATGACAAGACAGGGCCTTAAAAGACCTGCGCATCTCTAGTTAGTTTCACTGTTGATTATATTTTCATATCGTCATTGGTTGACAAAAACATTTCCAAGATGTATTTGCTTTTCCCATACATCACGTCATCAGAGTAGCCTTTCCCTGTCACGTCATTCAGGCGTTAAGCTTACGTCCACTCGTGTTTTTCTAGCATATTTGAAGCTCATTTTTTATTTATAACATGAAATCATCATAAGAATGTCATGCATTCTGTAGCGAAGGGAGAAAGAGCTTGATTGCTCGAAGGAATTTTACAGATTATTCAGTTACTATGATACTTTGAGAAATTTTCACGATTTTCAGGTTGTTACTCATCAAGATGATCCAGTTGCGCCAGTTCATTATCTGCGATTGTTAAAATTACGTTTGGTCGATAAATAAGGTCCTATTATGTCATTAGCGGTTGTTGTTGTTGTAGTAAGCTGTTATGTTGTTACATGATATTCTGCTTCTCAGGTTCCTTGTCTGTCTGCGATTGAGGGACTAAATTTATCTTCTGCTGTGTGTGTTAAAGTATTCACAAATGGGGAAATCGGGTAAGAAATTTGAATTGTAAATGAGAACAAGTGATGGGGATTATGCGGAGGCACACGGTCAAGAGTTTTCTGGCTTTTGTTTCTCGAAAGCAAGTGTTTGCGACTCTGATTTGCATCTGCGTCTGGCATTAAATATCTCTTTCAAATGCAATTAGGGCGGTATCTAGTTTCTGATCGGTAAACATTGAAGTGCTATTCACAATTAGCTAAGTTCCAGTGGGTGCGGTGCTTCAGTTGCTCGGACAATCTGATTATTACGAACTAGCTTGCGTAGAAACTTTTTTTGTGCTCCAAACCCATCGCCGAAAGATCACTTATCACCCATTCAAACATGGATTCCTTGAAGCTTGCGCTACTTCTATAACATTACGCTCTGTTAGTGAGGCTTCATCAACGCAATATTTGCTCCTTTTTCACATTTGCTTATTTCATTCACGATATCTTGGTTGATTCGTGGACCTTTTGGATTGCACATATCGCACAGGCAAATGCGCATGACGCATGAATGCCTTTGCGATTGAGGTAGTAAGTGCTTGGAAGAGGGAAGAGACGGTAAGAGAGAAGAAAGTGCGCTCAATTATACAGATGCAGGCAGCGTCCGCAACCGCGCCCTGCCTCTGCGTGCGATGACTTGTTATGTGTAATTTTTCTTTCGAAATGGTATGTGAACTTTATTACGTCTGTAATTTGTCCGTCATATGAGCGTTATAACAATGAAATTCTTCAAATTAATCTAATTTTCCTTGCTAATGCACAAAACTATGTGGGTGTCATAAATTTTTTCGGGGATCATCTACTTAGAATGCAGGCATACAATTGTCAAACTAGTTTTTGTCCGTAATAAAAGTTCTACTGCTTGAAATGTAGCAAGAACAAGTTTGCGTTCTTCTGCTATGCCTAAAAAATCCACTTATATTTGTGATACAGTTACCGCTTTTCTATATAGTGCAGAGGCAACAGGAGTTGAAAGGATGGCAGAAAATAGGGAGAAAGACACCCCAACCCAATCCAAATATTTTCTGCGTTTAGTGTTTCACCTGTGCGACCTATTTCGAATCGATAGGTTTCTTTGACTGCAAGTTTTTTTTTCTCGAAGTAAGCGGACGACATAGCGGTGGCGGACCAGGCGGCGGAGGGGGGGGGGGGCGTCCCCCGAGAATGGGTCGCAAAATTTTTGAAATTTACTAATTTGGGTTATAAAAATGTGCAAGTGACTTGTTTCTTGTAAATAATTAAATTAATTCTAAATATTTTAAAAATTCGAATAAGCCCCATAAAAATTTTCGGGGTGTGGCCACGCTCCCTTTTTCGAGATTTCAGGGGTTATGGGCCCGTAAAAACTTTGTGAAGCACCCCAAAAATTTTTACGGAGTGCATGGCATTAACCACGCAATTTCATTTGAAGAAATTTTTTTGCCCCCCCCCCCCGGACGAAAATCCTGCGACCGCCTCTGCGACACAGTGATGTTAACACTTTTTGCAGCACCAGTAAGGGCAATGTTGGGCAAAATATTTGATTTTTGTACAGAGATTGCCACTGAATAATCCAGGAGAAATCCTACCAGTTTTTGCAAATCGAATGAATGCTAACGATTTCTCAGGATAACGTCAACTGGTTCTATACTGGCTTCTTTCCTCGCTAATGGTCATGCACGTCAGATGACGCCATACGCCTACTCTAAGCTCAATTTGCCTATTTCCACAGTGGAACGCGAGATGTGCACGAAAAAAGTTGAGCGTACTCTGAGCGAGCGGGCACAGCATCAAGGCCCACTGAATCTTCAACATAATTATAGTAGAATAGGCATAAGTTCTGTGCGAGCCTGTGATTAGGTGAAACTAGCAGGCTCGTTATTCGTTGTCCGCTAGACGTCTCCATTGCATTCTGTTTTGTGCTATTCTATTTCATACTCGCTCAAAATTGTTCCGCTAGAACTTCAAACAGTTTTTTGGAATTTAGAATTATTTCATTCTTCTCATTACGATCGAAATATAATATTATCGACTATGCGTTGAAAGAGCCTTTTTCGCAATTGAAGGCATTGCGTTATTCTAACTTCTTCGTCATTTTCAAAGTTTTTCATGGCCCCTAATTTAGATATGAAATTTAAAAATTTTGAAAACTTCAAAAAATAAAGGTCTTTCTATGATATTTCGAAAGGATGATAGAGAGTTTATTAATCCATGTTTGAGGCGCATGTTAGATCATCAAATAAGTGTAACATTTTGCGCAAAAAAACCCTTTATGACTCGCAGACTTTCCCTCATTCTCCAGTCATGTGGAAGTTCATGCCTTCTTGAGATATATATGCTGCACTTAAAATACCCAATTTTCCATTTTTTAAATTTGCATTTTTGGCACATTTCCAGCTTGCCTTACTGAAGAGCCTGAATTTCCAAACTGCCTCCTTAGGCTGCGTTCATACTGATTCCCATGTTCTGGAACTGTTCCCGCACAGTTCTCGCACTGTGCTGAAACTGTGCGGGAACTGTGCGGGAACAGTTCCAGAACTGTGCTGCATGCGCTGCAGCCGCCCCGCACCGTTTTGAACGGCGGGAGTTGGAGAATTTTGACCGTTCTCAACGGGTTTTCTTCCAGATTTCGCTCATTTCGGCCTCATTCCTCCACCCCGCTTCCTTTTTTGATCAGCAGAACTGCGAACTCGAAGCGGGGTTGAAGAATGAGCGCTTTTCTGCGCCGTGTATTCGGAAAGATGGGCTATCGTGCAATTGTTCATTCTGTCTTCTTGTTTTTTGCTCAAAACTACTTCATTTGTTCCAGGAAGCGGCTGCCCAGTTTCCATAGCCATCTGCCACGAATTAGGGAGTAGGAGAAATCCTGAAATTGCATGAGTTGGGACTTGTCTCTTGTTTTTCATGATTTTGGGCGTTCTTAGCCTTGTTCGTTTTTCCATGTCGTTGCTTCTCCGTTCTTTCTTCTACCCCGCTTCTCCTAGTGATGAGAAAAGCTGTGAATTTGAAGCGGGGTTGAGGATTGAACGCTGTTCTGCTCCACGTATCCGGGATTATGGGCCTTCGTGCGCTCGTCCATTCTCTCATCGCTATTTTTGTTCAGACCTACTTCATGTGTTCTAACGAGTCGCTGCGTAGTCTCGCATCTGTATTGAAATTGAAATAAACAAGTCTCTAGAACACATGAAGTAGGTCTGAACAAAAATACGATGAGAGAATGGACGAGCGCACAAAGGCCCATATTCCCGGATACATGGAGCAGAACAGCGTTCAATCCTCAACCCCGCTTCAAATTCACAGCTTTTCTCATCACTAGGAGAAGCGGGGTAGAAGACAGAACGGAGAAGCAACGACATGGAAAAACGAACAAGGCTAAGAACGCCCAAAATCATGAAAAACAAGAGACAAGTCCCAACTCATGCAATTTCAGGATTTCTCCTGCTCCCTAATTTGTGGCAGATGGCTATGGAAACTGGGCAGCCGCTTCCCGGAACAAATGAAGTAGTTTTGAGCAAAAAACAAGAAGACAGAATGAACAATCGCACGATAGCCATCTTTCCGAATACACGGCGCAGAAAAGCGCTCATTCTTCAACCCCGCTTCGAGTTCGCAGTTCTGCTGATCAAAAAAGGAAGCGGGGTGGAGGAATAAGGCCGAATTGAGCGAAATCTGAAAAAAAAACCGTTGAGAACGGTCAAAATTCTCCAACTTCCGCCGTTCAAAACGGTGCGGGGCGGCTGCAGCGCACGCAGCACAGTTTTGGAACTGTTCCCGCACAGTTCCCGCACAGTTCCCGCACAGTTTCAGCACAGTGCGAGAACTGTGCGGGAACAGTTCCAGAACATGGGAATCAGTATGAACGCAGCCTTATTAGCACTGATGCTCTCGGGAACCCATATAACAAACAAATGCAAATGATGATTGAGAGAACTTCTAGAAGATGAAGAAAAAATAGGGGGTGAAGTCTGTTTTGGGCTTGCCTTCATATTTGCCGCATTTCATGTCCCTAAACTCAAGAGAACAAGGCAAAAGGAATCTCATCAAGCAGTGTAGTGTAGTAGGACCGTTTCGATAGATATGAGAATGTGTCGAAGTTTGTAGGATTTTCCTGAAAGGAGCTTATGTTAGGACCATAGGACATTCGAAAAATAGTGACGATGACGGGAGCGGTGACACGCACGCACCTCCACCGGCAACCGTCTTTTCTAAGTTTTCTTCTCCACTCGAATGGTTTTTCTGCTTACATATGGATAGTATTTAGACATTGGAATGGACTGAACTGAGAGTTGAGGTGATGCCGTTTTGTAAAAGTGTCTTCTTCTCCTGTGGGCGCAAAGATCGCAGTCAAATACATCGTTTAAACGACCCATACACACTAAGGAGCGCAAAATCGAAAGTCTGAAGCTCAGCCCCTATTACTTTAGGAGCCATACGTCTTTATCCGATGAAGTTGGCCATAAGCGTCAACACCTCATAGTTGATGAGTTTTCCATGTCAGAACCTGCAGGAGACACTAAACGCTATGACTACTTCGCTCCTGCGACAGATAGCTTCAGACCGCGAGAAAAATATTAAAAAAGGATAGAGCAAGCGTATCAGGGCATCAAGAGTGGATGCTGTTAATTCGTTATTGACTGTGTATCCGCATCTCCTCCCAAGTGAATTAAGCCCTCAGACTGTGGACGAATACATCCGAGGAGAATCGATTGCCGCGATTCCGACACGTCGCCACGCCAGCCGACGAAATTGATTCAGGCTCGCGTCCTACTCGTTATTTACAGACTGTCCTTCTCCAGGCGACTTTTAGCTAAGTGCTGACCCTGATTACCCCACTGTTTACGACTCATAAAGCTGAATATCCAGCTGAGCGAAAGAATGGGAGGAGAAGGATTGAGCGTGCGCCTTTTTTGTCAAGAAAGTAGTGTGAATGCGGTCGATGCGCAAAACCACGGCATCTCTGCTGTGTCCTTGACCACACCCTTTTGACCCTTTTCAATTTTCTTTTGTGGGAGTTCAGGTTCAATTTGGGGTTCAACTCATTTGAGAACTTTTTCAGTTTGGCTACAAATTGGAATCTGTCGTGCTGTGTCTCAATTGCTTTTCCGATAGTTGTTGTGATGGCCAAAATCAAGAACGCCCATAAACGGCCGCGGAACTGGTGGGGAAAATGAGGCGCGCCCCAGTGCCAATCGATTGGAGCACGTTATCCTTCGTGGACTTACTCACTGCTCGCTAATTGCTGGTATAACAGTCTTCATAATTGAACTTCCACACTGTGTTATAGAGTCATAAATATTGAGACTGCAAGCACTTCTTGTTGTTGCTTTTTGCATCATCTACGCAAAGTATGCAGCTCACGCGAAGAACAGTCGCCGCACTGGGGATCACCACCTTGTCCTTTCAAAGGACAAATGCATAGTCATCGTCAAAACATCACTACAACATGATTAGCAATCTCCAAGCGACCATCCAGGCGATGCTTCAATGTAGGGTTCTAGTGACTGTGGGCACTTGCTTTCCAGTTTTGTCCATGTTAGCGCGTTCGGTGCCATCTGAATTAGGACATTTACTTATTGCCATGCTTTGTGAGTTTTACCCGTCTGCTTCTTATTTACCGATCCGTATCAAAGCTGTAGTGTTTTCGCCAACATTGTTTGTACATTTCCCACATCACAAAATTCGAATCTAAGAGAAGGTACCATCCATTCTCTGACTATTAGACACGGGCACGCTTTGCATAAGTTTGCTTAGCAAGTTCATGAGTGAGTTCTGACGCGTGTTAGTTTTCTTAAAGGAATATGCGAGCTTGTCAAATAATGTGAGTCCGAACATGATCTTTCAAGTCTAGTAGTGATTTACCAAAATGCTTTAAAACACACTCATGAACTTGTTAACCATACGTACCCGAAGCGTGCTCGTGTCTCTTGGTCAGCGAATGAATGATATTCATCCTCAACATACGCGTTTGTAGATTCATACTTTGCCCGATCCATGTAAAATCAGTATGGATGGGCTGACACTTTGTTAGTGATAAAGTAACTACTGCACAAAAACATTGTAAGGCCCTAACCGAGTAACTGAGGGTGAGCGTAGGATGATAGGCTAACCATGTTCAGTTTCGAACCCTCCACATTGTACGATGATATCCTCGACCGAACAACTTTATTAAAAAGAGTTTCATCCACGTCATGTTTGTATTCGAGAGGTTTTGGCCGATAGATGCACGTAAGCACGTGAGAGTTGACAATGTTGTCGCGGATGCGCCCGATGTGGGTGTGAAAAGACTCTACGCTGGCCTTCGACCTAAAGTAGCAAAGCTTGGAACATACAGAGTTCAGCGCGTACAATCTTCTAATCAAGGTATGTCCCCATACGTGAAAGCGAAACATGGAGGTGAACAGTTCTCTACAACAAGCCAATACTTATGACCCTATAACACAGTGTGGAAGATCAATTATGAAGACTGATACAGCAGCGGTTTGCGAGCAGTGACTAAGTCCACGAAGAATAACGTGCTCCAATCGATTGGCACTGGGGCGAACGCCCGTAAAAGGGCTCGGACCTGGGAGGAGTTGCAGGTGCGCTCCATCGCCATTTCGATTAGAGCACCTCTTTTCAACTGGAGCGCACTATCTCTAAATACTTGTGCATCTGAAAAGGAGTGTCACCGGTGATGAAAGGCTGCCGATGTATGACTGTTGCACGGCTACTAGTACGAGTCATGAGATTGACTGAGGAAGAGATGGCTACATGTTATCCGGTAAACTAGAGAAAGTTGTTGAAGTATGTAACGCAACAAGTTACACCAGTGTATTAATCACTGTTACGATTGCTTCCTCTTCCAACATCATCCTCCAACACTTTTTGAACTCCCTAAAAGTAACTGATTCCAATGTACGTTATATTCTATTGTTCGTTTCCACACTTACATGATCAAGCTGACATTGATGTCCTACAATTATTTGAAGAATTGCTTTCGTGGAATTCTTATGTATCGTTCGTTCCCCAGCAAGATTCCCATAGTCTTTTGAATGTGTTAACCTCGGCCTTCCGTTGAAATCTCAGGAGGAAGATGTCAGAAAGAGCGAAAGGCAGCGTCGCACCACGTACGCACGCTGGTTCATATGGGAACCTCTCTGGGGCGCAGACGGTATAGCTGCTTTGTTTGTGGAGCTATACTTGTCGAGCTGTTACAGCTAGGATCGTTCGCCAAAGTTGGTTCGGAGTTCACATATGACCTGAAGAAGGTCATTTGTCCAATCTTCAATTTGAAGCGGTAGCTGCACAATGATTCGACGCTTGAACAGGCGTTAGTCTTAATGCAATTTACAAAGAAGGGGTCACCTAGGATTCTCCTCAAAAATATGTTACTGTACTCAATTCTAGACTGGTGCGCGAGACGCATCCAGGGAAAATTGCTATGTAGTGCTTAGCACTCTATGAAAGCAACGTTATCAAAAAGGATCAGAATGATTTTGGGCTTCAAAAGTAGCCAAGAACTCGTTTATGTACACAATTTCTGCTCAGAGTGCAACCAGATTCAAGTAAGTTTCTTCTATGTTGTGCGATTTTCTTCCACAACTTATCAATCAACTTGCTTTGTATCGTTTGCACAATACCTTTGATGTTCATCAGTAGAATTCGCTGATGGTGAACGAATCACTAGCTTCATCGAGAAAGGCAATCGAGAAAACAGCATACGATCCCTACCAGATGCTAACATCACATCTAAAGATATGCGAACACATTTCCGTGTAGACAACCAGAAAAAGAAACTGTATAAACTATTAGATTGAACCCGATGCCCATTAGCACTTCATGTGATGACAGATTACATTGTTCGGCAACTTCCTCTCTATCACCGCGAAACAGCACTACCATCTCATTTCCAGTCAGTCTCCTGACTTTAGTGAGAGCTATGCATTGCAATAATACATTAACATCCTTTGATGATATATAATGTATAATGTGGATATATTTGCCCCAAGCTTTGCTTCTCTGCAAGCGGGATGTTCCATAAAGCGAAAAGTCTCCTTTTCGGAAGAGCACCAACGAATCAGGAAAACCATTTAACAGCAACGAAATAGTTTTTGACTCTCTTACTAGCGTGTACGTTAACATGCCAAATTTTCTCGGATGCAAAAAAACACGCGTACTCATCGCTATCTACGAACGGCGTCAAATGTGAAGTGTTTGGAGATAGTGCGCTCCAGTTGAAAAAACGGCGCTCTAATCGAAATGGCGATGGAGCGCACCTGCAACTCCTCCCAGGTCCGAGCCCTTTTACGGGCGTTCGCACTGGGGCGCGCCTCATTTTCCCCACCAGTTCCGCGGCCGTTTATGGGCGTTCCAAAATCAATGGTCTGTTTCATGTTGAAGTTTGATTACGCCATAAGTCTTTGATATTAGTATCTCAGTCATTTGATAGTTCGTAATACTAGATAATTGCCGTCTATAAGTTTCGTTCAGTCTAGGTAATTCTGGTGGAAGAATGCTGAAACTCTGCTAAAGTCGAGCTGATTCCAAAATTTGTACAAGTGAGTACAAGTAGTTGGTTTCAGTTATTTATTACATTGAAACCCACGGTTTCTCTAAATTATCTCATTCATAACTCTGCTTCAGGCAGGCGCTATACTCCTCGAGGAGTATAGCATGGCGACGATCGATATGCATCAAATACGTGTAAAACCGGCGATTTTTGTCGCCGATATTGGCGGCCAGTCGTTACGTCGCCATGCTATACTCCTCGAGGAGTATAGCGCCTGCCTCACTAGCATGTGCTTTTTCTTGTACCATTTCTGTCGAAGCAATTGGTTTTGATTGGTTGCACTGCCCGCGCACTTCTCACTGCTTGTCTTCTTATGCGAAACTCGTTATGCTGATTGGGAAGTTCTTACTGAACCATTACGAGAGCTTTGGCTTATAACATTTATCAGTGAGTAAAATATCCAAGTATAAGCAATCGCCGGAGGACTCTGCCTCTCGTCAAAAAAACCATTCACCGTGCTCGAGTGCTATAGGCTGAATGATCCCTGCGAGAAAGTACAGTCTGGGTGTGAGAGTGCTATCTCTGCTTGAAATGAAGCATATGAGCTTTTCCGCTTAAGCAGTTAGTAGGCTTCTCAGTCAGTATTCAAAGAAGAGTTGAGATGCCCAAAATTTCTTTGACCTGCCTTCAAAACCCTGATAACGTTCCAATACTTATGACTTTGACAGTGAAAAGCTAAGAACCATTCAGGTGCATATAAGTTTGCATTTTGGTAGTATAGCTCACTTTTTGGAACAAATTGGCTCACATTTACCATCAAAGTTCTACGGCTCTATATCCGCAGTCATCTTTGTTCGCATATTTTATGTTTGTTTAACATTTGAATCATTGCAGCCTAACGGTATACTGAAGTTCAGAGAATAGCCTTGGTTTTTTAATCCTTTTTCACTGATATGACCTGCTTTAGAGATTACAATCAAACGCTGATACGTTGATAAGAGTACCCAAGATCGGTCTGGCTACTTGATCAGATGCAGTTTACTATGACGCTAAAGTGTTTCTAATCAATATCTTCTTTTTTTTTATGGAAACCCAGTCTTAGAGGATCAGTTTTAATTCTCACATCACTCAATATCTCCACATCTTCGTTGATTTTCTTCGCCGTCGTTGCAAAGAATTTCCTTATATCATTTGGTGTATGCCTGAACGTGGTGTATGTTTTCTTCATTTCAGGGTAAACTTGCTTATGGCTTCGCCAGACAATATATTGGCAGATGTAGATAATTTTTTGCAAGATCTAGCCAACTCGAGCGCCTCGCCTCCGCAGGAGCATCTATCGATGCCTCATCAACACGGTATATTCTAATATTCACATGATTTTGATTTTTCAAAATAGATAATACCTTAATTGCATCTCTAGCGTTAATCCCGTTGTACTTGATTTGCATTGAATCGATTCAATTTATTCCATGTATGGGATACAAAAGGTCACTATCGACTTTTTGAAATAGATTGTCATCAATCATTCTTATTCAGAGTGTCGATTAAGCTTACAGCGTTAATGTTTCTCGCCTTTTTTGCTAGCACCCGTTCACGTTTGTGTGTTTTTATACTAGAAAGGTTATACCATTCACCTGCATACTTTATGGGTGCTGCTGTTGTCCTCATTTGTACACTAGGAAACTAGCAAGATTCCGGTCGTTCAATGGTGGAGCGTCCTTTGCTGAGTAATAGCACTAGAACTAGTTTTCTATTTCATACCCTTGACTCATTTCTGCACTGCGACTGCACCTGTACGCTGCGATATTCGTTCCCTAGAATTTCATCGATCATAATTTGTTTGCTTGATATTTTCTTGTTCTATCAGTCGTATGTGTCAATCATCAACACTTTTCTAATTATTGATTGTTCATGAAAAAACCTTTTTGCTTTGTAGTGTTTGGGTCTGTTTGACTGACTTTGAAGCTGAAACAGATGCAGTTATAATCGACTCCCAAATTCGTGTGGAGGCCGGTTGCGGACTTTCCCTGAATTTAAGGATAAACTTGTTAAACCTCCACATTGCAGCGTTGTTTTTCGTACTCTCTCGTTAAGTTTATCCTTATAATCAGGGTCCGCATCCGGCCTCCACACGGAACTCGGAGCCGATCATACAGTAAAGTCTCTGCTAAGCTCAGAGTTAAAACACTTTATTGATCTGCTATCAGAAAGCTTTTTTTTTGTCAGCAATGATTTTTGCACCTACACATTTTTTGTACCATCAGTAAGCTTGACACCCATATGTTTAGGACCCCATGAGCATCCTATGCATGGACATGAAGGACATATGATGCAGCACGGAATGGGGATGGGAATGGGGATGCATGAAGGGCATATGATGAAAATGTGGTTTCATGGTGGTTGGAACGAAGTGATTTTGTTCGATTTTTGGCGGATAGATTCTTTATCAGGTAAGCTACTTTTTATGTGAATTGTGTTATTTGAACTTTTTACAGGTCTGATACTTTCTTTTATCGCAATATTTATCATGGGCGCAATGTACGAAGGGATCAAATGGTTTCGTGTGTTTTTACAAATGAGCAACTCAGCACCAAAGTGTTGTAGACAGAGCGAGAATGGCATCAGTCTCCAGCATGTCGTTCAAGACAAGGTTTGCAATCAATAACATTTGCGACTAATAGCGTTTAACATCGATGGCAGCCCTCTAGCGAGCAAAAAGCAATTTTTGGTTCTTTTTTTCAGGCGCCTCTGCAAGATGAAGTTGGTCGAAGTAATTCGAATGAAAATGTCTATAATCCAACAACAACGCCACCTAGCCACACTATACGATCTCACAATCGCCGCTCAAGGTAGCCCATAATCGATATATCCATATAGTGTGATCTCTATAGACGCGTTGTAACTGCATCGAAACAAGAATTTTGTGCAAAATATCCAGGTTTTTTTAGTCCATACACCAATTCATCTCCATGTTCGTCTGCGCGACTTATTCAAGCAGCACTCTACATCGTACAACTTGTCCTAGCATACTGGCTTATGCTTATCGTCATGACTTACAACACCTGGCTCAGTAAGTCTATGTACTTCAGTTTTTCAGAACTGACTACCTTTTATTTTCATATCGACGAGATAATCTCGATACCTGGCTGTCACTTATTTGAAGCTTTTTTCGGCGTAAATCAGAACGGCCGGATTATCTCGCCATCATCCCATTTCAGTCTTTGAGGCATATTTTTTGATTTTTTTTTACGTGGGAGAGGCATATTTTTTTTACTTCTTTTACATGTGTTTCTGGTTCCAATTTTTTTCGGGAGCGGTATAGAAAGACGATGTCTGTTCGATCAATGAAAATAGATGAGAATTTGGCATGTCTAACTATTGAGAAAAAATTATTCCTGCAGAGCACTAAGTGAAATATAGTGACAACGGACTATTTGAACCATATTTCACTAAAGACTGGCTATCTGAATGAAAACTCCATGTACACTTGCTCTAAATTGTCTGAATCATTAGGTGACATGACTGTCAAGTTTGGCTAAAACTCTTGCAACTGACGAGCTTGCTTTGTTGAGCACGTAAGTGATACGTAATAGTAAGGCTGGATATCTGAAAAAAAAACTCTATGTACACTTATACACTGTATACTCTATGTATACTGTACACTTACAAGGCACAATTATTAATTTCTTTTTCCATTTTGGTCGTCTGACACTCCTTTGGAGCACTTAAAGTCATTAGTAAATTTTCGGGAAGCCTTTGGGTTCTCATGTTTCTTTGCTGGATGAGTCACAATCTATATATAACTAGGGTGTGAACCGATCACATAATGTACATGTTTTGGGGAACGGATACTATTGAATTCCGATTACTCACAAGTCACTGTCGATTGAGTGACATATATCGTTTGTATGACGCCGAGTGACGGAGTCCATTCAAGGGAGGGATGAAGGGCGGGTGCGGATTCTCGTTTTTCATCGATGCATTCTTACATTTATCAGTCTACGGCAGGGAATGATTACTTTATGGGAAAGAGAGTCATTATGGCATTAAATCTACATGCGTCAGATTGCTGAGAATCCTTGTGTTTCCGAGAGAACATTACACGTCATTTTTCAGCCATCGCTGTGATCCTCGGTGCAGGATTTGGACATTGGCTCTTCGCCGTCTTGAAGATTCGAGATGCTGCCGGTGAGACGGCTGATTCATTTGCGACTGATGCTTGTCATTAAAGGCACGGATGGTGAGAGTTTCACTTTGTACAGGTTCTTCTTTTTATATCATACGATTTAGGAGGCAATAGCTTACAGAGGAGTACTATATAAAGTCAGCCAAATTTTCCGCTATCGCAGGAAGGTGTTATTTCATTACGAGAGGATCAAAGATTTCTAAGTAATAACACGCCTAAAAATTAGGAGGACGGTCTATCTTAATCATATCTGTTCTGTTTGGCCTCGTTAACTTATCTGTTGCATTGAATTAAACATTTCACCTGTTGTTCATCTATATCTTTTCGGTAAGGAACATCAAAACGCCTTGAATTATTCAAACAAATATGCGAACTGCCTTAGACTCAAAAAAGTACATGTGTTTGGCACGCATTGCAAATGACGTCATTTGACTAGGGAGTGTATCTCTCACAAAGCCGTTACATGCATGTGAAGTCGGCGGCGGGCGAGAAATTTTTTTCGAGGGGGGGGGGGAGGGGTATGGAAAATTCTCTGACTGGAAGAGAGCGGCGGTTAGCCTATGGAAAAGTGTCTCAGGAAGGTTTTCAAAGTCTTTGCGTCCCTATGATCTCGAATGTCAGCAGAGGGCGTCCACAGACCTCAATGTCTTTGTCTCTACTTTCACAATACTTCTGTTTCAATTCTTGCTTACATCAGTTCAAGTAAAACTGGTAGACGTAAGAAGAACGTGTTTTAGCTAGAAGAAAAGACTGCTAAAACTTGTAGAATCGCAATCAGCGCAGTCATCGATTGATCGCTATGAGAAATTAATGCCCGTTACAAATAGTGATTCTTTGCTATGAGTTTTTCAAAAAATTCAAAGGGTGAATGGCAAAAAAGCAGAAGAGAGGGTGATGCTTGTGAAGCACATTATGCGAAAAATCAGATGAGAATATTTGTGAAGAGCCTCAGCTCGCGTGCTTTGTTCCGGAAATCTCAAGTCGTTCGCAAATTGAGCATTCAAAAGACGCAAGTCAAATTCATAACCTCAAGATGAAACTATAATAAATGTGAATTGGTGAGAGGTGAAGCTGAGATAAAGCAGTGATGGGGAGAGAATATAGTTTTTAAGAATAATGTACAGTACCGTTTACAGGACGTGCAAATTGTTGAGATTATCGCGACAGGCGGCTTTTCGGTGATCGCTCGACATTCCATTCAAGTCCAAGATTACGCGAATCACGCATACTACGCAGCTCCATTTCCTTCGGGATGATCATGTTCTGAATCCGAAAGAAGATTGTGCTTACAAGAGATGTTTAGTCGAAGTAGCCGTTATAGATAACTGTATACTATATTTTAGAGCATAAAACACTGAATCCAAATCTGCCTTCCTTTCTGCGGAATGTTCATGGAGAAGGAGTTATGAGCTTTCATTCAAAAATTTGCATGTGCAAATAGGATGAAAATTGTCCAAATATTTTTTGGTGCTTTAATGGAATAATGATGCTTGTCAGAGCACCTTGTTTAACAAATACTCTCAGTAAAAAACTTTACTTGAGGGTTAGGAAGATTTTGGCAACTCATTTCTCTTACAAGGAAAAACACCTAACTTAGCTCAGCCTTTGGAAAAAGACAGATTTTTTTGAGTTAGCTCCAAACGCTTATTCCAAACATGTTTCTTAGCTGCGGTGGATCAATCTGGAGCGAGTTATCGACTTCTTTCCATGCAAAATTTGCATACCATCAACTTACTGGCACCACATCATCATCAAAGTAAGTTCTTGTCAGTGAGAAAAGACTCGATTCGAAGTTTTTTCTTCAATATCCCAGCACCTTTTAGAGCAGATTTTTACGACAGGCAGTTTTTTCATATTGAGTAGTTTCAACTTGCACAGTAGAAAGCTCATAACTCGCTTCAAAATGGTGGGCCGCAGCTAGGAATGACATATTTGGAATCAGCGTTTCAATCTGATTTAGATTATAATACTCAATCTGCAAAATACTGGGGAAACTGAACTTCTAAAACTTGCGGGGTGGGACACGCCTATTGGAGCTGCCAGGTAGGATGGAGCCCACCCACACGGCCCAGTAGGAAAGTCCGCCTCGGAAGTTTTAGAAGTTCAGTTTTCCTTGAAATTTGATTGTCTAAGTAGATCGGTCCGAAAGTTCGTGCTATTTTTCCCACCCATGCTTAGAGGCAGTGTCCAGGCAAATCTGGACCCTTTGGTTTTTTGCGTGGAAACTGATGGGGAGCCACTGACTAAACCACTGCCCGAGTTGCAGCGCACGGGATTCACTCATGCCAGAGAAATCGGCGTCCGAATCGGTCGTCCCCGCGCCGTGACCGTAACACTTCAACAGTCTAAACGCACATCACGGTCCCGGCGCGAAACCATGAGGACAGGGTGTAGCGCGGAAACTCGTTGGGAGGGTACGAAATAGCACGGAAAATGAAGATATCTCAAATGTAATCAACGAAAACACCATGAACGACGCGGAAAAGGCAGCCGAGAGAAGCCGCCGCAATAAACATGGAAAACAAGGGCAATTCACGAAAAGCAGAAGAATTAGGAAATTTGCAGTATTTGTGCAACGAGTTTGCGCGCTACATCCTGTCCTCATGGTTTCGCGCCGGGACCGTGATGTGCGTTTAGGCTGTTGAAGTGGTACGGTCACGGCGCGGGGGCGACGGGCTCGGAGGCCGAATTCTCTGCCGTGAGTGAGTCCCGTGCGCTGCAATTCGGGCAGTGGTTTAGTCAGTGGTCCCCCATCAGTTTCCATGCAAAAAACCAAAGGTTCCAGATTTGCCTGGACACTGCCTTTAAGCCACTCTGAATAATGATAGACAAACGACCTGACCGTGTTCGCTGCAGAATTCTGTCCTCTTTCTAAAAGTTATGCTTTTGTTCGGATTCCTTTGATGTCTGCTCGAATAATGTTTGTTAGATTCTCCAACCCATGAGTTTCACCCATCCTGAACTTAGCTATTTTTAAGAATTTCCATTTAACTATTGGACTAGCTTTGATAACAGTTGGATAAAACAAACAAAATGCAATACAATACATTTTTTCGGCATCTCTAGCTGGCTTCTCAAAATTTTTGCCCAATCCTCACAGAGCAATGAGCGACGAGCATCCAGGGTGTCATTCTTTGCAACTTTTTCTCCTCTTTCTCATAGACTCGGGTGGAGGAACGAACGCCTCAATTAGGCCCTGCCTCCGCGGTCCACTGACCCTGAGATGCACACAGGGTCAAGCGTGTTGATGCGATCCTGGACCCTCATTTACGACCCTCCCCCCTTGAAGGTACCCATCCGTACGACCCCCCCCCCCTCCCTCCCCTCCCCCATCTATCCCCCTTACCTCCCCTGCCCACATTTCTCGCGGTAACCTGCATAAAAGAATGTCAATCTCAAAAAACACCTGCGTGTGAACTTCAGTGAGGTTTCGGAAGCAGAATTTCTAGGCCAATGGGTGCGCCCAGCATCTCTAGCACATATACACGCCTTCAATAATGTTTGAGATTCTGCAAGTTTACTTTTGAATTTTCAGGCATTCTTCAGGCCAGCAAATTCGATTTCCGTATGCGACACAAATTATGACACGGAGAACAAAATGACATTCTTGAACTACAAAAGATGTTCTCGACTAAGAAGCTCAGTTCTTACCTCTTTCACAATTTTCCTGTGAAAAAAAAACCGCTTTAGCGCCGTCCAGAACGACGTCAAAAACATGCATGAGCACGGTAGTTTGAAAATTCATAACTAAGGCCAGGAAAAGACTGAGAGGCTGCAAAGAACAGGTTCTGTAGCATAGTGCCCAGACTATTCATAGAAAAAGTTTCAGCCCTTGAGGAGCAGTGAGCTCGAAAAAATTTAGATCAGACTCTCGCAAATTTAGATGCGATCCTAAAAAGCAAAAACTGGGATTTTTGAGCTTAGAATTTTGTAACTTATCAGAGAGGTTATGAAACAGCCTGAAATTCTTATGATGAAAACTAGAGGGATGGCCTCGTATTACAGCAAGTTTGCAGCTAACAAGCTTCAACAGCTCCGGAGAAATTTAGATCAGGCGCAGATACGACCCCCCTTTTCTCATTTTTTGCTACCATATATAAAATCATAAGAAAATCCGCAGTTTATAAAATAACACCAGATTTCGCATAGCAGTAGCAGGGTTTATCTAAAGTATACACAAATTTTAAGGGCCGCATAAATGGCATTACAAAAAGATTTACGAATTATTGATTGTCATCGTTGATCTACATGTGCGCTTTTGTCGAGTGTGCGAGTCTTCAGTGAGCCTTCGGAAGCAGGATGTCTTCACCAATTGGTACATCCCATCTTTATCACACATACATGCCTCTAGTAGCATTTGAGCTTCTGAAAGCGTTTATTTTTTGGATTTTAGTCATGCCAGCAGGGTTCGATCCCCGTTTGAGACAATATTTTGCGGGAGAAATAGCGATTCCCATAAAAAAGAACTAAGTCATAATCTTTCAAAAGTGCAGCAAATGAAGCGAATTTCTACGCTCGCAAATGTTTTCAAATTATTATTCACTTGTTTTCATTTGATACATTGGTACACGGCATTCCATGAATTTATTGTTAAGAACGTGTAATAAATCTGCTTTCAATCGTACGGTTTTTTATCCAAACTGCCCCCTCTTACGACCCCCCCCCCTCACCGTAGGCCCCCTTTACGACCCCCGTTGCGATAGTCGCATCACACGCTTGACCCTGGATGCACAAGGACATAAGAATCAGCAGCCTGCGGAGACGGTGCCTAATTGAGGTGTTGTTCCTCTACCCGTTCCAGGCTATACGAAAAATTCGAAATCTAATATTTTGAAACGATAAGCGCGCAGTTGCTTGCTAAAATCAGCGTTTAGTCATAAGCTGTTCCTGAAAGTTTCGAATTTCTAAGATTTATCAATGTTCAAATTATCTTTAGAAATACTGAAAAGCTAGTTGAAGAGGCCAAAGTATTAGGTTCTCTAATAAATAATTTCGTTTTGACATGCAATTTCGATGCTCTATAAAAGCACAAGTACTTGTTTTTTAGCTGTGATTTTTTGTGGGCGGGTAGCTTCAAGCTTCTACTATTACGTACAGGGCTTATCAAACGCGAAGAGGAGGGGGGGGGGGGTACGATTGTGTGTGTGTGGGGGGGGGGAGGGAATGAAAGTTCATGTAACAATTACGTTGAGATAAGTTATACTTGTAAGGGGGAGGGTTGCACTGTGTTGAGTTGATAGGCGTGAACCTTGCGCTATCCTTGCGAAGTTTTTTTGCTCGGTCGCTTTGTATAAAATGAGTTTTAGGTGGAATTGCGATAGCAAAAGGTTAATTTTTTTTTACATTTCCGAGACTCCAATTTCAGAAGCAATTGACATTTTTTTTCATAAAGTACCAAGCTTCTGTGTTTTGGGGGCTCTGCTTCGGATTCCACAAAAAAAGAAATCCCCTTTTTGCCCAAAAACGATATCCAGCTTGCCCGATAAACTACCTGTGCCGAGCCCTGATAGAAACTTAACAAAAGACTCACGCGAGATACTCTCAACCAGGGATAAGCAAGGGGTGTGGCACACGATCGCTGGTTACGACCCCCCCCCCCCTGATTGCTGTCTTAATAAGACCACTCCTCCCTGAACTATATACCTAAGATAGCATTACCAGAGTTGAGAAAGAGGTCAGGCACAAGTCTTTCGAAAACAACCCCCCCCCCCCTCCCATGAAAGCCCTCAAACGACCCCTTCTTCCTCCTCTTAACCTCTGGACCTCAAAGTGTGACATTCTGGAGGACATCATCCTTTTCTAGAGAGTTTTCAGATTTCTGAGAGCTGTACGCCCGATTTTCTATGACTGCTTTACAATCACACGTAATTTGACGGCTGATTTTGATCTGAATGGGCATATTGAAAGGGCCATAATTTTCTTATGTGTGGGGCGTTCGGCTCCAAATTTCCAGTGTAGCAAGAAGAAGCTATGTGCTCAATACTCATACCAGCAATGGAGCGCTTTCTGAATTTTGAAGGCAAGTTAAGATATAGTAATTTTGAAGGCAAGGTATATTTTGAAAGCAAGTTAAGATATATTTTTGATATAGTTAATGGGGTGCGGCACACCCCCTTAAAAGCTGCGGCAGCCGCAGCTTTTAAGGGGGTGTGCCGCACCCCATTAACTATATCAAAAAACATTTTTAGTGGACAGTATTTATATGAATTGATAGCCTAAACCTTGTAGATACCATAGGACTGTTTGGAGCCTGATTCGTCTTCTTAGCTCTGAGTAATATTTGGTGAAAGCACAGCGATCAAAAGCGAAAAATGGAAAAAACGAGATTTTGGTTGGCTTCTAATTCCACAGTTTGGAAGTCTGAAGCGGGATTCCTGAGGTGGATAAAGAAGGAGTAGTGCTTTGTCCTGAATGCAAAAACGGATAGCTAATTCACCTTTGAAGCGAATTTGACCAATTCATTTAGGTAGCCTAGTATCTTGAATCTTCAGAATTCGCTCACACTTTGTCCACAGGGGTTAACTGACATGCTAATTATGGATATGATACAAATATCATGTTATCACTATTATCAGATTACCCAACTACGACCCCCTCCCCTTTTGACTCCTCAATACGACCCCCCAGGTGTGGCGTGCCGCACCCCACGCTTGACCCTGCTCTCAACCAAACGTGAAGTCTCTTTGATGTTTAGTAGAGCCATTGTTTTGCAGTGGCTACGGTTGTCGTCTTCTGCCAGCGAAAGCACGCTTGGTTTGGACCAATAAATCTGCCAACATTTAGCAAAGGAGATTTTCAGAGCATTCATAGCCTGGAGCAACTTATATCGAGTGGTGAAGTCGAGGAGGAACGATGAGCGATTAAGTCCGGCTACAAAAGGATGCAAGTTATAAGCAGCTGGAGGAAGGGGAATTTCAGAATTAGGCCGTCAGGCCTTCGAACGAAACCTCCGTGTAGCAAAGGGATGGCTAGTGGTGAGGCTGCTTTAGTGTTGCGACGCGGGTCTGTATGGTACCTCAGACTTGAGTAATAAAGCTTTATTGGGATACAAACAAACAATAAAGATGTAGATGTGTGAAGTGTCTCCAGAGACGTTTCAATCTTCGAACTGCTTCCCAAGATATTTGTGATCCCTCAGAGACTTCTTGGTGCACAGGAGACTTGTTGCTCCTGGTCCAGAGTACTTGTTGGATCTAGTGCTACCCGGAAAAGACTTGTGGAGGAAGATTGCCGGTCGGAGACTTGTCGTCCTCAGAGCGAACTACTTGTAGAGAGAATCCTCTTGGTGAGCCGGAGACTTGTCGTCCTCCCAGCAGGCACTTGTGGAGAGAAATCCTCGACCTCACTCATCCATCGGCATTTATACCCTTGACTTGTTTACGAAGTCATTGTTGACTGAAGATAGCACTGATAAGGTGATGGAAGTGAGGTTGCAATGACCTGTCCGGCTGATCCTCGTGGAACTCTTCTAACCACTACGATATAAGGCAGTCCCTGGTGGGCGGAGTCTGATATCAGACTCCGCCCAGCCAGGGAGTTTCAGGCCCCTTATCTCCATTCAGAGACAACGCTAGAAGACCGGACGAACGCAGATGTTCATTTTCGGGGGCATACTTTCAGGATCGACACTAGTCGGAGGGGGTTAGGTTTAGCCTGACACTGCCTTTAATAGACGAGAAATGCCTTATAATATACCTTCTTGCTGTGCATGTTGTTCATGTCTTGGTGTTGCTATTTTACCTTTGGTGCTACTTGTCTAATTGGTGCTATAATGGATAAAGTATATTAGTACGGATCGGTGTTTCTACCAGTTTGCCAGCCGTTTCCGCGGCACGCTTACTAAAGCTCATATTCGGATCTACGGGCCGGAAAGGTTCAAAACATGCGAAAAGATGGAAGACGGAAAGATGAAAATCTGCCGGAGTTTGCCCTCAATATCTTGACGACAGTGGTGCGCGGCACCCTAAATTTTTATTTTAGTGTACCCAGTCGTTTAATTACAATCAATCCAGATTTAGAAGATGCTAACCTCGCCCCACCCTCCCCCCTCTCCCCCCCCCCTCTCGGGCAAGCTCCATTCCCAGCGGCTAAATCCGCCCACTTCTTGAGATTGCCGGATTTTGCATGAATTCTTGGAATTCAAGCAATTTCCAGCATTTTTTTTGCAGAGTGGGCGTAGCTTGCTCGAGGGGGGGGGGGGGAGCTGCACCACATACTTGTATGTTTGCGCTTCATCCAAAGATGCATGCATTATGAAGCTTCCAGGCGTAAAAGAGGACAAAAAATTCTCGTCCATAAGAACAGACACGAAGAACTTGGCTCGTCGTCAGCGTGATAATAAAATGTCATTTACTGTTATTAGTACGGTGGGTACAGTCTAAAGCAACATGTTTTGAAACTAGTCTCTCCAGCGCCAACTCTCATTTGGAACAACAGTCGCTCCACTTCAGTGCTTGAATTTCAAATCAATTTGGACAAAGAAATCTCCATGCATTGCACATGATATGCAAAGCAGAACCACCGCGGATGATTGAAGATTTTCATGCAAAGGAGAATGGACGAGGATACATATGATTTTTTTTCGCACTTTACCTTTGGGTCTAAATACCAGATGGCAATTTTCTTGGCACCCCAAGGGTGTAACAATTCCTGAAGTGTCCTATCTAGCCGGCGAATTGCCTCGCAGCATGTTTCAATTTCAAGGATATCCGATGCTTACTATAGATCCAGAAATATGTTAACGAAAATTATCCAGTCCTGGATGCTTGTTATGTGCTGGTCTTTGCCTGGTTCAATTGCTTTTCTCGGTTACGTCGCCATGACGACATATGGCGACACGCAGGTGAATTTAATACCACTCCTCCGCATGATTGTTTACTGAAGCACCGCTTTACATGTCCTTGTTCCGAATCAGTGAATGGTATACAAATCTCTACCCTGCTGCCTCATGCATTGCTGTTGGAAATTTGGTAGAAAACAGAGGTGAGATGCTGGGAAATGACAATCTAAAACTACTGTGGAGATCGGTCTTTACCATTTTTTCCAGATCAGCTTATTATCGGTGGCGAGGATGGAGTACTGATTGTGCTTGATCCAGGCGGTGCCGAAAAGGATCCAGTCATGCTTGAGCAGCAAACAGGAAAACCTATTATTGATATTTTGATAGGCGAATTTCTACCCTCTATCGGGCCGGTAAGAGTTGCGATATCTACACTTTTTTTTGCAATTAAAGTCTCTATTTTCAAAATCTGGAAGTTCATGTTTCAACATTTTCGCTGTAAATGAAGGATCTACAAAAAAAACTATAATACTCAACCGACTCGGCTTTTAACTGCAAAAAATCTAATCCGTTCTAAAGATGATCAGGTTCGGTATCGTAGCAAATGCTACGGTTCTTCAGATGGTATTATTTTTGTGGGATTTGCGCTATCGCGGAAATTTTCCTTCCTTTCTTCTAGAGTAGATGAATATTGTAAAAACATGCATTTATCTTCTCGAAGGAGATCTAGATATATCAAGTTACCGTAATCCATTCAGATATGGTAGGAGTGTGGTAGGACGTGTTTATTTACTATAGGAAATTATCCGATGATAGATGGTAACAAGTACCTGCACAAATTTGTAACCCATTGCTTTCAAAATTTTCGCAATTTCCACCATCAGTTCACCGCTGCTGAATGCCGCCAGATACGTACACATCCGAATAATAGGAATCAGGATGTATTGGAAGATTTATAATATATCGAATTGCTGATTAGAACTTCTGTTTTCTCTAATACTCAGCCACTAAAAGGAGTTATAGTCAATCCGCGAATCTTTTCGAATTCTCCAGTTTCGCATTATTGACCTTAAATCTAATTAGAAATAGGAATTCTACTATAAACTTGGCCATTATATCTCAGCATTGCTACAATTTAAATCTATGTCTATAAGCATTGTGTCCTGTGTCCCTATTACTACACATTTTCTTTGTTTTTTTTTTCAGATCTTAGCAGTGTTGTCTCCTCGAGCGCTTTCGTATTTTCGACTCAGCTATGGTAATGGCAGGAGAATTTACTTGATATTAATCGATAGTCAAGCAAAAATACAAATTCTTCAGATGCAGCAGATGCGTCAAGAACAAAACTGGAAGCAATGTTCACGCATGAGATCGCAGAACATGCCTACAATATGTGCACCATACCTTCTCCCACAACTCTACAGATTTTGATTCAGTCTGTTGGCTGTGTTCTCACACTATATCAAGGTGAATGCGCCTTTTTGTTGGTGGATTACTTTTTAGCAAGTCACATTGAAAATATTATAAAAATATTTCAGGGGATCAGTGTGTATTTTCGCGGTCACCACTCCCAGCCTTGCATCCAGGCCCATTGTCCTACTGCTACCCTTCGTCATCGCTGGTCACATCGAATGGTGGACGACTGCACAGCGTTAAATTCAGTCTTTTGGCTGGATTAGGCAACACCGGAAAGCGAGTGACTGTAAGTATGTTTACTGCACAAGGAGGATTTCTCTTCTTTACCAGAAACAACTATGAGGAAAAGAATATAAATTTTCGATTTTCGCGTAGTGGTTAATGAGATTTTAAAAGAAAAATCTGAATCTATAGCAGCTACCTTGGTTTAATTTGACATGCTACAAGAAACGAATACTAATATAGCCGATAGAATAATATTTGTTTGCTTCTGTTTGCTTGCTGTGGGTTACGGTAGGTATACGGTAAGTGGATGAGCTTTAGTCACGAAACTCTGTTGTTGGCCGTTTAGATATACTTGTCATTACCGTTAGCTTTTGGCGATTTAATATTTTTACGAGTATAGACACAGTTCGGGGTTTTCTAATTGTAATCCAGAAATGGTTCTGAACAAAGTATGCTTAGCATGAGCTAAGCATGCCAGAACACCCGCCAAACGGAGTAAACCTGACTGAGAACCCATTTTCTGCAGTACCCTGTCGTACATGCCATTGATAGCCAAAATTAACTGCTAGCAATATCTGAATATTCTAGAAATCTGGAGTATTTGTGTATTCATTGATATTTACTGTATGAGTAAAAATGTCACTTATCCTGTTATTTCATAAACAGTACTATGAAAGTTCGTGAGAATATTCTTATAGTTCGATTGGAGTTTCCATATGGGGGACACGTGCATCGACATGGCCATGGAAGACACACCTCCCATTCAGCCGTCTATAATTTGCCTCTGTCGATATACAGTTTACTGCTTGACCACGGGTGGAACAGTCAGGTGGCAGATCCGACTTGAACAGGTCGGCACAGCACTGTTGGTCTATAATGTTGGAAGTGAGTAATAAAACAATCACTGAGTTAGCAACTTGCTCACAAATAGCAGATATTTTCTAATTTGTGTTAAGCTTAAAAAAACTAAATCCTGAAGCAGATAATTACAGAAGAAACTCTTTCCGTTCGATTATGTGTCGCCACTAGCTCAAAAACATTGCTAGTTTTCTTGGACAACAAACTGATGTGGAACAGTCAGACAGAGGAAGCAGTGATTTCTTTGAAGCTCAGCAACTTCAAGTAAGTGGCTGGGATCCATACTACAAATTTCTTCAAAGCTTGGTCGTCAAAATGTAAATATTTGCCGTAATTTTCAGTTCTACGTATCAAAATGTCCTCTCTATGTTGTCAGCTTCAGGACGGGTATCCATTGGTTATCTGGGAACGGAACCTAATCTCTACAAGGTAAATCATTTATCTTTTTTCTCAGAGAGTTTGAATACACTCCAGGTTCCCGTGGACAACCGATTCATTGACTTCAAAGCAAAAATTCAAGAAATGCGAGAGACGGAGGCTTCAATCAAAGACAGTGGAAGTGTTGGTGAGTTACAGGTATTGCTAATTCTGTAAAGAACCAGGCCCCCTCAGGGAATATTCTAGATTAACCCCAATTTATTAGGTTGGTGCAAAAATAATGGCCGATTTTCCAAGCCTTTTTTCAGGGCAACTTTTTTCCATCAATACTTCTTCTTTAAAACAGACGTAGCATACCATCGAGAAGCTGTTTTCATGCTCTATTTAAAGGTGTTTGAAAAGGGATTCCTTCATCATCTGTTATAAAGTTACTGAGCTTCAAATGACTGCATCCAAATTCAGAATTTCAATGCATCCACTTTTCTGGCCAGAATTCAAGCGCGTATCAATGGCACTTCTTCGAAAATTAAGCTATTGTATGTAATAGAAATTGTCTACATTACGCATACTTAACTGTATTCTTTGAAGTTATCCAGACTGAGATACCGGCGCCTAAACATGGGTAGCTGTTGCGGTAATTTTATGACCCATAATTTTCTTCTGAAGAAGTCAATCGCCGGAGCTTTGCTCTATTCTGTAAGCGTAGGGCTAGGGCATCCTGTCAGCAGTTTCTGCAAAAACATCCAGCTGTTCAGTACCTAGAAAATCAAAAAATTCTATATTCGGGACTCTGAAGCACACTGAAAAAATGTTGAAAAAGTGAGAAATTTTAAATTTTGATTTTTTTCTTTCTCGCAAACTTTTTTGTCCGAATTCTTTCTATGTTTTTTGTACTACTGGCTTGCGGCTACAAGATGGGACACTCAGCATTCATACTAACAAACTTTGAAGGAAGTTATGAATTTTCAAAAACAAGGCTCTAGCAAAGGAACCTTTTTTGTTTTTCGATCCATATTTTCCTGCCTGTTCGTGATGAGTACATGTAAATGTGCGCTGTATTGCAGAAGTTTTGCTGCTTCCGACGATCGTTACCGCATTCGAAAATGTGAATCTTTCGAAAATTTATAGCACGTCAAAGTGAGAATTCGCAAAACGGCCATTATTTTTGCACCAACCTAATATATAAGGTCATTCCGAAAGTAATTTCGCTTTTTTCAAACGGACGCCACATGTGATGGAACAAACATTTTAAAAAAGATCTTGGTAGCATTCGATGCAGCATTTCATACTCTTTTTAATGGTAGTAAAATCTTTGCAGCATAATCATTGAGCTTTCAGAAACTAACCAAAATCTGCGACCCATGCTTTTTGAAATTGTCAAGTCTCACAATTTTTCAAAACCTTCATACCAACCCTTAAAAGGACGGTAAAGGTTGGATAGAGCAAACCTTATAGAATACAGCACAACTTTTTTCTCTTTTTCATAGCTCGCCGTAATTTTTTGAAAGATTTTTTACCAAAACCATCGGATTTTGGCAAGCCTATGTCAGTCACAATCGCATCAAACATCAGTAATTACTCGGAATTTATAGCAGATAATATATGACTTGATGTTGATTTTATAAAGCAAATGAGAGCTTATGGATTCGAAATACTGAACTTCGAGTTTTTCGAGTACAGCCTTGGGCGCGTTCAAAAACAAGAGTTACGACAACTTTATACCCGAAGACTGAACAAATTGGAAACAAAAAACACCTATTAGAAAGAGGAGAGAAAGCTGCATCAAACAGCACCCGAGCTGCTCTCTCATTGATGTTCTACGAGATTTGAGTTGACCAAGTATGAAAATTGGTAGCATCAGTTGAAATATCATTAAAAAATTTTGAGGAGGTATGTGAAGGAGAAAAAATTGATTTGTATCCTGTAAGGTTTGCCCTATCTAATCGTTACTTGTACTCCTTCTGAGGTTTGATATGAAGGTTTTGAAAAATTGTGAAACTTGACCATTTGAAAAGGCATGGGTCGCAGGTTATGAATATTTTCCGAAAGCTCAATGACTGAGCTGCGACGATTCCACCACTGTTAAAAAGAGGATGAGTTGCTGCATCGAATGCTACCAAGATCTATTAGAAAACCCTTTTCCTTCAGATATGGCTCCCCTTCGAAGAAAGCGAAATTATTTTCGGAGACATATTTTTTCCCACTCATCGTTTCAACTTTAGGACTTGAGAAGAAAGAAGGCGGTCTGATTCTGAAGTGTTCAGCTGGAGAACTTGAACAGGCGACAGTAAGCTAAAAATTCTCCCCTTTTTTCTCTTTCAAGACGAGATTACAATTTAGATTGAACACGAAGCAAGGCAAGGAGCACCCGTATGTCCATTAACGGTAGGATTTCAAGGAGCAGAAGGTGTAGACAGCATCAAAGTAAGTTTTGTAGAACTATCAACATCTAAAAGACCAGAAATTAAGTAGTTTTCACTTCAACAACCCTCAGGTGAATATACGATCTACTCTCAACTCAACCTCAAAGCATTTCGTTGTCGACCGTCCAGGTAAACCGCTTATATTTAAATCTATTTACGCAACAAGTTTCCCGTATTTTCCATTGAATCAAGTTGATCAGGCAGTGCCAATGTGCACAATTACAAAAATAAAAAATAAGAATGCCAGAGAAATCTCCGAAACTCTCTCCCTTATCTCTCAGCTATCTAGAAGGAATTGGGCCCTATTATGCGCCAAAAAGCTTTATTTCAATACGTCGAATCATTATAAGATTTCTACGGAGAGCGTAAAATGACTGTTTTCGACACCCTAGAGGAAAATTTTACTCGATTCATATCTTGCAATTGAGCCAGAAATTTCACATTTTAGTGTATATACCCCATCTAGTCGTAATGTTTAGGTGTATCGGATGGCTTAAAAATCCCGCTCTTTGTTGGTGAAGAGATGCCTTCATCAACAACCGTCCACCTCGCTGCTCACTGCACAGGAACTCAAGGTTTAATTATGATTTTTACTGCATAAATTTTAACAAAAATTTGAACTTGATATTTCAGTGACCGCTGTGAGCTCGTTTCGCATGCCATTCGCCACAATGTTCACCGAAACTTCAACTGAGAGAAATGCATCGTATAAACTCACTTTGGACTCAGACCAGAGCTGCATACCTCTTAATACTTTATTCAAAGGTTGTCGAACACTTTACTCGCTTATGTTGTGAAAAATGGAGAAAATTACGGTGAACGCCGAATTTCAGAATTTCAAATGGAAAACCCGACGTCCATTGGTTTCCGAGTACACGGTTATGACGCCACAGTGTCAGTATTTACAGCGCACAAATCAAGTAAGTAATCTGTTTGCAGTTTCCAAGTTTCCTCTCTTCTTAACCTCGGCATTGTTAGTTAGTATGTTGTGAGTAATAAGCCAATCGAGGTTAGTATTTATTGGTAAGTGGTGGCCTTAAGTGGAGGCCTAACCTTTCGAGCTATTCGTCTTCTTCAGATGCCTAAAGTGGTAAGATTTATGATTTTATGTCTATCCCACCAGAAACCTCCTCCATCCCCGGCTAGCCTCGACGTTGCCCCAGAATGCTACAAACAAAAATTCCATAACGTGAAAGACGAACCAACCTCCTCTGTCCATCCGGTAAAGTTGGTGACTGCGGTAAGACAGCTGTAATCTATCAGATCGAATGTATCGAGTGCAGCGCCACTTATATCGGAGAGACTGGGAGACCGTTGGGAGTTAGGTTAAAAGAACATCTTGCCAGCAAAAGACGAGGAAGCCTTACCACTCCTCTCGGTAAACATAAAGTTGAAGTCCACGGTGGTAAGGACTTCGAGATCAGATGTGTAATACTGGCATACGAATACGATACTGCCATTAGAAAGGCTCTCGAGGCGTTCTGGATTTTCGCAAGAAATCCTAGCATGAACAGCCGAAATGAGTGTATGTCAATCACAAATGACTTTATGCCATTCGTGACGTTATGTGAGTTGAAAGACCACTGATTAGTTCGAATATGGTATACAGTGTATTCCATTATTGGTATCAGTGGCACTGAAGGACGCCCGCTTTCAACATCTGCGCGCCGGCGGTGGAGGAGGTTGGTTCGTCTTTTACATTATGGAATTTTTTTGTAGCATTCTGGGGCAACGTCGAGGCTAGCCGGGGATGGAGGAGGTTTCTGGGGGGATAGACATAAAATCATAAATCTCTTACCACTTTAGGCCTCTGAAGAAGACGAATAGCTCGCAACGTTAGGCCTCCACTTAAGGCCGCCACTTACTAATAAATACTAACCTCGATTGGCTTATTACTCACAACATACTAATCTGTTTGCGTTATTTCAAACATATACCCTAAAATCTGGCGTTTAAAAAACCCGATTTTTTACATTGATAGGTTCGTCTTCAGTTAATCCGCCTACAGATAAAGTTTTTTTTCCATTATAACTGCTCTAAAATCTGGTATATAGCCCAGAAGCTTCCTTATCTGCGTCAGCTTATCTATGGACGGATCTATCTGCGGAGAGGCTCTATTTGCAAGATTTTAGGGTAATTATATGAAAAGTAGATGTTAATGTAAATATTATAGTAAATGTTGTGGTACCAGGCTCAATTTAAAACTTATCGCATCCCCTCACTCATCTTACACACGGTCTAAAAAATCACTACATACTTGAATATGGTTTTGCTTTGATTTGCGAGCCTGTAAATTAGGTCGGAGCATAGTCGCACCAAAATTTCTGGGAATTCGTGATCATCAATAGGTACAATCCCACTTATTATTGACTTAGAGAAAAAATACTGTATGTTTTTTGATGCCGACCAAAGCAGAATTGTTGGTGTAACATCGCGACAGTAAAACTTTATTTTTATTATAATTTTATCGCAACAATTTTTATTCGACAATAAAAAGTGATGAATATAAGCACTTAGCAGTGGCGTACCCAGGATTTCGGCTCGGGGGGGGGGCGGCAAAAATTTTTTTCAAATGAAGGTGCGTGGCGTCAGCCACGCACTCCGAAAAAATTTTAGGGGGGCTTCTCAAAATTTTTGCGGGTCCCCAACCCCTGAAATCTGGAAAAAGGGGGCGTGGCGTCAGCCACGCCCCCGAAAAAAATTTTTTTATAAGGCTAATTTGAATTTTTAAAAAATTTCAAAAATTATTTTAATTGTTTACAAAAATAAACAAGTCATTTGCACATTTTTATAACTCACATAAGTAACTTTCAAAAATTTCGCGACCCGTTCTCGGGGGGGGGGGCGCGCGCCCCCACCCCCCCCGCCCCCCCCCCCCTCGGTACGCCACTGGCACTTAGGTTGAATCTTTTGAATTTCGGACATCGAAGTGCTGAAAGGTCTAGAAACTTCCCATTATATAACTTCTCAAGATTTATTTCTATACGCACTCTTCCTATCTGATAGGTTACCCCAAAAGTATACTCCAACTTCATAATGAGCTCTTTTTGTTTCATTAATAGACTCAAGGTACCATTTGATAGAAAGGAGCAAGCCTTACAAAAGGACCACCAAGGACGCACCTAATTCAGGTAAAATATGGAGCCAAAAATCAAATCTTTAAGCTATCTCCACTCTAAAGATTGGGTTTCCTTGCAGAAAATTTCCACGGACTTCAACTAGCTCTTCATATAGTAGACACATAGTAGTACCCTGTTGCAGTGGCGTACCTTGGGTGGCGGGGGGGGGGGCGCCCCCCCCCGCCACCCAAGGTACGCCACTGCAACAGGGTACTACTATGTGTCTACTATATGAAGAGCTGGGCGCCCCCCCCCCGCCACCCAAGGTACGCCACTGCAACAGGGTACTACTATGTGTCTACTATATGAAGAGCTGGGCGCCCCCCCCCCCGAGAACGGGTCGCGAAATTTTTTAAAATTACTTACATGCGTTATAAAAATGTGCAAATGACTTGTTTATTTTTGTAAACAATTAAAATAATTTTTTAGATTTTTTAAAAATTCAAATTATCCTTATAAAAAAAAATTTTCGGGGGCGTGGCTGACGCCACGCCCCCTTTTTCCAGATTTGGGTTTGGGGCCCGCAAAATTGTTGAGAGAAGCCCCATTAAAATTTTTTCGGAGTGCGTGGCGTTAGCCACGCACCTTCATCAGAAAATTTTTTTTGCCGCGCCCCCCCCCCCCCCGAGCCGAAATCCTGGGTACGCCACTGCCCTGTTGGATTTTTTCTCGCGGCTCAAAATTGAGAAGCGAAGATGGTCCGAAAATGATAAAATGCCACTTTTTTCGGGCTTGGGTGAAACTTGATATTTCTCCTTCATGAAAGTACGTACAGGGGTAACGTTTTGAGATTATATTAGGTTGTCCCGAAAGTTCGTTCGCACCATTTTCAAAAAATCATAACTTCTTTGCATCATAACGGTTTTGCGCATTTAAAGTTTTCTTAGAAAGCGTAAAGCACCTTGTTTCCAACAGTCCTCTGGCGACTTTCCAGCATGTTCAGGTTGCAGAGATAAAAATGAAAGAACGAGATCATCCGAAATTCGGAATTTTTAAGCAAGAATTCTACAAATTCAGAAACAGTGCGATGAAATCCAGAAAAGCCATTATCCTAATTTTTCTTACATTTGATTACTAACTAAGTTAAGTTTGGGCTGATTGAGCTCTTCTTTCAAAAGTTATGATTTTTTGAAATAAAATGCCGAAAAATCAATTTTCTAAGAATTCCTAAGAAATTGATTTTTCGGCATTTTATTTCAAAAAATCATAACTGTTGAAAGAAGAGCTCGATCAACCCAAACTTGACTCAGTTAGTAATCAAATATAAGAAAAATTAGGATAATGGCTTTTCTGGATTTTATCGCACAGTCTGAATTTCTGGAATTTTTTCTCAAAAATTCCGAATTTCGGATGTTCTCGTTCTTTCGTTTTTATCTCTGCAACCTGAGCATGTGAGAAAGTCACCAGAGGGCTTTTGGAAACTATATGCTTTGCGCTTTCTAATAGAATTTGAACTGCGCAAAGTTATTATGATGCAAAGAAGTTATGATTTTTTGAAAATGGTGCGAACGAACTTTCGGGACAACCTAATATTTGGTAAGGCTTGTATACGATGACATATGTGGAAGGGGCTGGGGGCGGAATTTGCCATTATAGACTATCTTCTTTTCTCGCTTTCTATGTGCGGAAAAAAATCCAGTAAAGGCATATTTGAGTATTACTATGTGCATACTGTATTATGACCAAGTTAGAAGTCTTCAAAATTTTTTCTCGCAAAAATTCAATTTGCAGGTGATAAAATTCTTTTTTTTTTCGATTTTGGCTCCATACTTTACCTAGATTATGTACAAATTAGGTAGTTCTTTGGTGATTGTAGAGCTTGCTTAACTCTATCGAATGGTACTTGTCCGCTATGAAAACAGAAAAAGTTTGATTTATTTAGAAATACGGTTTATCTTTGGGACGACTCAATAGCAATTATAAATTTGTGCTGATTGAAAACTACGAGAAAAGCGTAATTTTCGAGTTTTGTTCTCGTTTAATTTTATTCGAGATAAAACTTCTAACATGTAGAAGACTCTATACATTGTATAGATGAGATCGTATTGTGCAGATTGTAACCGTTTTCTAAGCACCCCATCTTTTTCTGGATTCCTGGAAGTCTTTTTCTGGATTCCTGGAAGTTTGGAAGTCTTTTCAGAATTTGTGCAAGACTTTTGTTTTAACCTGACACCTCTCATGATTAAATGATTTATGGACGGGTTTGAGAGTAATGACAGGCTGAACTAATTCGAGCGCTTGTTCTGCTCTGCTTAGAAAAAAATTACTTTCACAATTTTAGGCGCCTGATCCTTTTTTTGGGCCTCAAATAAGAGGGAGAGAAAGCCAAGAAACGGCGTCAATTTGCTCCAAAACCTCTGAAGACGGACCCTTTTAAAGAATCAATGTCCTTTTTCCATAAAATAGCTGCTGTCATGGCATTATGATACTTTTGCAGATCGCTACAGAATACAAACGGATCATCTGCAATTGCTCAATGTTGTCGTCACGGAATTAGTGCTGCGAATTCAAGCCGCTCAGAACGGAGTCCGATTGCACGCTCACATTCCCATGGGATACATTACAAACAAGCTGGACGAGCTCGCGGAGGTGAGAGTGTCGCTGAGCCCACCACCATATACAGTGACTGAGACGATTTAGTTGGAAACACGGAGTAAGTCCCAGGAGAAGGTTATCGCAGCGCGATCGAAGGAGATGAGGGCTATCGAGGCTTTGATTCTCAGCAAAACAAGAAACACCAAGCCTGAAAAGTTTGAGCATATTGATTTGCTCTACAGCGAAGCTCACGACCAGGTAAGTCCACGAATGCTTACAGGGCTCCTAAATTGCAGAGTCGTTTGCACCAGCGGTCGCGCGCCGCGTCGCGCCCGGACATTTTGCCGGCGCCGGCGCTATCGATCGAGGCGGCGCCATTGATGTCCGGGCGCGACGCGGTCGCGCGACCGCTGGTGCAAACGACTCTGCAATTTAGGAGCCCTGTAGGTGGCCTCCAAAATTGCCTGCATGCTGGCGTGTTAGCGCCGTGCCGAAACCCACGTAGGCGCCCAATACTGATCGACAGCACGAGGCTGGAACGGCGCTGGCACGGGCAATATTGACACAACCTTTTGCCCAACATTCGCATTTTCAGCTATTTGCCGCAATTGATGAACTTACATCCATTCGCGCCGGGATTCGAGAAGCCCACACTGCTTTGGCATCCCTCTTTGACCTCGTTTCTCTCCTCCTACGACTTGAAGGAGCAGAAACCGCACTCGATGGAAGTTTCATCACCAATACAACTCAGGTAGGTCACTTAGGGAACGGCCATAGGTTCGCAGTGTTCGCGGTGTTGCTGCTTGGTGTTGTAAGCTGCTCGAAGGTGGTAATGTCTTTACAATCAATGCAAAATCAATTCGTAAAGTGGAAGTTCAACTACAAAACGTGCATTACGCAACACCGACAACCGCGAACACAGCGAACCCTGCGAAACCACGAACACTGCGAACCTATGGCCGTTCCCTTACCCAACACTCCTACAAAGTTAAGTGTAACGTGCTCTACAGACGCTTGCGGATCGTCTATCCTGGGCTTCGGAGGTCGTTAATGATCCAGCTCGAGCAGTTGCTGTGCTGTGCAAACACACCCAGAAAGAACTGCCGGAGATCAAGGAAGAAGAGGAAGAAGGAGATGACTTCGACACTTTTGAAACGGGGCAGATTAAGCTATAAAAATGAATAAATAATTCAGAATTTACAGATCCCTCATTTTCCTTGCGAAAAACCAAGAGCTCACAATTCTGTACTGAAAGGACAGAGACATGCATGAGGTGTGACCAACGAGGATGGAGAAGCCGTCTCCCCTCTCCCCACCCTCCCCTCATCCCCGATTTTGGATGGCAAAATTAACGAATTTACATGAGTAATGAAATTTTGCAGATGACCTGTTCCCGTTTTTTAATGATTGAAATATTACTTTTGATTTATCAAAATTCGTATTAGTCTTGGTTTCGCTTCCTTATAATTCAGCCTTTGGCTCGAGACAGTTTCGAAAAGGCATGACTGACGGCCCACTCCCTTGCTTGAAAAAAACGCCTTTGCTCCTTGTTCTCGAAAGAAAATCCTCAGACTCCCACAAACCTCCAGCCCATCAATATAATTCGGATAGCGCGATAATGTGTGACCGTGAGACTACGATCGAATAAACAAAAAGTAGTCGAAGAAGTTCTAATGAACAATAATCTTCTTTCTGAGCATTCATATCTGTGAATCACATCCTAAATGTTTTTCTGCCACTATCCACGAAACAGACAGGAAAAGAAACTGCATTTTTCTACTTTTATATCAAATGCTTGATCACGTAACAACAACAACAAACAATGGAAACAATAACCGTTGGGTAATCGTCAGGTACAAAGACATCCAAAATTATGCGAGATCAAAATCATCACGAGCATTGTTGTAGTCCAGCACGTGTTGCTTAATTTTACTAGCGTTCGTCCATGTTATCGCATCTTCTTGAGCTCTGGTCACCACAAAAGCAGGATCTGTTACAAGCTTCGGCCCTATTCGCACATGTCCTTGTTCCACCTGGAACGAAGGTAGTCGATACACCAATGATCTCTTCTGTGAGCAGTTTATGAAAATGGCTGAAACTGGAAGTTTTGGCTCTGTCGAAAACAATGCACCTAGATATATAGCCGAAGAGAGTAAACAAAGTTTGGTTCCTATGTTCCTATTAATTTGACACCGAAAAGAGGAAAGCGGTAGAGAATAAAGTAGGAAAGGCTCATAGCCAGAGAAAAAAACTAATCTCCAGTTCTGCACTTCCGTGTCACAGCTATTTTGACTCATCACCTACACCCCAATGCTTGGCAGCCGTTATTGCCAGACGGGGGCTCAACATTTCAGGAGCAATATTTTTGAGGCTTTAAAACTTATTGATCTACAAGGGCCCCCTATTCAAAGTGGAGTAGTTAAGCCTCTTAAAGTTTTCCTGATATCGCTTGCGGCACAGTTCTAGTAAGCTGCTGCGCTGAAAATGCATCCCAAGCAGGCTGTCTCAAAAAGTAAAGTAAGAATATAGTTGTTTTTAACAATTTTTACCATTTGATCATGATTGCGCTAACTTTTGGCGACGCTCCCCCTTCGATGACTCAAAATGGGCCGGAAGAGCGCACGATATATATATAGATACAAGCGAAGCTTTGGGGATGGACCTATTACTGAACATCTTCTTCAATATTCCAATCTCCATTACGCAATTGTAAAGATAATAAAGAAGCATATGAGAAAATTGAAGAAAAACTAACAAAATCGCTTGCTCCTCTGATACTGTCCACCATGCCAATGTTTTTCATGACAACAGGTAGACGTCGTCGAGCAAAAGAAGCAGCACTGACCTAAACCGTCCAGTTATGTTGATAGTGTACCAATCAAATGATGTGTTCAATTCTATATCGGGGAACACACCTTATACAAACGCTCCGCCGTATCAGCAGTGGGAATCACTCCAACTGCGTACAATTTGCTAAGCATTTCACGAGTCGACCGCACTCTGAAAGGTTCGTTTTGAGGAAGTTCTTTGAGTTTCTCAGCAATGCTTCGCACCTGTAATCGCATCGTTCAGTCTACAGACCTGCTACTAGTGAACTAACTTACCTCAGCTGCCAGTCTATTATACAAAGAGTAGTGCTCGCGTTTGGTGATGTGATATCTGAAAATACCGATTACGACCTTCTAATCCTTAAATGTTATTATGGTGCCCATAAACCAGTGACTCAGGCCTTCGAAAAAAAAAGGGCAACAACTAAGGCCTCCACGACCCTGCCAATGTTGGTAAGTTTCCTCTAATTGAAATTCAAAGTACATACTTTAAGACAGGAGCTTGAAAATGCTCTTTCGAGAAACTACGATTCGTCTCTTTTCGCTAACCGTGCTAGATCCATGTTCCCTCAAGGTGTCCAGTGAACCTTGTCAGTGCAAACTATGTCGAACGAAGTCAACAACGTAAACTCATGATGGAACTTTCAATTGTTTGCTCTATCGTATGTGTCGAGAGAATAAAGGCTTTGAGATTATTCGATTGGCTGTTCAAACCAACTGTATATACCTTTGACGTTACAAAAATCTAGGATGTCCAACACCAACCCATGTGTTGTCCTGTATCTAGCCTGCCTCAGGCCTGACAAACGACATTATCTTCAACTGGCAGACCACGTCAGCACCTCCAATTCAGTAACAAAGAAAACGTCTTAGTAGTGTTTCCTTGACCGTGCCTCTCGAGATGGAATCGCTAGGGTTGGGTGGGGTGGAAGACGTAAAACCAGTGGATAAATCATTGATTGATTTTTCGATAGAATATAAAAATTCAATAAGTAAAGAACTTAGACAGCAGAAATACTATCTTGGACATCAGCATTTGAAGTTAACCCCAACTAATGACTGTGAATGCAGAAAGAATGATTGGCGGCAAACTCTTACTTCCTCATTTGCTCGGACTGTTTACCTTGCTGGTCCACTTCCCACTGGATAAAATCCGTCTTCTTTAGAAGTTTTTTCTCATGAAGTTTCAATTTGCGCACCATCTTCATAAAACAATCGATTATAACATAAGCTTCTGGCAATGACAAAAAGAGATGACTGGCAATCCTCTTCTGCCCATAAGTTGCAAACATTGTACAGATAAAAGAAACATTTATGCATGATTGAATATCAGAACTACAATTCATTATCAACTTTCATGTAGAAGACAAATTCAGCGCGCAGCAGCTATAGAACCATACCCGGAAGGTAGCAGATGCAACCTTGGTTGAACATCAGGTTAAACTAGAGTAGAGGCTGCTCAATGCACAAAAAGGAGGGAAGCTAGGCGAAGTCCAGAAAGACTAATGCAAGCCACGGTCAAATTGTGGCACACTCTAATCGCTAGGAAGCATTCTAATGGCATACTTGAACGCTTCGCAAAGTCAATGATATTATTCGGACGAAGGAGGCTATACCCGAACAGAACAAAAAAATTACTATGACAACGGATGAGAGTAAATTCTGAATCGAAACAAAATGACAGATGTTTCAGTGATCACAACTGTGGTGCATATGAATGACTAACAATTATATAGACTATAAGCGTACAAAAGCAAACGCTTGTTATATGAAATATATCGCCGAGTTTGAGGGTCTGTTATGTACAATAACGAGAGCAGTTGAAATTTCCTATAGTACTGTTCCAAACATCTAAATGACTGCATAGAAATCATACAAAATCAAAGACACCATTATGACTAACCTATATTCGCCGTACTTTCTTGATTAGAGTAGACGGAGACGTCGGGGATCTCTGACGTTGTCGCTTGCGGTGACGCTGCACCTGCGAGGACAAAAATGCGTTGAGATCAGGACCCCTCTGAGACGAAGGCGATGCTGCTGGCGAAAGCGCCTGAATTTGAGAATATGGTAAAAATATGCAATAAAAACTGTGCATTCAACATGACCGTGCCATTTGTTTTCACAAGTTTACGTCTTATAAAGACTGACTTACCGCATGATGGAATATCTTATGACTCGTAGTAGACCGAGGGCTAAGACAGGCGCCCTACTTGATTCGCTTGAACCGCTTCACTACTGGTTAGTCCACTGACCTGACCAATGATGAAGCGGATCACGCGGATCAAGTGGATCAAGCGGATCAAGTATGGCGCGTGCCTAAGATAACTCCAACACAGCACCCGAATTTATATCAGCTAAAGTCGACTGCACGATATCGCTCATATTGCTGCAAGCTGAATACACGCGAGCGTGCCTGCAACGCGGCTGCCCAACACCGGGCGCTGGAGCACGCCCCCCCCCCCCCCCGAGAACGAGTCGCGATATTTTTGAAAGTTACCTTACATGGGAATTGTGCAAATGACTTGTCTGCAACACAGCATGTAAATAATTATAAAATTTTTCAAAAATTTTTAAAAATTCATTTTAGCCTTATGAAAATTTTTTTCTTTCTGAAATTTTGAGGTTCTGAGCCCGCGAAAATTCTAGGGAGCATACCAAAAAGTTTTTCGAAGTGCGTGTCTGACGCCACGCACCTTCATGAGAAAAATTTGTCGCCCATTCCCCCCCCCCCCCGAGCCAAAAGCCTGGTTACGTCACTGCCCGCAAAGTACACGCTCAGGGCGTTCAACCTGGGCGAGTCCGTGCAGTCAACTTTATACTACTCAACATTTGATCAAATCAAACCTGCTGGAAGAGATGAACGGCTGCGACTGTGTCGGATGACACAACAGGTGGAGGACCCATACGTTGCCCATCTTCGGTGGATGCCATGCGTACATTCGCGTATAACATCTCAAAGAGGCTGTTCAAGTCCATAGCTGACCCACTCGTCAACGCTGTCATCACTTCCTGAACCATAATGCAAACTATACACAAATTCCTCTTGATCGAATGATAAAAAATTACCTTAGCCAAGCTAATTCGACCAGCTCTAAAACCCTTCTCAAAACCACGCCGATGAACATCGATGGAGCTCTGCAAGCTGTATAGAGAGGAGAAGAAAGCAGCCGGAAGAAAATACCTTGTATAACTGAGTAGTTGAAGCAGCGGCTGTTTGAAGAGATTTCCATGTAGGATCACGGTAGAGACGTGACACTTGCTGAGCGCAATGCTGAAATTTTTTGTATTTAAATATACATGAGGATATCAAAAGCAGGCGAATCTGGCACGCCGTCTGAAGATGAACATCTCGGCAGTGGTGAATCATTCGCGCCGCCGTTATTTAATACCTTAGGTAAGACCCTGCAATCAGTTTCCAAACGAAAGCGTGTCAAATCTGCCTGAATGCTGCTCCCATCCAGAATCACACATACTTTCCATGTTCCAAATTTTGCGAGAAAATCGTCGGTTCGTGCCTCCCGCAGCATTGCTTACTAATTATTAACTGGGACTATACAATGCAACTTAAGAATAATGACTTTTGCGATGATGTGCAACACTACTTGAACGAATTATACCTTAGGCCTCGGGCAGAGTTCACGCGATTTCATCATCGCGATTCATCGCGGCAAGACAACTACAATAAGATCACTGCATACCGATCTTCTTGAATTTCGGTTGTGATAGTTTTCCAACACAACCATTCGTGACTAACTATCACAGCAGACATACAAGAGAAGATCGGTAGGCAATGAACTCGTAACAGCTGTCCTCCCGCGATCAAGGGTGACGATGAAAATCAACGGAATTGCCCGAGGTTAACACGTTCAAAAGTGCGAAAGGCAGCGAGATGACGTGGTACCTATGGGAATCTTGCTGGGGAACAAACGATATGTAGTACTGTTTTCAACCTCAGAGGCACCGTCTCAATCGCAAAACGGAGATGGGTGAAATTCGTTTCATTGCGATAGCAATGTCTCTAATTCACTGCGCAGGTCCTAAAGATAGGTTCCGAAGCGAGAAAATTGAAAATTAAATGCGACAGAGTCAAACACAGCCATAAGTGGGTGGTCTGAAGGTGATGGATCTGAGTTGGGGATCATATTCAATCAATGACGAGGTGGAGGACTTATGTCGTCGAATATGGATGGATCGCGCGCGGAATTCTTGCGAAAACGCATCTCCAGGCGTGTGCAAAGATGCGCAATTATTGCAAATAAATGACCACGGGACCGCCTCCTTTTGGCGGCGTATAGTCCCTACTCACCAATGACGTCGCGGACCTATCTTTCATCGCGAATAAAATTTTCATCACCATTCGTCCTCTAGAGCTCCGTTCATTACTTCCGACCATCCACGTTAAAGGCAATAGTTAAATGGACCCCTGTCAGATTTTGGTAGTTTTAGGTGACAGACCTCCCAAGTACACCGTAATCCCGACCCCAACTCCAGTTAATGCTTTAAGTCCTAAAAGAGCGCTTCAAACTCTACCAATGACGCCCAGGGGAAGTGGACGGGCCCAGTGGAGTTTCGAAGCTTCTTTACAGAACATAGCGCATAAAATGGAAGATAGGGTAAGGGCTAGGGGTATTGCGGGTCGACAGGGGTCCATTTTGCCGATCCACTGCCTTTGATAGGCGTGTAACCACTGCCCTATTCACCTATGCTCGCTTCAGAATTCATCTTGTGCAGCAGGACTTGGGCGGGCAACCAAATGGCTGAGTCTTCGCTTCTGTATCGCATCAAAATCTTACCAACTTCAGATTTGAGTGAAGTTGAATATGGGCGCTGATTACGTCACGTTGAAGCAATATACAATCATCATCGTTGTGATTTCAATTAAAAGATAAAATAAGTACCAAGGATTTGCAAGTATGCGGTGAAATGATAATAAGCGAGACAAAATGCACATGGTCTTTAGAGGCAGTGTCCGGGCGAAAAGTAGATTCTGAGATTTTGTGCTGACCTGGGCTCACTCTGCTGAATCCGAAAATCCACACTGGAGCGCGCGAAAACGGCGAAAAGACCTCTAACGCAGGAAGAAAATCGACAGGCGAGGGGGTTTCCCCGTTATGAATTCACGCTCCCAGCTTCCAGGGCAATCTTCTCGGGTCCGTTTTCAAGCCCGAATTCGCACTTGGCCGGTGGCGACGTCAGGGCGGCTAGCGGAATTGAGAAAATCGCTCCGGAAGCTGGGAGCGTGACTTTACGCGGGAAAGACCCCGCCCACCCGCTGATTTCCCTCTTGCATATCTTTTTCGCCGTTTTCGCGCTCTCCAGCGCGTATTTCGGATTCAGCATAGCGAATAGGCCCGGGTAAAACAAAATCTCAAAATCAACTTTTTGAACGGACACTGTCTCTAATCTGTACCTTCCATACCTCAAAATCTGTCCATAGTCTGTCAGAGTCCCGTAAATCATCCTCACATTCACACTTCTTATTGACGGTGCTCGTTGCAGCACATTGGTGTTCTCCCGACATTTCAAGCAGAACCAATTAGAAAATAACTAAGGAATCCAAAGCTGGAAAGCTTAGAAGCACACGAATTTTACCCTGAAATACAGATAATGATTAACCATGATATGAGAAGATGGGAGTGAAAGAACGAAACATAAAATGAACAATGCGATTGTATTTGAAAGAGTAAATGGCGCAATAATTTAACTATCGGATATCACATGAATGTAGATTCCCGTGAAGCGGAAGTGAAGAAAGCGAGGAAACCGTCGCAGAAAACTGGGACACACGGTACTACTGGCTTCAGAGCAGCCGCTGTTCATTGTCCGTCGCGTCGGGACTCGCGACATAGCCTGTTCCGAACCTGCTGCAAGTATGCATTACTATCCTGTGCCAATTGTCGCAAAAGGTATCATGATATCGCACTGAACCAAAGCATATTTCTTCCACGATACTGCGAAGAATGCAGCTACTTTCATTTGCCTCCCATATGTACTCGGTGACTAGAACCTCTGCATAGCGCTAAACCTCCCCCCCCCCCCAACACACTGTAGGGGAACGGCCATAGGTTGTCGGTGTTGTCGATGTTGTCGGTGTTTTCGGGGTTGTCAGGGTTGCCGAGGTTGCCGGTCGTTGTAGGACCTCATAATAGCCTCCGCGTTTCGCGCGCTCTCTAAGGGATCGTTCATACCGCGCACGAAGGCGGACGAAGCCGCACAAAGGCGGACGAAGCCGGACAAAGGCGGACGAAGGCGGACGAAGCCGGACAAAGCCGGACAAAGACGGACAAAGGCGGACGAAGGCGGACGAACTGCCAAAGCGCAGGGGTTTGCCGGCGAAGTGCCATATTGGAATACGCGTGAAATACAGTGCGCGTTGTGCGTTGAGTTATATATGACTAACATACGTGCACAACGCGCGCTGTATTTCACGCGTATTCCAATATGGCACTTCGCCGGCAAACCCTGCGCTTTGGCAGTTCGTCCGCCTTCGTCCGCCTTTGTCCGTCTTTGTCCGGCTTTTTCCGCCTTTGTCCGGCTTTGTCCGGCTTCGTCCGCCTTTGTGCGGCTTCGTCCGCCTTCGTCCGCCTTCGTGCGCGGTATGAACGATCCCTAAACTGTCTCTGATCCCGACAACTCCGACAACACCGACAACACCGACAACATCGACAACCTATGGCCGTTGCCCAAGGCACCAGGTTCCGACTTAATAAAGCAGTACTTTTTGTTCATGGTGAAGCACTCCACTTTCTGCCATTGAATGCACTTCGATAGATGCACAATAACGACTCCAGCTGAAGGAGTGTCCGACAAATTTGGAACTAGGCATTCAGATTACAACTGTAAGTGCCTCACCGTATTGCCCAAGTGCAGCTGCACAACACCGTTTTCGAAATGAGGAAAACGCTTATAAAAGCTGCTGCTTCAGCCATACATGTTTTATTTTAGTGAATAGTATATTCCGCTATGTTACAAGTAAAGGGTATCACGGACCAGGACACAGTGGAACTCAGAAATTATTTTGAGGATGGGAAGGAGGGAGGGGGGGGGAGGCTGTGAGGGAAGCGAAGGAAAAATTTTCAAAGGTGAAAGGCGCGCTGTTACCCACGCCTTTAGCCAGGGTTTTCTGAAAGTTTGCCAAGTCATTCGGTACTTTAACACGTTGACGACAGAGTCATTTTTGACCACACCAAAATGGACTGATGATCTACAGCTGCGGTTTGGGCTGTTTAACAGCTACCACAATGCCGTGTGTTCTATATGACAACCAGGCCACCAGTGTTATCACTGCATAGAAGTTACCCGATAACTTTTCGTTTACACATGATAAATTGATGCACGAAAGTGCTCAAAGGTGGTCCGGGCGTGTATCCATTCGGATACACACGGTCGTCAACGTGCTAAAACTACCCTAGTAGGTAAGGAAGGCGAACCCGAACTTGGGGCGCTTCCCGAAGCCTTCGCCTCTGCGTCAGCGCTACGCGCACGCGTTCCATTATCTGTTTCTCTATGTCCAGTTACGAAATGAAGCAATGAACAGTAAGATAAAGTGAATCATCAGTTCTGAGTTGTTAGCATGGCTACTGTAATTTTTCTCAAGTCCACAAAATCCGTGACCTACCATGGAGCAAACAGCTTCCGTAGTAAATGACCAGATATGTTGAGTAATTTGATATTATTGTCAGTTGTAAAGACACAGCCAAACAGGCAATACGGCTCCCTTATACCTCGACAAATACTGGAATTAGCACCGCATCGGAAATTCGGGAGTTTCAATGATGATGGTCAGCGCAGACATCGTCGTCATCGACCATCTAATAAGATGCAGAATAATGAGAGCTGGCAAGCGGTATTAGTCGGAAGGCGATAGAACAGGCGGAGACGGATAGTATTGTGCACTTATCATAGTCCTTTGACACTTACAGGCACATCCGAATCGATTGAAATATGGCGGCCACTTTCGCCACGGCAATGAGAAGATGGTTGGCTACGTCGACAACGTAACTTGCGAGAATCGAGAAGGGGGGTCGGAGTCGATGAAAAGTCTCCTCTACGACACGGAAGGGCACTTCGGGGAACAAGGAGGGTCACCGAAGCAGGCCCGGGCAGCAGCGAGCTCTCACGCGGTGCAAACAGATACTCAACAACGATTCCCATTCCGTTCGATGCTTGGCGAGCGGCCAGCCGCTAAATCACAAGCGCGTCATCGCCGATCATCGTCGCATGCTTTTCCGCAATCACGTTTTCACTTCATTTATCACAACAAACAGCAATTGTTGGCTAAATACTCCTCAGCCCTGAAACGTTGTCGATTGGTCGTTTGTCGTATCAAGAGTTTGTCTGACTACTGGTATTTGAATACTAATTTTGGCCTTTTGAACGTTTCATTGTTGCACGTACAGAGAAGTGGCGAGCTACATCAATCGTGATTCTACGATCGAGTGATTCGTCCAATCTTCACCTTTCACATACTGTGATTTGAAGTATGTAAAATCTTACGAGGAGCTGTTATCAATATGAAAGTTCCCAATCCTGTAATCTTGCCACCGCAACAGGATATCAAGTCTCTCATCAAACAGGTGAGTCAGCATCAGTTCCGTTATCTGAAGTTACGAAAAAAATTTCGAAACAAATGAAGTTAAAAAGCAAATTTCCTTGATTGACCAAATCGCCGGATTTTCGATAAAGTGGACCTGCAGCAAAGAAACTTCTTTTAAAAGCCATTCTCTATATGAAAATTTTTCTTGGCGTTTCGAGAAAGCATTCCACGGTTGGTTTGATAGACTAGATTCCCCAAACTTTCGTCATCGAAGAGATGAAATTGAAAATTGTCAGATTTTCTGTTCGTCTTTGTGACTCATAAGTATTTCAGAATATGACGCTTTGCCATGTGATAAGGGCTTGAAAAAAATGCGTAGAAGTTGCGTGCCCTGTCTACAAAAAAAGAGTACTTGAAAATCCGTGGCGGTTTGCATTTTAAAGGCCCATCTTGTGTGCTTATAAACATGAAGACATCAGTAAAACAGTTCTCACTTGTTGCCAGGTTTTTGATAAGCAGACTTGAGATCAAATGAAGTGGAGAATAGTTGAAATTGAGACACATTTAATTTCTTCTTCTGTAGGGTGTGAGCGCAGAAAAAATGTAAAGAAAAAATAAATGGTTGAAACTGGGAGAGGTACAGGCGATAATAAAAATCATACAAATAATTCATGGGGAATCTGCCTTTGAAAATTCGCCAAATAAAGGTAATGAGCATCGCCACTCGAACGGTAATCCATGCGACATCTTTTTATGGCGGCGTTATTTTAATTTTTGACAAATCATCAGTGCACAACACTATCCAACTTCGAATGATAATTGCTGCAGCTGATATCGAAAAGAGTTTTGATTTTATTTAGATCAATACGAGGGACAAAGTGTCGAAGGATGTCCGTATCCAAGCATGTCACGAGCTTTTTCGCGGTATAACATGTTCAGACTACAGCGTCAGCGTGAGTGCATTCATTTCTGCCACGTTCAATATCAGTGTTTTAGTTTCTCACCTGAGTGCGGTTATCCCTTCTTATTTAGGAAATCAAAAACGAAAAGAAAGAAATACTTGGAGAGCTAGCTGCGGTGATCCATCCGAAATTTGGCAGTCTTGAAGTGAAGAAATGGTGTGGCCGAATTGCTGGCGTAATTGGAGCTAGCGTTGTGGACGAATTCGATGAGTAAGTAATCTACACTCAATTTCCCTTTTCTGTCTATTGAAGAGTCTCAATAGACAAAACCTCAAGATCTTCCGAACAACTTTTCGGAAAGCTTCAACAACTACGCCAGACTAGTGCGCAAAATTGATCTGTACTTGATCTTTGGAATCAGGTTTATTACTCGCTAATACATTTGTCTCCAGCTTTGTCAAATGGACCGAGACACAGTTGAAAAGTGCGAGACCAGTTGCCGAAGAAGAACAGGCCATTTTTGTATCCGCGCTGCACTATGCCCTTCTGGAACTGAAATCAAAAAGATCACGTCTTCCGGATGAATACGCTAGGGTAAGATCTGACTTTACACCTGGGCTTAATCCATTGTATTGTTTCAGGGTGTTCTGAAAGTAGTGTCGGAACTTTTGGACTATACCAACTCACACCTTGTGTTCTTTCCAATCCTCGACGTATGCCGTGAAATGGCTGAAGACTATCCCACAATTTTCGATGATTTCTTTGAGGTATGTTTACAAAACTTTTTCAAAACGAGTCCTTACGAGCCTTAAAAATTTCTCCATATGTCTAGTTCATGATTTTTTAAGCTTTGACCATACTTTATCCGTGCTACCCGTGTTACCGGTGTTATTAGTATTACTCTGTTAGGGATTTGTCAGAGTTTAGCGATGTTACCCGTCTTACTAGTGTTACTCGTGCTACAGTGTTACTCGTGTTACTCGTTTTACCAGTGTTACCCATGTTACTCGTGTTATTACTTTACGCTTGTTACTCGTGTTACTAGTGTTAGCGCCTTTCATTGCTGTTGATTAGCGAAATAATCACCATTATATCGCCAATCATTTTACTACTCAACAGTAATAAAAGCGGTAACACTGGTGACACGAGTAACACGAGTAACACAAGTAACATGAGGAACACTGGTAACACGGGTAAAGTATGGCCAAAGCCTTACTTTTCTTAATTTTTTACGATATTAGTTTTATCATCAGCAATTCTTGTCGATAGAATTTTTGACATTTTGAAATCTCCAATCGCAAATTGCAGCAATCATGAAAATAACCGGCGATACTGTACAGACTTTCCCAACTTTCAAGCACCCCAAAACCCGACATACAGTCTTCTCGCATTGACCGTTTAAAGATAAGTCCGATAGAGATAGGGTTTCTTTGGACTTATCTGACAAGATTGTGGGGTGGTCATAATGAAAAAGGTCAAAAAAGTGGCTATGCATATCAGATTTTAGATTAGTAATGAAATCATACTTTGACCCTGGCCAATGTGAGAGCACGAAAATTCTTCTTTTTGATTCCTTACTTGAACGGATTTCAAAATAAGAACGTGTTACTCGTTATGACCAATTTAGTCTTGCGCACAATTGAACATACATATTAACATTTGGTTTTGTGCAGCGAAATGTGTTAAAAAATAAAGTGATAGCGTGTTGCGTGAACCAAACTTAGGGTAGCAATCTCCTAGTGTTTGCATGTCAATTCCGAGATGGGGAGAAGATAAAATGTCATTTTCCGATACTCTCTTGAGTTTTAGGAGATCGTGGATTACCTATTTGGATGGGCACTGGAGTCTTCCATGCCTGCGTCCGTCCCCAAAAAATGTTATGAAGTCATAAAGTCGTTGTTACCGTTTTGGCGTACGCGTCCTGACTTTGGAAGTCACCTTATGTCACAATTCTTGGATGACGTAGGAGGATATGTTGAGGTTCGTTTTTAATCCTTCCTGCGATGTATGCAATGTTGCCACTTTGAGGAATACGAAAAGCACGGAAACCTACGTAATTGTGTCAACAAAGCACGAGGTGTCCTTGAAATACTGATAGTTCTTCTGGAAGTTTATGTGCAAGACAGAGGAAGTGTGCAGCAGTTCTACTGGGATATAATCGAAAAGGTAGTTTTGTTCGTACTTACTAGATTATGTCTGATCAATGCCAACTCAGACACTGTCATCGTGCAGCTCTAGTATGTCCCAGCTAGGATCTCAACCGTCATTCCGTGTTGGGATGTTTCTATCGGAATACTGTGTAATATTTTCGACCGCTGTCCCTTTAGCAGAAACTCAGGTTTGCAAATGAGTTGACTTGGACCCCTTTATCATACATTGTTTCAGCACCTCTGTATCCTCTCACACTGTGCTACGACTGTTAGTGAGATCATGCGCAAATACAATACCAACGAGTCCGCTGTAGTGAATTGTCTTAAGTTTTTCGCAACGGTAGACATTTTCCAAAACCGTCTTCGCTAATGTAATTTGCTCATTTAGGTTTTTACTGTCTCATCGTTACCACCGGAACTGACAGTTCCTCTTGCGGAACGAGTAGGGATTCTTGAAGAAGATTCGTTGTTCCCATTTGAAGTCTCTGGAAGGTATGGCGAAAGTTTTCTCTCCTCAGGACAGTGTCACATGATGTTGTAGTATACTGGTGGTTGCTTAGTGCACAGATTGGCTAGTGTTTATGCGCCATTATCCTTTCCCTGGACATCTAGTGACGATACCAATGAATCTTGGCACTGCAGCCGAGTAAAGCGGCGTAGTGAAACATATCGAGCTCAAGCTAATGCCTTCGCATGTTCATAAGTAACCAGCCAAAGTTCCATTTACTGCACCATACCTTCCCCTCTAGTATTTTTTTCCAAAAAAAATATCCGAATTGTTCGCTCACTTTTACTCTAGTTCGGCTTTGGATGTGCGTGTGGCCCTTATATGGATTAATCAAAAACTATAGTTCTGATTACTTAAAAGCTAAAAAAAACCTTATGGGGTGGTATAACTAGATGGAGCAAAGGCTAGGAGCTTCACAAGGATAATGACCAAAGGGTCCGGTATACATAACGCGATTCAAAAGACGAATGTTACGAGTTCATCGCATGTTGCTCATTCTTGCATTCCGGTTGGGATACTTTCCCATTCGATCGCGACTAACCATCACAACCGAAGTACAAGGCGATCGGCATGCAGGGACTCGTAACAGTTGTCTTTTTGTAAACGCGAGGCCATGAAATCCCGTGATGTATGCCTGGTTATACTTGTTTTAGGTCAAAGGTAGCGTCAGCTTTGCTGTCGTTGCTGACGTCGATGATGAATCCGTCAGTGCTTCCATTGCTTTTGGCGTCATATACTGCCGTGAGAGCTAAATTGCTTTGTAAGTGGTCAGACCATTTTAGAGATAAAGGTTCTGTTAGCCCATACCTTCAGTGGAAATGACCTCGCTCCGTGACGAAGACGAGAAAAATACAGAAATCTTGCGGGAAAGGGAAGCATGTTTGCTGATTTTGATCGGAGCTTTCGCGAAACTTGCGTCGCTGAAAAGTAGCCTGATTGTGGTAGGATTTTTTTGTTCGCCATCACCGTAATCTGGTCTAAAAAGCTTTTTTAGATGATGGGTCTCCGTCCATCGCTGTTCCATCTTCTTCTCAAAGAAATGCCTCTCACTGACCACTGGCTCATTTCTAAACATCCGGCTGTCCATTTTTGCCTTCTACGCGTTATGCATGCTCACGTTGCTGCGTGAGTTATATCAGTTTCAACATATCATCGTGTTATAGCCACAAAGTGGTGCTGTGCAGCTTTTTTTTCAAAAGTGACTCTGAAAATCTTCAATGAGGGAAATTTACTGGCCTACTTTCGAAAAAAGGAGGACCTCCACTAGTTTCTGTCAATATCAAGAGGCCAGTAGGTTAGGAAACAATGTTTGAGGGGCTCTAGGTTTGGGCTTTGCTGATTGCACTCCGGTCCAAAAGCTGTTAGGAATTAGGAAGTGTTTTCCTACTGTTTTGAGCAAATTTCTCTATTTAGCAAGTTGGATGGAATGTAGTAGAAAAATACGTTCTGCTTTTCCATCTTTCACCAGTTTTTGAGGCTAAAACGGTTATACATCCCACTCTTGCGAGAGCTGGAACTCAGTGTTATATGTTTTGTTATTACAGTCACGACTATTTTCTCTCCAATTCCGAATGGCTAGTGCAGAGCAACTCGCCCAGTTGTTTATTTGCTCAGGAACAGCTTCAAGCGCTCGAGCAGCTTTTGACGTCAAAAATTCTATGGAATGTTAGCAGGTAGGTATCACCATATCGACAGTCAGCAGTGTTTTTAAGCCCTACTTATCTGAAACGAATACTGGCAATAGTAGCGATCTCCCACTTTCTCTATCATTTCTTTTTCTTTAGAAGTCTTTGCGTGGATTGGCTTCACGGACTGCTTTCTGGGGTTGACGATAAAGTGATGGCGAGTCTTTCGTATCGTTCAGAGTTTGTACGCATTCGTTGGGCAGTGCTGAACACTGTTTTGAATGAGAAACCAAACGAAAAGTATGTTTGAAGTCCTCATAATTGACGTGACTGCTACTTCAAAAATATAAGGCTTCAATCGATTGCCGCTCGTCTCAAAGTGCTCTGTGCGAAAGATAACCACACCGCTGTGGCGATTACTAAATCTGTATTGAATAAGGTAAGTCGTTTTTCTTACCACCTACGACCTACGAAGTTCTGTTTTCAGTTGAAAACATCTGGCCAGAGCGTGGGCACTGTGGTTTGGGCAAGCATTGACATGCATACATATCTAAGGTAAGCCCCCAAAGATTTTCTTTACATCTTCTATCTTACCTAATCCTTGTCTCAAAGCTTTTGGCAGGTCGATGAAGAATTTTCTATCGTTTTCTTTCCTGAAACATTATAAACGTTATAGATCATATCCCTTATCTTTTCATTATCACCTCATTCCCTTGAGAGGCTTGTCTCTTAAAGGCAGTGTCCAGGCTAAACCTAACCCCCTCCGATTAGTGTCGGTCCTGAATGTAGGCCCCAGAAAAGGGGCATCTGCGTTGGTCCGGTTTTCTAACATTGTCTCTGAATGGAGATAAGGGGCCTGAAAATCCTTGGCTGGGCGGAGTCTGATATCAGACTCCGCCCACCAGGGACTGCTCACTACCTTGTCAATACGTGCCTCCCGACACGTATTGACAAGGTAGTGAGCAGAAACTGTACACTGCACACTGCAATGCAACTGCACCCATGCAGTTGCAGCTCCTTCCCGCTGGCCTGCCGACTGGGACGAGCAATTCGAAACTCGTCTGCGCCCTCAAGACTGGATCCCTAAGAATCGGGTTTTTTGTGAATTTTAGAGAGTTTGAAGTTCGTAACTGTAATCAGGGCCACGGAAAGGCCCCAGAATGACGAGAACATGGGGGGTTAAATTCTGGGTGGACGCTGCCTTTAACTAAATTGTTCTGATTTGTGAATGTTTTCTCAATGTCTTAGTGGCTAATTAGTTCCACAGTCTTACAAAAGCACTGATATTTCACTTTATTCCTCACATTCTTATTTCTTCTTACTCTGCTGTGACAGCGCTGTGGCTTTAGCGTCATAGGAATGGTGGGAATTTCTTTGATTTTTCTGTCTCTGATTATTCATCACTTGTATGTCTTAGAACTGAGTTTCTTACATAACTATCAGTGCAGATAAGTTGACAAGCAAAGTAAGGATTTCTCACGGAATTCGCGCCTCATGTCTTGAATCTAGCTATATTACTGAATGATCGGCTCCTAACTTGTCACCTGCTGTCTTAACATATCCTTGTTAAGTACAGTGCCTTCGTTTATTTGAGCTGCTTTTTATGGTCCTTGAAATGATTTTTATGCAAGTCGAGGTTATGTCAATTTGATGGGAGGGGGATGTTGCAATTTTTCCTCAGCATAACATTGGAATATTGAAAAGAGGAGTAACTGAAGAAGCGGTGCCAAAGGTCGAAATCCAAACTGTTATTCATAATATTGATGGCTTAATGATCAAATTCATCAAATTCAAAGAGTAGCTCACATTGCTGGTTTCGGTCAAAAGAATGTGTTCAAAGTTGGTCGGGGTTCATACACAATTGATTCTGGCACATACAAACATTCGCGTATGGACTGCACAAAAACGTAGTGGCTTCATATGCAGGAGTATCAGTTACTCTACTTTCTTATCACAATCGAAGTCGCATTGAATTTCGTTTCTGATTCATTACTGCTTTATGGCGTGAAATAATTGAGTCATTCTTTTTCTGTTTGCCTACTCTACATAAGTAAGAGATCATCCCTCTGGACTTTCTTTATCGAACATTATTTTCGCGAGAGACTGGCGATTTTGCTTTCTTTTGAGAATCAGTAAGCAGGTTACCCATGGGTAATGATTTTCTGCATTTGCAAACTTGAGGGAAGGAAACACTATCTTATTTTTACATGATTTTTTTGCATCAAGGCTTACGGTCATCCTCGAGGGAGCTTGCTTAGCTATGCAGACTTTTTCGAGGGAACTCAGAGGGCGCTCGTTAGCGAGCTAAGTTTTTTCATTTGTCTAACTAGTCCGAATTATCAGGCAGTCCAACTTTAACTTCCTTTAGTCAGTGTTTATAATAATGAGGGCGAGTATCATGATAATCTCACACTACTTACGGCTAACGTGGAGGGAGAGGAGGGGAGGGGGAAAGTTGGTAGAGGTATAATCAGTCCAGAAATGCTGAGGTCAACAGAAGTTATCAAAAAGTAAGTTTTTACTTCAAGAAATTGGTACGAGCTATTGAAGATTTCGGAAATTCATGAATTCGTTCAGTGGCGCTTGCAAAAAAGTGGCGATTTTTCCTTTTTCTTCTTTCAGTTTCTCTTTATATTTGAGATTTGAGATTTGCTAAGTTGGTTCTTACTTGGAAAAATTTTTTGCGACCGCTTCAGAAGATGCATCTCATCTATGAACCCACGCAAGCAACTAAGTTTGAACAGGAGAATGAGTAAGATATTCTTATACAAACGAATCGCGTTTTTTTTCTGCAAATTCACCAAATAGTCTTAGTAGTGCATTTCTGCAATTCTTGATCATTCCGTCACATTCATGAAAACTGTTACATTTCTTTTTTTGTCCAAACCCAAGAAAAAGCTTATATGTTGAGAAAAGCGCCGCGAACACTTTTACAATAATTATTTTGATCTAATTTTTGGAAATTCTCATTGTCCTGTTCTTAGCTTACTCTCGAAAGTTAAACTTGGTCGTAACGCGGATAGTGAGCCTCCCAAGTCTTGGTAGTTAGGGTAGAGCAGGACAGTGGAAATTTCCAAAAGTTAGCATCGTTAGGGTCGGCGTGTGCGGTAGATTTGCGGCAGTTTTCTCGATATGGAACATAAGCCTTTTACTTCGTGCTTCGCTTTGGACGAAATGTATTTAACATTTTGACGCTTTCTACTAGTTGCGTTGTCTAATTTACACCACCTAAGGCCTCGGTCATACCTCACGCGATTTCAGTCGCCACGCGATTTGGCAATACTCCAAATGTTCGTAACTCATCCTACGGGGTTTCTGAATGTACGGAAGAGGGGGCATTTTATCAACGTACGAAAGTTATACATGCTATGCATTTGAGGTCTTCCCGTATTGAATTTGAAGACATATGGCAAATTGCCAGATCGCGTGGCGAGTGAAATCGCGTGAGGTATGTCCCTTGCCTAAGACTTTCTCATTCCGTCAATTCTAGTCCATAAAGTCATTTGAGTTATTGGATGGAGCTAATGATGTCAGCAAGATTTTTTGACATTCAGGACCTATATCTGCCCGAAGTAATGTAAGCTGTAGTCTCACGAAAAATATTATCATTACGCGACGTAATTCACACTTCCATTGTGAGAAACAAAACAGAATTTTGACCGATGTAGCACTTTTTGAAGTGAGTTTCTGAAACGCTTCGAAATCCCCTGAACTCGTCTAGTCAGACTTCGTTGATGGGATCAACGCTTACAGCTTTCGGATAAACATTTCCGTTGTGGCCATTGTTAATGCTCCACTCAACATCGATTTTCTGTTTTCAAAGCTTTGCATATTTCACTAACTTTCGGTTTCATTCAGTCACCAGCAGTTAGTGAGATGTTTTGTTTGCTGCTCGCTTGCTTTTGTTGGCGCGAGGCGATGAAGGCTATGTTTCCGTTTCATACATCAATCTTCAAATCGTTCTCATCCCGCTGTTTGCTTTGTGCGCATCTTTTCTGCTGCTCTTCCATTTTCAGTTGAGACTGTGATGAATTGCTTGCTGACAGCGCGCTGCTATATAATTTCAACTCGAACTTCAAAAATCGGTCAAGTGACGCCATTTTCTCGCTGTGAATCGCATCTTTTTCATATCCTATAAAAGTTTCTTGTTGATGCACCTATAGGAAATTCTGGTGTGCATGCTGTGAAATTAGCAGCACTTCCATTCTAAAAACGTTGATTATGCAGTGAATGTCGATTTGGCAGTAACTAGGCTGAAAATGGTGCTAATTGATGTGCACCTTTTATCTTTTGGACTCGAATCCACATTTATACAGATGTTCATGTTTCATGACCCAGTGACTTTTAGCGCATTTCATGTAATCCTTGCACATTCATTCAATTTCTCATCACAATAGGAGTTACAAATTCAATCTGAATTCGTTTTCCTTTGCTGCCGCATCACACGACTTAGAGCGGTTTTGTCAAATGAAGTTTCTGTTTTTATCTGAACTCATCTGAGCTCGTTCACTTTTTAGTCTCAGTGTTCAGTTGCCCAGCTCTCAAATCGTAAAAAGATTCATAGCCACGTATATATAGTAAATCATATTCAAAAAGTAACAAGTTCTTTCAACTCCAAAGCATAGATACCGATTTTTTCCACAGTCAAAATCCCGCTCCCACATTCAAAATAGGAATAGTTTGTCATATTTGCGCAACAATCTATGACGCGTCTTATTTGAATTCATAGGGGCAGAAAAGGTCACTTTCGGGGTGCAAAGTTTCTTTCATTTTGCAGCGGGCACACAGTAGAGATTCATACGCTGACAATCACAATAGAACTTTTATGAAAGGCTCCAGCACTATCAGCTGAGCTTGATTGAAAGAGAGGTGTTGTACCCTTTGACATGGCTCTGTTATGTCGTTCTTCACAGTGATGAAACATAGAGCTTCGTACTGCATAAAATGTGGAAGCTAGGATTCTCTGGTTGATTTTTCTTTTTCTTCGTTGCATGTAAAGTTTAGCGATGACAGCGCAAAAATTTCGAGATGTTTACCCTCATGCTTTCAATTTTCGGCCGTTATTGAGCTTGATTGGGGTTTGCGACTTGATAAACTCAAGCTTCTTTCCCATGTTCCTGGGACGAAGAAGTTGCATAGCAATAGATGATTGATTATTGATGTATCTGTTTTTCTGGTGCAAGCTCAGTATTGGGATTCTCGGACGATCTGTGACTCTTAAATACTTGCTTTTTCTATTTGTCTGGAAGTGAGGCAACTTTTTGAATTAGCTGCATAAACCTGCATGTCCATAAATTGCTGCTGAAGCGACTTCCACTAACTTTCACTAACTTTACATAGTACGAAACTGGGGAATCATCTTACTTGCTTAAAACACGAGAGAACACATAGACAAGTGCTGAATGCCGAATTTGATTTTGAACTACTACAGAATCAATCATAATGCCTTTTTGATTTTATGTTTGATTTTACGCTATCTTGTTCCTGTGTAATGGCTTTTGCATGCAATAAGGATTTATAGCAACAATTTACGATTTCACGTGCATCTTCTTGCATAAGTATGCTTTTCAAATAGCGAATTGTAACCTGGTGAAACATAACATTAAGGGAACATTTTCTGGTACTTCCCCGTTCGAAACAGCATGGTCAAATTTTTTTGGACCTGTCAAAATATGTCGCTGATAACTTCATATTATTCGTATATCGATGATTGCTGACGAAAAATTCCAATGTCGCTTATTTGCATGGGCTCTGTTCCTCCCCATTCATGCTACTGCCTCTGTCTCTATGCACATCATTGCCGCTTCATGAAATTATGCCAATAACTCTGCCTGAAGTGGACGTTAGTGCTCTTCCGGCTCTTTTCACTCATTGTCAGCAACTCCACTTTTTCCGAGATCCTTGTTGTTCATCATGCCTCCCCAAGCAGAGGCATCGGTGCATAGCATATTTTGTGTGACTGAAGTGTTTTCAGTGCTGACTTCACATTTCTCGCTATGGTGTGCAAACACACTGCTTCATAGCCGTTTGTAGTATTTATTCTTCCTGCACTATTTATGGATCGAATTATTAGATCCAGGTCTAGTATCCGTGCACGTGGAACGAACTTCTTCTTCTTCTTCCTCGTCATTATCGCCTTCGATTTATTCACCACAATGTGTTCGGCTACTTCTTTTGCAGAACACCAGCTGGGCTTTTATGCCGCTAAGTGCTGTGGTCGCTTGCTGTCCTCGTTCCTAGCCATATCAAATAATGCTTGGTGCAGTAATAGAGATCTCTTTGCTGGTCACTGATGTGATTGTGCTTTCTTAAGCAATTTGGCTGTTTACATCTGAAGGCCGTTTGCTGTTATATTGATTTGAAGTTGTCTTTTTATTTACTATTTACGGGGTTTCACTTGCATCGCAGGAAAAATCAAGCATAAGAAATCTATCGTAATTAGAAATGTTAGATTGACACGAGAGCTCTGGCACCATTGTCAAAATTTCATAATTTCTTGTTTTTTCAGCGTATTTGCTTGCCTCTAATTTTGTTTGAAAACAGAAACTTATGCCCTTTTAGTGTCTTGGCGGTTCTCTAAAGAGCACATGGAACGGATGGGTATAGAAAAAATTTGCTCAAATTTTGACTTTTCTGTGTGTGATCGTAAAAATTTGAAATTTTCAATAAAAATCGAAGCGATTGGTATTGTACGTTCACTACTTGCTTTTTCAAGCTGAGCAAAGTTCTGGTTGCAAAAAAAACTACGATTTTTCCAAATAGGTGCCAAAAAAATCAATCTTGCTGCTTACTGCTTGCTCAAATCATAACTTCCGCAGTGACACACAACAATCCGGAAATTTGCTCTGTGAGGAAGGTCAGGTAGCGGACCAGCTGCTTCAAATTTTTTTTTGCAAATTTTAGATTTTTACGGCCGAACAGAAAAATCAAAACTTGGGTATTCTCTAGGGGTAGAGGCGAAACAAGATCATTAGTGTATAAATTATTTCTCTTCTACCTCTTCTAGCGATGTAATTCATGGTCATTATGAAACCACTAAGACACTGTTATGAAAAACATGATTTACTCTTCAAAACAAAGTTGAAAGTAAGCAAAATCGTTAAGAAAGCAAGAAGCTATAAATTTTTGTAAATCTTCCGACTCTGTTTGAACTCATGCTCGTTATAATTTCAGAAAATAAAGTAAGTCTATCCTCTAGATGGTTCATGACTCATGTTGTAATGTTGAGAGTGTGATTAATTTTGGATTTGGAGTTTTATAGTTTTTCAAATGGTGTGTTGCTAATGAGGTGCAAGTTGTCCTGTAGATAAGCACCAATTATTGTTGCAACGCAAAATACATACTTTTTAGCTGGTCAGAGCATGGTAAATAGAGCTTGTATGGTGGAACATGTCAGCTTTGCCTTCCGGGGACATATTATGCTTGACTAGTCTTGCCTCCACTCTAGTCTTTAACGGAGAGCATTGACTGCTGCTGTCCGAAGATTAGATGTACATAAGTGAATCATGCATGAGTGAATTCGCCCCGCTGTGGCCTCGTTGTTCCGCCCCTATTCTTGCCGGTTGTGCCGGTCGCAATCGTCTTTTGTTGTTCACGAACACTATATGCACGACTTTTACGATTTTAGTGGTCATTTCCTTCGGATGAGTTTTTATTCTTCCTTTGCTGACGTCTTAGAACAAAACACATGCTGCAGAGAAGGCATTCTTCACTAAGCTTCTTATCTTTTCGAAGCATTCGTCCGCCATGCGAAAAGGACATGTTTTCGAGCAGCATGATCGCATTTTCGATTGAAGAATTGCTGATGTTGGACTTTGTGAATGTTTAGGAACAGGTTCTTAGCCGTTGCCGCCCAAGGCTCTTGCACTATCCACTGGCATCACAAGCATAGTGCATGAGTTTGGAGTCCTTGGCTTGTAAGATTAAGGCTGTGTAAGAATTTTGGCTCTTCGCCTAAATGTATTGATGACTAGCTACATGCGGATTTTCACTAATGTCATGTATAGTTTTATTGCTCTTCACCATCGTCACTTATTTTTTGATTTTTTTTCCGATGCTTTGTCCGATGGAGTTGCTCCGAAAACTTTGCAACTTTCAATCATAACAGCATCAGAAATTTGCATAGAGTTTGCAAACCATGACTATCCATTGAGACATTCAATCACGCAGTGTTTGGGTACGTCTTGAATAATATTGAAACGGGGTTTAGTTCGACTTTGTACCTTTTTTGCGACGCATTTTCAAGATTTTACCACTTGAGTGTTTTTATCAGCTTATATCGTAAACTATGCCAGCAGTGATTTTCACCCTGAGCTGCAGGGGAAGTGCAAGATTCCCTGTTTTTATAGTATATGGCTAGAATAGATCACGAACCTCTAATACTTTTGTTGCAAGATTGTAAAATTATCTTACAATTAACATTCTTTTTTCTCAGTTTCTTCTGTGTTTCTAACACCGTGTTTTACTCTCTTCCCAAATCTGGCGGTTACTAAATCGAGTTATGGCGAAATTTGATAAGCTGTACTCTGATTCCAGGCTGATCTGAGTTGTTTACTTTGGCAGAAACTTTTGACTCTGAAAATATTCTGTCTCAGTTTTCGCTACTTCTTACGTTCTCCATACGTAAGCTCCTCTTTTCTTAACGCTATGTTTGCTGTCTTGATAAACTAATATGTCAAACTCTTTTTTTTTCTTTCTTACTTTTTAAGATCCATCTGATTCTCGATTGTTGAGGTCTCAGTGAGTGTACCATGCAGAACGTCTATTCGAATCGCTCGGGAAATTTCCGCGTTGTCTGTTTTTATTTATAGTTATTCTATAAATGCTCTCTCATCATCGCATAGACTACAGTCCACGAATCGGCCACGTTGTTCGTTTTTATCCACTGAGCACGTTAACGCTAATGCATCTTATTGGTAGCAGAACCAGTTGGCTGGCAGTATAATTTCGTCGACCACCACTTCGCGTATGCGAGCGTGTAAGGTGGCATAATTGCTTTTGCTTGGCAGTTCTTGTCAATGAATTTGTTCGTGAAAATCTATGCATGACAAGCGTCATGCAAATGTCAGCTTTCTACTAAAATCTCTGAATCATTTCGAATTTCTGCGATATCACAATTTCGAAATACATTCACTATCGTTTTCTCTTGATATCTGGATAATTTCAAGATTTCGACCATAAAATTAGAGAGGTTGACGAACTTTGCGTTACTGCTGATATTTTTTGTAAAAATTTTTAACCTCCATCAACTTCAAATGTCCTCCACTTTCAATATAGCAAGCCTTGTTGAAAATCACTTTTGGCATATTTGAAGATTCTGACTTGTGAATACGTTCAAACAAATTCTACAATCTTCAAATTATGTCACAAAAATTTTTAAGCCTGCGACAATGGTATGATCAGTGATGCATATGATTTGATTTTTCTTTGAGAAATCTCGTGCTCTTCTTTCCTAATTATCGCAAGATCGAGTTTTACAGTTATGCGTTTGTCATAATCATATTTTCTCGTTTTGGTGTATATCTGTGCGTAGGAAGCTGCACACTTCTCATCTAATTCAAGCCAAAAGCAGATTATTGTGAAAATCAGATTCTTGTTCAAGTGTTTATCTGGTTTGGAGAAATTTAAGTGTAGGATCTCCAGAGAGTGTAATGTAAATCTAAGACGTACAAGTTATTTTCATGCAGTTTTGTATACATCTTTCATTCTATCAAAGCTGACACTTCTTTGATGAGGTTTTTTGAATCCACTTAGTACATCCAACGTGCAACAGGAGTCTTTTATACAATTACGTTTTCATTCTACGTTACATTCTCGATTCATATGACCATAAATTGCACAATACATGTTTCCTTGATGTTTTGGTCTCGTTTTCGTGGTGACCTCTGTTTTTACGCCGTCCATCGTTCATCCTTGTAATTTGCTGAATTGACATACACTGATTGCGTCGCTTAGCAGAAAATTGACTTGAGAATCGGGTCGTCGCGCAAATGTGTCCCTAACCATTTTATGAGAGTTCTAGCTGTCGCTAGTGATTATTGCATTTTCTTCTGAACACGTGTTCTAGTCCCCTTGAGAAGTTTACATATATCATTCAACCCACTCATAGAGAAGATTTACTCTTTAAGTTTCTAACCGTCTGATTTGAGTTGAATTTTGAGCTCCTCAGAGTGAAATTAAAAATACTGACCGAAAAGTCAAACATTTTTTTTAGGTGCGCTCTCTGCACCGCTGGCTGGGATCAGCTGGAGATGGGACAATTTCGGCTGCAGTCGTCTACATTTGGTACAGACGATTTCATGTTGATCATGAAATTCCTTCTGAACAGAATTGTACCGTCGATGCAGAGAAACCAGTTAGTGTTTGCATCTTTTTGGTTTTTCGCTAAGTTTTCAGTGGATCATTGAACGTCGATGAAACCTAAACCCTTTATATGGCACAATTTCTTTACCAAAACCTGCTTGAACTAAGCTGCATTTAAAATCCGGTTGCTAAATAGGTTTGATTCTTGGAAAGGGTTTGCTATAGTGGGTGGCCGGTTTTTGACCGTATAAAACCCAAAACTCGCTTGATACCTCTCACAATGCAGCATTTTTCTTGCCTTCAAACCAATATGGTGGTCTTATCGGAATGTAATTGAGGAGTTGATGATTCACTTTTGCCATCGTTAATTGTCATACCATATGCATTACCTGAGAGTGTGTTGACACAACGATGCGGAACAAAATTTTAACTGACAAAGCCTGCAAGACTTTGTAAGCACTCGTGGACCTTTCAATGAGATGCTGATCGGCTGGCTATATGCGCTTAAAACTCACAAGGGAAGCCTTTTCAGTCGAACTGGGTTTTCCTCATGACACCTACATCACTTTGCAGAAAACTGAATTATGATTCCAAAACTGTCTTCCTTTTCTGCGGAACAACTCTTCGAAAGAGGTCGGAGTGTTTGAAAGTCTAACTTTGTCAAGCCTTAAGCGGCATGAAGCTACGAAAAGCTTTACGGAGCTCTACCCATGCAATTTCCACAGGCTTTGTTTCCTCCCTATAGTCAATACAAATTGTTTACCTACTTTCAGATGTTTTGCACAGCTCTTCAATTTTGTGCCACTCATGACAAATCTGGATTCTCAAATCGCAAATCTCATAACTTCTTTCGGAGAGTTGTTCCGCAGAAATAAAATTTGGAATCACTTTCAAAAATACGTGTTGGTGTAGGTGACATGCACCCTTATTATAACCCTCATGTTCAGAATAGCAGTTTTTTTACGATTGAAGCACTTTTCAACTCAGGGATCCAAAAGCTCCATGGATATAGGCAAACCAAAGGTTGAAAAAGGCAGCGGCTCGGCAGATTCTCGACCTGGAGTTTTTTTTGCTTACCTGAGGTTTCGAGGCGCTGATTCCGAAAGTCCACTCTCAAGAGCGCGAAAAAGGCAAAAATCACCATCTGCTCTGTTCTCAAGTTTGGGCTGCAAGCACATCCATGTCAAAATTTCGGGATGTTCGGTTTTGGCGAGCTGCTGCCTTTGATAGGTGTTTGAAGAGCGCATTCGTGCATCTGTGAATCCCTTACTCAAGTAAAAATGGTGCTTATATCTCTACAACAGCAAAAGATTTTGAGCTTGCAATAGTAAAAAATTGACCAAAAATATTTTTTGCCCATTTAGCACAGTAGACATTCGTTCACCTTCACCCTCCATTTCATTCTGTAGTGTTTTGAGGATAGGTGACTCTAGCTATGGATTAGTAATGAGCTGGACCTTACCCCCCACCCTTTACCACCTTTTACCTGTATAGGATACTGTAATCATTCATGCCTATGGCTAAGAAACTATCGACCACAGGTTGTTGTAACGTGTAACAAGCTCTCTTGTAGTGGATTTTTCTTTTTTATCTGCTCTCTTTTTAAGAAGTAGCGACGACGAATGGCTAATGGATACAATTGAAACGCTGTATGCGGAAAGACTTCGTGAGGACAGCATAGGCAGCGCGAAAGGAGATGCTGAGAAGCATTCGGATATTATGGCGGTACCTATAAGACTATAAGATTCTGCCATAATACTTCATCTAAATTGTTCCACTCCAGAAGTGGCGTCGTGCCCTTGCACATGTGGCTAATTACTGCATCGAGAACCGCATGAAGACACCGCTAGGGAAGCCGATGGACACTTTCAATAAGATTGGAGGTAAGAACACTACACAGATTATATGCAGTAATCGCTGTAAAAACTTCGTTTTCAGCTGAACTTTTGCGACTGGCCAAAGAGGTGATGGCGGTTCCCACGGCGGCTACTGTAAAATCTTCCGGCAATTCACGCACCTCCGCGTCTTCTACTCGAGATAAATCTTCAAAAGAAGATGAAGATGGCGGAGACGTCGGGGAACCAAGGTTAGTGCGATACTCACTTTTACTTTGAACGCATTTACAGTTTTTGATCGCATTTTGTAAACTGGCTTTTAGGGCCATTTCTGCAGCGGAAGAGTGGTGGCGTGTACGATGTCTTCTTGAATTTGTAGAGGTTAGCAATCAATTTTTTGAAATGTTTAAAGTAATCCAAGTTCAGTTTTCAAGTTACATTTGATCTTTATTTTTCTTATAGATTTTTGAAAAACTCATGTATCATGTCAACAACGGAACAATGTTTCCCATTTGCAACGTATCTGTGGTGAGCTTGTCTTATTTTGTTTTTCTCATTTAATAAATTTTTCTCAATCCAGTATTTTCTTGTTTAATTGCGTTATTATTTATAGTTGTCCCGCCAGTTTTTCACCACAAATGTTGCTAGCTGTCAAGAATGGCTTTCAAGAACTTATCCATTTGCGATGATAGTTGCATTTCACAATGGAAATTATGCACAAGTGAGATAATTTGTGACTTGCTTAGAAAAATTTGAGGTCTTCTGATAGTTGTTTATAGGGCTCATTGAATATCGTACTATACTGCATTAATGCCATCACTATTTGTTTCTGGTTTCGAAATTTCAATTTATCATTATCATTCCAGGTCATTCGCTTTGGCTCATCTGCTTTGATTGACCTGGAAAAGAAGCAGCTGAAGGCAGAGAGCGCTCTCGCAGAAGGCAAGCGTCTGGTCGTAGTTGTTTCGATACAGTACGCACTAACTGAGAATTGTAGGTGAAGCACCTCCTCCTCCCTCGAGTCAAACTATGGCAGTTCTTTGCTGGATGGCACGGGCCATGGCTGAACTTGGTGTAGAGCAAGCCGTTCAAGGTCTTTCTGTTTGGGTTCACCGTGTGTATCATATGGACATGCCCTTCCTTGATGCCATTGCTGAAATCGCTGCTGCAAGGTTTGTCTAGAGAATTCTTGAATTTCTCGCTAATATTCCACAGTCGCATGTGTACGCAAGTAATAATCATCAAAATTTCCAGATATGAACGTTCGCTTATTCTGTTGCGCAACTGCATCGAGGACGAGAGCTTATCAGACACCTTCCGAGCCATGCTTAGAGACATAGTATGTTTCTACCCCATTTTTTGTTTTGAATTTTCGACAGCAGTACGTTTTTCCTTTAGCGTATCGACGTGCTATCTCGCCTACGTCACCCATTATTCCTTGATGCCCTGAATTGCCCCACTGAGTTTTCTTTATGGAATGAAGCCGAAAAGCTTGATGGGCAAACACCCTCCGGCATCGATCCAGACTCATTTATGAGGTGGATTTTGAGATTTATTGGTTAGGCCAATTATTGGTTCTTGTTATAGGCTCAAGCAACTATCAATGTATGGAAAAATTGAGGCAGCGGAAGTAGCTTCGGGTGTGCCGTGGAATTTAGTAGATACTGCACACCGTTTAGAGACAAAATTACTCCAGACATTGAGAAGGTAGTGGCACATTTGTAGACCAAATTCGGGTTTGAAAGATTATCTGCTTTTTTAGGCCTGAGGTCGTCAGCATGAGAGAAACTATTGCGAGTATGGCTCGTTTGGTCTTGGTGACGGATGGAGGTCAACGACTTCATGGAAGATTGGCAGCTTTGAACCATATCGCTGGATCTGTTCTGCGCAAGATGAGTAGAAAAGGACAAATGGATGCCGAACTGAATGCTGTGAGTTGTTCCATTCTCTACCAGGTGTCGTTCTTGATATGCATAGAAAAAAATTTTTAACAGCAATTCTGAGGGCTATAGGTCAGTCAGAAGTAACTTTGAAAAGTCGCTTTTCTTTTAGGCGATTCTGTCCGATCTTGCCGCATCGTTCCTTGTTGATGATGGCGAATATGGCGATGCTGGTGAGCGCCTTCGTCTAGGCAGACAGCTCACTTTATGGGCCGAACGTCTGGGATGTGAGTTTTTGAGACTTCTCAACATCTTGTACTTGGATAGACGAAAATAAGTTTTTTTTCCTCCAGTTTGAATTTTTGTTCACATGGCAGGAATAAATTGGTGAAGATGAAAATTGTTATTTTTTTTGTATTAAAGGCCATTGCCGAATGTCATTGGCTGTCTCGAGTTCTGACTGACAGCATCTAAAGCTTATTTAGGCTCAAGTCCAGCACATCTACACCTCCCTCTGGCTAAACTAGCGCGCAAAACAGGAAATCCATTAGTGGCTGGCGTACATCTCCACAAAGCAAGCAACAGTCCCGTCCTTATAAACAACAGCCCGATACTAAATAGCCTCAGAGTAGCAGTGCAAGGAACAAAAATGGTACCGTCTATTTCCGCTGGTTGAAATGAAGACAAAATCAACAGTTTTCTTCGTCCAGATGTGGGAAGTTGCATCTCCTGAACAACGAGCGAGAAGTTTCGTTACAGTGTTAGCCACACTACAGGGCGGTTATGAATTGATCTGCCAATCATACCAACTTCAAGCAGTGGTGAACATGGTAATTAGAGAATTTTTTAATAAATAATTAATACAGAGTCTTGTTTAGGAAGTTCCTCCTCCATTTGAGAGTATGAACGGTTTTGTGAATGGTTACAATCCTTTGACGGGTAAGCCTCCATTGATTACTCGCTTTCCCACTTATGCTTGTATCTCACTCCTTTAGTCTCATATGGTGTACCTCCACCAAATGTAGGGGTATTGTCACCATCCTCTACAGCTGCACTTGGAGAAGAAATGTCCCGTACCTGCCTTCGCCTTGCAAACTGGCTTGTCAGCACTCCACAGCTGGTTGCAGCGATTCCACCGGAGTGCAGGCAGTCTAGGTTCTGGGTAAGTAATGGTTCTCTTGTGTACAATTATGTACATTTGCTTTTATGCTACTTTATCTTACTATAACCCTCCTATAACTCACAACAGTGGCTGCTTTGCTGTTTAGTCGGTGGATTGTTTTTTGGTTTTGTGTAGCCTTTTTCTGGACTCTTTGGAAGCTTTTTATCTTTGAAAGCTTTTTTATTTTTGTGGGCATTCTGCTACTTCAAAGAGAAAAGATTTTTATGCACTTTATGCGCATTGAAAATGCTCTAAATGAAACGATGAACTTTGTCAAAAGTCGCAAACCTCCTTGAGAAGAATCATTGTTTGCGATCCTTGCATGTGAAATACATGCCATTTTCAGATGAGATTAGATTCGGCTGGTCGTGAAATGATGGGCTGTGACATAGTGGGAAGTTTACTGGCCGTAGCAACAGAGCTGTCACCTACGCTTGGCAAAGCTCATCGCCGTCTGGGTGACTGGGCTTTCTACTCTGCCGAGACAACTGCAAATGAGAAGGACAAGCCGTTGTTCGACAAAAATTACAGAGTGAATAGCTTATAGTCGTCCGCTTGCCACAGTAATGTGTCCTTTCCAGATGCTTCTTGGAGACAATGTTCCACAATCAACTCTTGATGGCCTATGGGATGCAATCAATTCTGCTAACTCAGTAGCACAACTTCGAGAGAATGTAATAGCAGCTCTGCCAAACGACACCCTCACTGCTGAAAGGTAATTTCTCATTTTCTGCTCAGCTGGCCTTGTTAATGTAATCACGCAAACTTTAGTTTGTTGATGAGTGACAGTCACTTTTCAAACCTCTGGGCGCAAATCCGGCAACGACGGTCATTGTTTTACAACTTATCGGTGTCTTCTTACTTCGCTTACATCTCTCAACTTGGAGGAAAGACAAGTAGTGGCCACAAGGTAAAATTCTTTTTTCTTTTTCATACAATGAAATAAATATCTGTAATGCAAACTGTATTCCACTTTTATTTTTTTAGTTTATGAACTAGCATCTTTCTGATGGCCGAGTAAAATTATGACTCACCAACGAATTTACTTGATTCAATCTTGGATAGACAATCTGCGGAAATCATGGGTGTGGCTATTTAGGGTACAATTGGAAGCGTATCGGCCACTCTCAGAATCCTTGGATTATTGACAAAACATGCTGATTTCCTCCATGAAGTAATCGATCAGGGTTTACGAGCCACAAATGAGCACTTGTGGAAAGGTTGATTTTTTTTTGTTCAACTGGACTAGAACAAGAATAATTTTTGTGATTTAGATATCCTTCCACAACTGTTCGCACGACTATCGCATCCGATGAAGGAAGTTCGGGAGTCGTTGCTTGGGTTGCTTTCGAGGCTATGTGAGTATTTGTTGTTTTTCGCAGGATTATTCTCATTTTCTCGTATAGGTTATACTGCACCGCATGCTGTTGTGTTCCAAGCAGTTGCCGGAGCATCGTCAAGTATGTTAGTAGGCAGCGACGATGATGTTATCGAAGCTTCAGAGAAGGAGGATGACGAAAGCAGTAGCAAAGTTAGCGCTCTTTTCCTTAGTGTCGTCAGACTTATTTAGTTGCTTTTTTGTAGTTTTTTTTTGAGAACTAGATGGTCATTTGCTTCCAGGAACGCTGTCTGATGTTTGAAGGTTGCCGTGAGCTTGTTTCCGTTCTGGAAGGTCATTATCCCAAACTTGTAAAGGATGTTAGAGAGTTTGTAAATGAACTACAAAGGATCAACTTGCTCAATGAAGAGAGGTGAATCTTGAGTTTTTTGGTAATTTTTTTACAAATTTTCTTGCATTATATTTTTTCTGTCCTACAGGGGAGATGAATTAATGACCTTTTACCATCTTTTGGTAACTTGAGCTTTTGTGTGCTTGCAGATGGACATTTGTCCTAGCAAACTTGGACCATGAAATGGAAAAACGATTGGAGCAGATACGTGCGGAGAGTGAAAAGACCGTGAATGCAACACATTTGGACGACAAAACGCGCTTGGAAATTATTGCCGAGAAGTCACGCCTGATCACTTCATCTGTCAGTTATTTGATTCCAAATCCACTGCTCCCATCTGTCAACTTTTCGTTCAGGTCTATCGCATCTTGGATGATCTTTATGAGCGTACTTGTTTACGGGAACCAACAACCCAGAATGAACGTGCCTTCGTGCAGGCTTATGGTGAAAAACTACAGACAATGTTCGAGCAGTCGCGCGCGAACCGGAAAAGTGCTGAAAAGTCATGGGCTCCATTCAAACACGTGAGCATCACTGTTATATGGTCTGGTGTAGTACTTGATCACTGAGATCTTTCAGATGCTCGGCATTTTGCTGCAGAAGAACTCGCGTCGTGGTGGTCACGCTTTGCAGATGCCGGAAATATCCCCGGTCTTGAGCGAAGTGGGAACTAGAATTATCATCTGTCTTGATCCTTCCAAGGAGAACATTCTTTCAGTTATCAAAAAGCAGCATTCCCATTCCTGGACAGGAGAACATCGAATTTAGCGAAATTGTCACCATTGACCGCGTTCTCAAGAACGCTCTTGTGCTGCCTACCAAGACAAGACCAAAGAAGATTGCATTTGTTGGTAGCGAAGGCAAAGAGTACGTTTAATTCAAAGTCTCTCCCTGATTAAAATACAATGTTTAACCTTTTTCTAGGCACATGTTCCTCTTCAAGGGTCAGGAAGACCTTCATCTTGATGAGCGAATTATGCAGTTACTCCATATTTGCAATCTTATGCTCTCTGACAGTTCATCAAACAGGTTACTTCTTTTGTCTTTCGTTAGAAAGAAAATCATGTGTTCTTATCTAGAAGTTGGCCACCATACACTGCTCGTCATTATGCAGTCACACCGCTGGGAACCCGATCAGGCCTCATTCAGTGGGTGGGAGGGGCAACGCCCATGTTCCACATCTATAGGAAGTGGCAGCTTAGACAGGTGGGAATGACAGAAAACACATTAGGGGGTCAGGTAGATCGAATCTTGTTCAGGCTCAAATCAAACACTCTATGGAACGTAAGAGTGGTGTACCTGCCACAACAGCCGCTCTCGACATAGACAGACCAACTGATCTCTTCCAAAAGAAGATGCGCGGAGTTTTTACCGAACACGTGAGTGAAGTTTTCTGCTTTGTCAAGCCAAAGTAGTGTTTGGCCTGATTATAAATTGTTTTCAACTATTCCCGTTACTCCATCTTGAGGATATTCCCAAGGAAAAGAAAGTCAAATCATATCTGTGCTGCTGTTACCGAGATTTTTCTGGCAATATTGAAGAACTGTTTTCAGAATGTAGAAGCAGCCACCATCGCGGATAGATCAAAATGGCCACATAATCTGTTGCGAGAAGTGTTTAACTCACTGCTAAAGGAAACTCCAAAGGATCTGATCAGCAGGTACGGATTTTTAATCTACAGTCTCGAATGCTGAACAGGTTGGTTAATTTATCGGTAGAAATTTTTTTGAATTTTGGAGTCATTCTTGTTCCATCGATATCAGCAGACTGCTGTAGACAGATTTTATTCTAAATTTTTTCTAGGTAGGAGCTTTTTAGTTAGTTCTTTGCCAGAGTATGCTGTCGTATTTGTCAATTATTTTTTGTTTCTATTCTAGAGAACTGTGGATGCGAGCTGGAAGCTGTGATACTTGGTGGCGTGTAGTTTGCCGGTACGCGCGATCGACCGCTGTGATGTCGATGATTGGAGCTATTCTTGGATTGGGAGATCGTCACTTGGACAACGTTCTTGTAAATTTGGATCGCGGCGATATCGTGCACATCGACTACAATATCTGCTTTGACAAGGTCAGCCATCGTGAAGCTTAAATCTAGTGGTTCACTTATTTTTTATCCTTTCCTTTTAGGGTCGTCACTTAAGGGTACCTGAGACAGTACCATTCCGTCTGACACAAAACATCCTTCATGCGTTAGGACCAACCCAAGTAGAAGTGCGTCTGATACGCAACAAATTTTGTTAGCTTTATGAAACATCTATTTTTGCTTCTAGGGCGTTTTCCGTGAATCGTGCTCACATGTGCTGTCGACTTTACGAGAGGGCAGAGAAGTGCTACTAACTGTACTTGATGCCTTCGTATACGATCCTCTAGTCGACTGGACAGTATCCGACCATCTGACTGCTTCATCTGCCGCTGTGGGGGTGGCCGTCACCTTGGCCGTATATGGTATCCCGAGTAGTTTTTTTGCGTTTTTGACAACTCACAATTCGATCCTCTTTCAGGCACTGATTCAAGAGCTGTTGAAGCGAAGCCTGTTGCTCGCGAAATGTTTTCCATAAGAATTCGTGAAAATACAGCGCTTTGGACCAAGAATTTGTAGGTTTTGTTTTTGAAGTACAGTGGTTGTTGACATTCTTCGTATATTTAGCAATGAGTTGCAATCAGCGTTGGCCAGTGTAACTGACGTGCTGCAGCGCGAAAATACACCAGAGAAGAGCGCTTGGAATAGCCGAGAACAGCTAGGACAGGTAGTCTCACATAATCCGTACTGTGTCGAGTTATTTTGCGCATTACTCGTCGCTTTACTTTGATGGTGACGATTTCAATTATTCTGACTATAGGAACGAGTAGAAGCGGGGCGCCGTCTCAAAGCTTCAATCGCTCGTCACCATCACATCATGAAAGACTTCCGCCCGCTTTTGCGAGCTCTTGCAACGGTCTGAGTTTTATCACAACTTCATCTTACTATTTCTTGTTTTTCTTATTTTTTGTGCATTTCTTTTTGCAGTGTGATGAGCGCTTTGCGGCTTATGTGCGAACTTATCGTGAACGCTTTTCTGAACCGCTTGTGAAAGCCCATCAGTTGCTGGATGCAGAATCATTGGATTTGAACGCATGCCTGCGTCATTTTGCCATCGTTCAGAATAACATTTGCGAGTAAGTGGTGTCTTTAGACAATCGTGCTCTCTTTTCGAGAAAACTGGTGTAATCTTCCAGCATCTACCTCGGTTTGTTGACTTTGAATGAGAATGTGCAGACAGCTCGCCTCCCACCGGCACCGGCACTGTCACCCTCGAATAAGAGCGATACACCCGAGATGCCTCCTGGGTTTGAAGGTAGGATAAAATAGAAAATTGAGTTTTTCTATGCAAGTCGTATCTTCAGATCCTCGCCCACATCACCAACAACAGCAGGAACAGAATGCACATGCGAGCAGTGTTGTTCGCAGAGTTCGTGCAAGGTTAGAAGGAAGAATCGAATCAACAGACCATCAGAAAATTGTCACCCCAAGCGAACAGGTATGGTTTTGTTTTCCAGTCGTATAGTTTTCCCATCAGTTGCACATTTTTCCCATCAGCTGCACATTCCGCTATTTGCACATTTTTGAATTGCGCTTACGTTTCTTTATATATTAGATTTCTTTATATTAGATACTTTTATGTAAACAGGGTGTGCCATAAAAAACCACGTTTTGCTGAAAAGGAAGCCGAACAAGCTTAGAACTTGCAAATTAGGCTACTCACAGTTGCTAACCCTGAATATGAATGTCGCACTATACCTTAGTGGTTCTTTTATGACTTATTGAAAATATATCGTAAGTGCACCGTAGCATCTGTTTTACAACATATGATCACACTTAAGTCCGTAGTGAAATGAGCACACGTAAAAACAGTGGTAAATTGTCATATTTTTTGGACTTTTTTCCTTGGTGACTATCTTATAATGCGCTGCATGCCGGATATTCCTATCGTAATCCTACTGTAACGAAGAGCGATTGGTGATTCGCTCCATACTACTGAGCTAAAGGAAGCCAGATCTTCGTAGTAAAAAGATATTAACATTTATGCAGTGTGCTCATTTTTGGGACACCCTGTATGTACTTTTTTGAATGTCTTATTCTTTATATCTCGTGTTCATCTATTTATTAAAATGATTTTTTGAGATTTTTGAACAAAAATCATAAATTGGCTAAAGACGTGTGTCATTCTAGGTGGACATCCTCATCAACCAAGCGACGAACGGTAATCTTCTTGCGCTCATGTACGAAGGATGGACAGCGTGGGTGTGATATTATGCGTACCAACTGGGATATGTGTAATGGTTGGTCAGTTTTTTCTTATTGCAAGTTTCATTTCTTTTTTTTTCAATTTTTTCTTTCCTATTGTGATTGTATTTACTGATCGTTTTTTTTCTAGAATGTTCTCGTGGCTTGCGCAGCGAGTGCGTATTGCCACCGCCACCTTCGCCGTGGTTAGTCGTCGTCGACGCACCAAGATTTAGCCGTCCGTCGGGGTTTACGCTCTCCCGAATATCTCATCAAGCCATCTGGACGCTAGCGTCGTACGCGATACTTGTCCATACTGCGCCCGGCCAACTGCGCTGTTCGCCTGTCCGCCCACTTCTTCTATGGTTGGATCAGCCACCATCCACATTCACCGCTTCTCTTTAGTGATAAATGCGACCATCACACCTTCTTCGTCATCTTTTGAGTAATACCTGAAGTGCTGATGCGTTATGTATTCCCTGAGAGATTCGCTGAAACTAGGGCAGGACGCGGTGCCGAGTACTTTTAGTGTTAAGGGACGTCCAAGTGAACTATAGTACCACGACTCTTTTCATTCCGACTGTGTTCTTGTGTTCCTTGGTTCGCCATAGCTGTTTCTAATGTTGTTTCTGTTCTCACCCCAATTCTCTTCCATTTTTTATCATCACCACGCTCCTCTTACTCGACTATTTTTATTTAGAAAATTGTTAGAAATAACGCGTTTTATTGGCTTGAAATAAAGTTTTAACCGGCGATTTTTTTGTACATCTATTTGATCACTGCTTTTTCCACTGGTAGCTTCCTCCACTAGAGACTTGCATACTCTCATGAAATACTCCTCCATCGATTGCACAGTAAGTGGGACAGGTGCCTGGATTTCCTGGGACTCCCTGTCTTCCACGTAATCCCACAGGTCCCGGCAGTCCGGGTAAGCCTTGCAAACCTAAGTGCCGCATAATCTCGTTTATGATGCTGTCTCATAGTCTTGCCTTTTGGTCCCGGAGGTCCTTTGGTTCTAGCTGACTGCGTGTCGGGAGCTGGTGGGCCGGGACGCCCGCGTGGTCCTTGAGGTCCTTGCGGCTCAAATTTGACAGTAAATTGAGTAAGGAATTTGTTAAAAAGAGCTTTTGTACATACTCCAGGCGGTCCTGTTTCTCCACGAGTATATCCTTTGGCAGTGGCAGGAACTCCTGGATCGCCATCTGCTCCTCGAATACCTGGTGGTCCAGGAGGACCACGGGGGCATAGAAGTAGATATTAAGGACGGTATTGGCCTTTCTAGCTCACGTGACTCACCTTTTCTTCCAGGAGTCCCAGGCAGTCCATTCATTCCTCTTCTACCAGGAATTCCTGGCCGTCCAGGATCTCCTCGTTGCCCAGGAGGCCCCACCGGACCATCCGGTCCTTGTGGGCATGGCTTGCAACGCACACCCGTATCTAAACACTTCAGTTAGGTTTGAGGTTGGACAAGAAGAGAACTTACCTTCACAAGGCCTGTTCACCTGCTTTGCAGATTTCCCCGGCAATCCGTTCATTCCAGGCGCTCCAGGAAATCCGTTTTTCCCATTTCGTCCAGGTTTACCACGGGGACCCGGCACACAGCAATTGCACGTTGATTTGATTCCAAGGTCTAGTCCTTCTCCAAGACCCTCGTATCGTTGCGCTGGTTGACGGTTGTTGGGTGTAGGAAACACTCGGGCTAAATAAACTAGCATTTTATATTAAAAGGTTTTGTTGAAAGCTTACCTTGTCTTTCTTTGGGTTTGGGAAAGAAAAGGATTTGCTGCGATGGGTGAGTAGAATACGGTGCAGGAGGAGATCCGGATTCTACGACGGAAATTGGAGCGTAACCGTCTCCAACAGGTTGTTGCAGGAACGGAGGTTGAGGAAATGGCTAAAAAAATTTCGCCAGCTGTTCAAGTTCACATGTTTCGTTGATTCCATGATCTCTGATATTAGTGTTGGTATTTTTCCTTCCGAAATGTGTTTAGTTTGTAAATGAATAGAAGATCATCCCATGAAAATCTCCACTCAAATGCTCAGAATTCAGAGCACTGTTTCGAAGAGATCATCCGAATTTCGACTACCTAGTGTTCAAAATTACCTAGTAGGCTAAATGTGGTAGCACTATGACGTGGGTATCCCAGATTTCTATCAACCTCCCCTGTTTAGGGTTTTAGAACGAGTTTGCGTCTCTAACATTAGTGAGCTTTGCTCCCACTTGTTTTTTGTCCTGAAAGGCTTCGGAAAAAGCCCATCCTCGTTATTTATGCTCTATAGGGTGCATTACTGGAGTCAGCTTAAAGGTAAGGGTACGCCAAAAAGCCAAAAATTGACGTTTTGCCTGGACATTGCTTCTAACGATGAAGCATTGCAGTCTGACCTTGGATTCTTGCGACGAATAATTCTAACTACCTTTAACTTGGTCATTATACAGTAGGCACATAGTAGTACTCGAAAATGCATTAACTGGATCTTTTGGCGTATAGAAAGCGAGAAAAAGAAGGAAGGTATGCCAAAGATGGCACACCCCGCCCTCAGCCCCTCTCACATGTGCCATTGTACACTAAAGCCTTAGTAAGTATAACCTTGAAATTCTGCCTCTGTATGTTCCCTAGTGATCGAAAAATACCAAGTTTAACATGAAAAACCTGAAAAAAGTGCCCTTTTTGCATTTTCGGACTGTTTTTAATTTCTCAGTCTTGAGCTCTGGAAAAGATCCATCAAATACATTTTGGGTACTACCTTGTCTCTTCTGTATAATAGCCGAGTTGGAAGTCCGTAAAAGTTTTCTGGAAGGAGTTGCGATTTTTACAATTGCAAAATTTCAATTTTTTGCTCTAAACTTCGTATGGAATACAAGTTAGGTGGATCTCGGGTGGTCAATATGTGAGCTTGCTTTACTCTTTCGACTGTTACCCGGGCCTACTAGGAAAGCTAAAACAGAACAACATGGTCTACTTTTGGGACAATCTAATAATTTCAAGCTATTATTCGCTGTGCTCAAGTAAGCTAACTTCCGGAGAAACAGGGTAAAATCGAGAAGCATTCACGACTTCGTTTACAAAGAAGTGTCGCTCTAAGCTTTTTAGGTCGAGGTGGGAAGGGCATACCAACCTAAAACCTGTTTAAATACGAAACTAGGTTAAGAACTTTTCTGCTCTACTTTTTTGATAGCTGTTTCCCTATGAAGAAATGAAATTAGCAAAAAGAACCATACCAAAGCATAAATTCCATTTGTTGGCGTAACATAACGCCTGGGAACTGCAGTATTGTAAACCGAATAGCGCGGTTTCCGAACCGTCACATTCCTCGCGTTCCCAAACGTTGAGTGATGAATCTCAGCCTGAAATAGACGGAACCTATGGCGCAACATAATGAAAGGTGACGCATTACCTCACATTGTCGCAGACTTCGTAAGGCAAATTGACGCACTGTATAACGTCCGTAGAAGAGCGCTCCTACCATCAAAGTTAATGAGCATATGGACAGTGCAGTACTGGAGTAAATCACGCAGCGATATCGCATTCGTCGTAAGCAAGAATGGAGGAATTGTATTTCGCATGACTTTTGTAATGGTAATGGGGTCAATTGCCACTGAAGGCTGGAAATGTAGAGATGTGAAGTGGATTGGTTGGGATATAACTGCAAAGGAGACCCGTGGTAATTTCTGTGGCCGCCTTAACCATTTTTTTATAGAAAAACAACGTCAATTTTCTGAGCATGGCCGTTCGGCTAAGGATTGCTCAAACAAAGTCTATCAAAGCCTCGAGCGGGATGAAGTAGAGAAACTGTTATGAACTGAATTCACGATAGTCATTTTGAAAATCATGCGTATCCTGCATTTGCAGCAAGTGATTGACGGATGTGACTCCAAGAAACAAAATGGGCACCTTTTGGAAACTAAGATATCAGGTGGGTCCGAAAGTTCTGTCGTTTCATTTTCAAAAATTTGTAGTTTTGCACTTTTGCAACGGATTCGCCTCATTATATTTTTATTAGAAAGAGTAAATCCTTCGCTTTCAAATGCTGCTTTGCGGAGCTTTTTTTGCACTGATTGCTGAGATAAAAATGGAAAAGAAGACCACATAAGCTTTGACCATCTTAAGTTAGATCACCAAAAATCTGAAACGCTGCAAAAAAATCTGAAATCGCCAGTACATACGTTTTTTGGCCTACTCTTTGCAACTGTGAAGAGTTTGTGCTGTTTGGACGTCTCCATGAAAAGTTATGATTTTCACGAAAATTGACAAATTAATTAATTTTGGCGTTTTCCATAGTAAACTCGATATTCATAACTTCTCACAGAGACGTCCTAACAGCACAAACTTTTCACAGATGCGAAGGGTAGGCCAAAAAACCATACTGACGATTCCAGATTTTTCTGCAGCTTACCAGATTTTTGGTGACCTAACTAAAAATGGTCAAAGCTTATATGTCTTAGTTTTCCATTTTAATCTCCGCATCTAGTGTGAAACAAAAGCTCCACAGAACAACGGTTGAAAACGAAAGACTTTTTTTTCTAATAAAATTACAAGCAAGCAAATCCGTTGCAACAATGCAAAGCTACAAATTTTTGAAAATGAAGCGACAGAATTTTCGGGCCCACCTAATGACATTGGCCACGATGGGCTCTATGAATGGGTAGTTCATCCGAAAACAATATCAATATTGGTTGACTTTGATAAACAATAATTTATCTTGGGATAAGTAAAGAAAAAAATGCAAGAAGTATGTACATCCACACTAGCTTTGGATTTATGGCGCTGGATGTAGATTTGTTTCATATGAACAATTTTGTTCATGGACATGAAAATTTTCGCCTCTATACACTCCGCGAATGCACTGTTCGGAGTTCTGAGGTGTTGTTGTCACCTTCTTGAAACAAGGTTCAAACCGTTTTCTGAACAAATCAATCTGTTATTCCTTCGGGCTTGCAGAATTGTGCCAGAACCGCGGACGTGCGAAAAGCATGAGACGCTACTATTACGGCCACCTCATGCAGAGTAGCAAGTATCATAGATTGATTTGTTCATGGAAAAAGATCTACCTGCGCTTCTAGATTGTTGATTGTATTATACAGAATGTCCCCAAAAAATGTGCCTGCTTTTGATTGTTAGTAACTTTTTTGTCGTGGAATTTTCGAGAAGAGTACTACTTTGTAGAGCTGGTTTCAACATAGATTTACTGTATGGAGCGAATTTCCGATTTCTCGTCATTACTTTACTTTAGGAATTCGCAGCATATGGTGCCACTGTGAGATAGGTCGTTCAAAAATTTTTCTCAAAAATTTTTGAAAATGTGTAACGGTCTTCACGCATGCTTACTTCACTCACACTTTTCTGCGCCTTCGCACAGCTTTTGAAATGCGTAACCGAATTTTTGACAAATATCAGAAATCGGTTGTTACGGCATGAATTATGAGGAAAACATCGCGGTGAAATGCGAGTTTCATTTTTGGAATAGGTTCCGGTCACCTTACTGTGGGGGGCCTTTAATCCTTGTTTAGGGGCAAAAAGTGACCTTCAATGACGCAAGACCCGCTTCAAATGGTCCTAATAGCAAGTGTACTAGATTTAGTGGTCACCTGAGTATTTTTAAATAATAATTCAAAGTGATATTTCAATACCTCCCCTAGTCATGCATCGAGAAAAAAATATGAATTCTCTAACATAGTTGCGTTCTTCTTTGCGTCTATATCGGCTCACATCCCTTTTTGAAAATAGATTGTACACTGCAAGTATGTTTTCTATCGTTAGAGCAGTTCAATGAAGAAGAAAAACATAAAACACCAACAACATCAAAAACATAAATTAGATTTATTTTTGAGCAGGTGCGATTCACAAAAAATACATTTCAAAGAAAAATTATACAAGAGAATAATGACGATGAAGATGGCAACAACTTGGACAGATCACGCGAAATACTTAGCGAAAAATGACTAAAATCAGATAGGAAACTGCACTCGGAACGGCGCGAAGCTCGACACCAAATAGTAAACACACACATGAAAGCTAAGTGCTCAAATGCTGCCGAGAAGGTAGTTTGATTGCGCTGTGTACAATTTTTCGAAGTCATCCGTCGTGACTATTGGCCATACTGGGATTGACTCCTAAAAGGTGAGCTTATCTTAGTCTACGGAGCAGTGTCCGAAACCTAATCCAGGGCCTCCAATGTGGATATTAAATGGGAAGCTCTACCTGATTTAATGTCCAAGCGGCAGCTCAAACGGTTTGTTTGTAGCCAAGAAAAGCAACTCTAAACTCTCGCCCAAACCGTACCCGAAAACCATTCGACCTATGAAGATTACGGTAGTGGGCGAGAATTGAAAGTTCAATTTCTCAGCCATGACCGGATCATTTGAGCTGCTGCTTGGACAATAGCTTAGTCAGAAACTCTTCACTCATTTCCACTTAGAAAGCCCGGTACTCAGATTTGCATAAATACTGTATTTGAAAGAGGAGGAATGGGGCAAACTATGTACCTTTCGAGCCACGTTGTTAGTGTCTGGATTTGAGGTGATCACCACGTAACTACATTTTTTACCAAATCTGTTCTGAATCCGATCCAGTACAGCCTCCTAAAGCATTTTTTTTGCGAGAGGATAAAATGACATAAGGACGCTTCTTACCCTTCCTGCTTTACTAGTACTGTAGATGTTTTCGATGGGTACTGCTGGAGCAAGTCCTGCCAACAGCAGCTGAGCGACAGCTGCCACCAGCGGTTCGGCACAAACGACGACGTTCGCGTACTTTTCCGATGACACCGCTGTTCTGAAAACTGATCTTGCTGAACGAGGAATTGCTCGGTGTTCAGTCACAACAGACCTTTGCGCGACCACCTCTAAACAACGTTTGGCTGCCTCGGTCCGATTGCCAAACAGTAGCTCGACTTGTCGAGATGCTTCATTGACTTCCTCTTTCTGTGACGTCATACCACATCGCTCGATCAACGCTGAGAATTACAATTTTATTCCGTCAGTTTTTATCAGCAGTATGTAAAGGGAACTTACTGTAATTGCAACCCTGAGATTCAGGTTTGAGAGCGCATTCAAGGTACAGCTGCCGAAGAGCGAGATATTTACTGGCTAAGCGACGCATCATCTCTACGCCTCCCCTGGAAAATTACAGATGAGCATTCAGTTGAATGGTAACCTTCAAGTAACGGGGTATGTGACGGGGGTAAGAGAAGACCTATTTTTTGAATAAAAAGGGTGGTGTATGCGACGTGAATGATTCCATGAAATGTTTAATTTTTGGCGCGCTTTCAAACTCACAATCAGAACTGACGGCAAGCATGGCTTCGAAGGATTTTGCACAGGTCATTTTGATTTCTAACAATCTTCAAGAGTTTATCAAGTGAAAACAATTCACTTCCACAATTCTATGACTAGTAAGGTTACTTTCGGAGATTTTGTCCCCTTCACTACATCTCTTAATCTGCCACTGTTTCGTAGAATGTGTTACGATCCAGTTTGATCTCATACAATTACTGTATGGGTTGAGCATGACGACATTTCGAAGCAGAACTTACCGTCCATCAACAAGAGCGCCATCGTTGAGGCTATCTTCCAATGCGGCATCTTCAACGTTGCACAGTTCGGATTCCTAGAACATGAGTATTCATTCTCTGGTGATTTTCAACTTTGTGAGGTTGCGAAGAACAAAGCATCATTATTTTAAGTAATGTATCATGTTAAAATATGCAGATTAAAAATGGGAAACAATTGAAAGATTTGAGCGCAGGTTTTAATATAAAATCACATAAAATAGTATAGAAGAGACGCCTTGATCAATGTAGAAGTTGGCTTACTATGGAAGTCTTGAGTGACAACGAGTGTTGAAGGTTTACTGCGGCTTTCAAGAAACAATGATGTCGCGAGAAAAGTCACTAGTCAGTACTCTCAAACCTGCAGATCTGTACGAAGAGAAGCTTTTTTGTAGTGTGCGTTATTTCTCTCATTATTTCTCTCAATCTCTCATTTTGCAAAACTTTTTCAAGCACTAATCCATATCACATTCCATGGCTGCTTTAAACTTTTTATTTTGTCGCAGTCATAATGGGCAATTGCAAAAGCCATCAGGGTGACATAAAATATAGAGTGCTACACGCTAGCATGTACATTTTCGATTTAAGAGGAGATTTTCCTCTTTTGTTACGGAAAACAATTAATAATGGAGTTTTCATCAAAGCAAGACACCTCTAAACATCGAAAATGGTTTGGAAAGGCGCATTGCGATGTGTAATGAACAAAAAGGTTGAATAGTTGATTTTTATGCATAAATACAGAAAAAGAAAATGGGCAAGAGAAGTAGTTTTTGCAAAAAAAAAGTTTAGGCATTAGAACACGTCAAGTTCAATTTGCTTATTGAGAAGTGCAAAATATCCAGTTTAGTGCAGATGAACGGATATGGAATGATGAGAGAGAAAAAGAGAAACTCCAAAACAAAAAATTTGCGCTCTGATACAGATAGAGACTCTTACTGTAATCAATCCAAGCTTAAAACTGTCAGTCCAAGTTGTTTCTGGGTGCCAGCAATTTTGCAAGCTGAAAAAAACTTACATCAAGTTGATCGGCAGGGAAAGACAGAGCGACGACCCTTGCGGCAAGGTTTTGCAACAAAGCAACAGCTCGTGAATACTGAGGAGCCTAGAAGCAGTCATTTTTCGATACATGGAGTAATCTAATTTGTAAGAAATCGTTACCTTGTGGACGACACTGTTGAGGGATGCTGTAGATAAGGTGCAAATATCATCCAGCTCCCACACGAAAACCCTAGCAAAGTGAGCGTCGCTTGGAGAACACGAGCCAGTCTTCTTTTTCTTTGCTGTTTTCCCTCCTAAATCAAAGGCTTTCAGAAGTTTGGCCCGGAGCGAATATGCGTGGGAAATCGCAGCCGGAGACTAACCTTTTTTGTCACATTTCAGTGAAAACGCTGAGAGTTCCGATGAAGCGTCCGATGAAAGCGCCGACCCCTAAAACGCATGATTTCATCTAGGGAGCAGTCCAAACAAAGGCAAAAGCACACGCAACCTACCGTATATGCCGTGGCGCCGGCCGCAAGTGCATTACCGTAGTATCCGGCACGCATGCCATTATAGTATTGTGGATTGTAAGCGGAGTAGTCGAATGTAGTCGGATATGAACTACCTGAAGCATGTAACCTAGACATATACAGAGTGTCCCAAAATAATGTGCACACTGTTTGATTTTGAATAACTCTCTTACTATGAGGTCTTTTGAGAAGCGGTAAGCGTCATTTTGTAGAGCTGGCTTCAACTTAGATTTACAGTATAGAGCGAATCACCGACCACTCTTCATTACTGTAGGATTACGGTAGAAACTTGGAACATATGGTGTCACTGTGGAAAAAGTTGCGGTTTCAAAAAATTTCAAAAAGATGTGAAAACTTGTGTAATAAGGTTTTTAGGGACGCTGAGTTCAATACTCAACTACTCTTAAGAATGCGAAGCTTTCTAAATGGTGTAACCGCACTTTTTAGGAACATTGAGAAAATGGCCTCTACTGCTCACCTCGCATAACTCTTCAGTGAAGCATCACAATAAGTTGGGAACTTTACACTTAGAATCAGCAACTCTAATTAGCCTAGTGTGAAAGTTTTCAGGCTGTTTTGATTTCTTTCTGAGGCAAAATATGGCCTTTCATGGCCCAAAACCCTCTTTCAAGTTTCTACCGTAATCCTACAGTAATGAAGAGCGGTCGGTGATTTGCTCTATACTGCAAATCTAAGTTGAAGCCAGCTCTACAAAACGGCGCTTACCGCTTCTCGAGAGACCTCATAACAAGTGAGTTAATCAAAATCAAACAGTGTGCACATTATTTTGGGACACCCTGTATAATGGCAAATTTTGTGAAGAGTACAAATTGAATCTCATTTGTCTATAGAAAGGCGTAGTTCAGTGCTAGTGAAGCTGATAATACCTGCATTTTAGCGAAGATTGGTCAACTGAAGCGGACAGAAAAGTCTATTGGTGAGTGTAGTACGTTTGCTTCATACAACCTTATTTTAGTAAAAACAGTTTGTGTCACGTTTTTTATATTTTGCTATATACTTCGCAACAGATTCAGACATTTTTGTGTCTTTGAGAGCCATCCAATCATGTTTTTGGCTCATTCTTCAACATGCTGTAGCAGCAAAAAAATCTTGGTTTTCATGTCAGTAGTTAGTTTATTTTATACAATTTCAATTTGTGAAAATGAGAAAAGCTATTTAAGACCCTGTAGTAGTGCTCTATGCAAATATCAAGTTGAAGCACAAGTTTTGCACTAAAAACTGCAAAATATTACTTGGAGACGTGTGAAAGCCGTTTCAAACTGTACAATACCTTTTTTTGTATGAGATGCACGTAGTATTTTACCCTAATCTCATTTTGAACAACATCAGAAGACAAAAAAAGTTTCAAATTGCAACTTTTCGTTGAACGTCCAATTAGTACGATTTCAGTTCACCTAGAAAATCCAATTACAACCTACAGCAAAAACAGAATTAGAGCTGTTAGATCAGAAATTTCATGACCTATAAAAAAGTAACTGGATTATTTGTTTCTACCAGCTTTGATAGCCGTGATTCTGGATCATTGTTTTAATAAGAGACTTTTGTCATTTTGATTCAATTTTTATTATTTATTATTATTAATATTATTTTTTGGGTTTTTTGAGAACCCATAACAAGATTATGGGTTATTAATATTTAGTGCGAGACTTATGCCTCAACTTAGTGCAAATGATATGGTTCAAATCGTTAAGGCTTCCTTCTAAACTGCCCCTCCCTTTCACCTCCAATCAACGTTTTACGAGTTTATCCTACCTACCTATATTGCCCTCGGATTACTGCGCAGGTTTCCGTTTTGTAAACAGAAATTGCGTAAACTGCATAAACATTCGACGGTGAGCGATAAACAAATGAAATGGTGTGTGAGAAAATGCGCGCACTTACCGTAATACGCTGACGGCGTTGCCGCACTTATTCCATAGGGAAATGAGGCATTCTGAGCCCGAAGCCCGGTTGCTACCTGAAACGAAAAATTTTGAGTCTTTCGGAATAGAACATTAATCTGCTGGATACTTCCTGTTTCACTTTTTCTTTTTGATTTCGAAAATTGCTTTCAGAAAAACTCAAACTTGTTTCATGCCTGATGACACTATCTTAGCATGATAGGTGCCGCAAATGCACACGTAGCCAGCAAGTTTACGAGAGTTTTGTAAACATCCTCAATGTTTGCTCTTCTCTTCAGGTCTCTCTATCTCTGTGCTCTCTCTTATAAAATTTTTGAGAATTTTCGGCTTTTTCTCATGTCAGCAATTTGACGACTCTAGCATCACAAAGACTGGGAATAGCAAGAGTTATCAAAATTCCAGAATTTTCGAAAATTGTTCTTTATCTGTGCAGTGTAAAAGTAGACATGAAAAGCTCAAAATCAAAGAGGTTTTCCTGGTTGAAAAACCACTAAAATGTATAAAATAGAAACCATACGATAACCTACCAGACGAGAATCATATAAACTTGTTTTATTACGTGTCACCAACAATTCCATAGTGTTTCCAAAACTCTTTTTGTGGTACAGAACTCAGCGGTAAAAGAAATATCGAGCTTTGATTGGTTGAGGGAAACCTCTCAGCAACATGTTTCTGGCCATTATGGAAACGATTAAATTTTCGAAAAAATTACGGTACTTCTTCAAGCTTTTTTTCACAAGCTCTTTCCCTTACGAACAAATTCTGGTATGAGCCCCTTTCTCTCCTTTTCCTGAATCGTCTTTTTTGGATGCTGAATGGATTTCTTGACTGAAGTCGAAATCTTACTGACCTGTTGATAGTACGAAGCAGTGGCCGTAGTTCCACCATAAACACCATAACCAGCTGCACCGTAACCAGTATTATAATAGGGATTTTGTGCTGAAACAAGAAGTTTTTACTAATCTAGGATGAAAAATAGAAGTCTTACTAAATGCTGCTGTGGGATCTGTGATTGCGACAAGACCAGTGGGTGCTGGCATATCCTTCGTTGTGTCTGGAAGTATTGACCACACCGATGGCGTCACGACGTCTGATCTTAATTTGGAGATAATTAGAACTCGGGAGGGAGTGATTGGAGTGGGGAGGGTCATAAAGCAAAAATTTCGAAGAGAAAGTTACAGATAAACCAATTCAGAGTTCAAAACAATCAATAGGTATTACATAAGGAAAATGATGAGAGGAATATTTGTATTTTGTCGATTCGCAAGAGTTTTGGGGACATGATTTTTCATTTATGTGCTGCATTGGAAGGAGGTTTCTTTTCGTTTAAAAAACCGGGATGTGGAAAAAAGTTCTTCGCACGTGCTTTCTATGGCTGGGAGTGAACGCAGATCCCCCTCAACCCAATCTCAAACAGAAGCTAGGAATGGAAGTCTACATAAGGCGGCTAGCAGCTTGCACAAATACAGCTTGTACTACTACGTTAAGCAAACAGATGCCATCTGGACGGAGTACGAGTTGATGGCTCTTTGTTAACGACAGGGTCACACGTCTCGTTCGTATGTTTCGGCACATAATAAAGGCCAATTGACAGCGGGAGTGAGAAGTATATACGGAAGGAACTCAAATGTATCGGAAGTTGAAAACAAAGTGGTAGCGTACAAGCAGAAGCAGCCATACAAGTTCGTTAAATACAGAGTATTCGAAAAGTGACCCCCATTTGATCGTTAATTACTCTCTTGCAAATTTGTCACTATGGGTCCTAATGTAATACTTCAAAGGGCGTTTCACTTACGCAGTAAAGAATTGAGGAATCATCTCTCCTTATCAAATAATATTTAACTGAAATAAAGAATAAGAATAAAAATCGCTTCAGGATTGCAGTGACGACATTCACAGAGAATTTTGGGGAAACTAAGTGCAGTATTCATGAAAACTATATGGACTGTTATCGTGTAAAAGTGGTTCAATGCAGACGATATCCCTAATGTACGAGAAATTCGACTGAGGAGAACGATCGAACATTTTTTTGCAGAGGGTGAACTTTCACCATGATTTTCTAGGAATTTATAAAGCAGAAAGCTTACGAAACTGATTGAAAATTTGCAGTGATGAGTTGTCTGAAGATAGAGGATACTAACATGTTTATTAAATAATAAATAACATTTGTAGACAAATAGTTCAGGAATATTGATGAATGGATCCAATTGAATCAGTGACTTTTTCTGATATTTGTAGGCTTGCAAAAGGAAATTGAGCAAGCCATATGTGCGTTTTTTTCATTCCGAGATAGGCGTCTAGTGGTGTTGACTAGTTGCTCTTCCCTCCATCAGATTAAGTCTCAGATAATCGAAGTAGCTGTTGAATACTTATTATTGTTCAGCTGGTTCGCATCATATAGGTTACTGATTTGGTAACAGATTTGATTTGGTAACATGTAATCATATAGGTTACTGATTTGGTAACATGTAAATTCAAAATGACTTCAAAAGATTTGAATGTGGGACGAGTCAAACAATGATAATTATTCTTTGGAAACACGTTTACGTCCATTTTCTATGCTGTCTTTCACTCTCTATTAGAGCTGATGGAAACTAACTAGCTCGAGCTTTGTGCAAATTGATTGCGGATGTAAATCTTGCCAAACAAATGTCTCCAATAGAATGAAAGAAAGCAAAAATGGAAGCGCAGAGAAATGTCCAATCAAGTGTTGGAGATGACTGGATTGGAGATATGAAGAGTAAAATGGATGACTAAAACAAATTAGATAGACTTTTCAGGTTCGCGAGAGAATAAAGACAGAGTGCCTCATTTTCGCGATGAGAAGTGCAAACAAAACTCACGTTGTACCGTCGGTAGCGCTGAGAAACCGCGATGGCTTGATCTGAAAAGCGAAGGTTGTCGGAAGTGCTTGCCTTTTGTAGGAGAAGAGCAAGGATGCACATGGAAAGAGCAGCAATCAATGCGCACAATGGCTTTGCATAATGGCCGTATCTAATTGGGCTTTGCTTGCTGCTAAATGCTGCGCAAATTGCGACGCATCGGCGGAGGCGGCGCAGGTGCAGCGCTACGGGGGGTACGGTATGCGCGCGGGCACTTGAGTGTGTGGCTAAGACGACGTGTCGACCTCAGCACGATCGCTGAGACCACTTCGCAGCGCCGTTGCGTCACCCGGATTTACTGCTTACTGGGTAGCAGATCAACACGTGGGCCTCTCGTCTGGTCTAGCCAAGTAGGGTCAAACGTCATCAATGACAGAAACCAGTACGACTGGTCATGGGCGAAGGTAAATTTTTTGGGGGGGGGGGGGGGGTCAAAAGTAAAGAGAATATGGCACAAGGCCGCGATCAAGTTATATGATGCGCAATCAACACAAGAAGGAAACAAAATTTTTTTTCATTGTGACGTTTACCCAAATAAACTTTATGAAAAGCAACATTTAGAAAAAGAATCTCTGCTTTGGGTTTTTGTAAGTTGAAAACGATTAGACTTCCCTTGCAGAAGTGAGATATTGTTAAATCTCAAACAGGTCCTAATGATTATTCTGAAACAGTTATCAACCCAGAAAATTCTTTTCACTGGAATTGTTTGACGACTCGTTCTCAGAATCTAGATGCCATCCTGTTCAAGGTCTTCATCAATGAAAAGTCAAAGGGCAGGACTGGGACTAGAAACTCTCCAATAAGGTGAGCCCATTGCCTGACAGTCACAATCTTGTAAAAAATTTTTATTTATTGCTATAACTGGAAGAGTCACTTATAATCTTTTGGATCAAAAATCAAAAAACGACCAAGTTAAAATATTTGAGAGCTGCTACAGAATGATCAGCTGAATAGGATGAAATGGATGCTGCGTGAAATGATTGTTCATTTGCGAAATAATAACCCTGATTAAGTTTCTCAAAATTGTATAAATATCAACAAAAGTACTCAATGCAACTTCACCGCTTGTTTTGAAAATTTGAAAAAAGCGAAAGCATCCATTGCTTTCTTCACGGCGTTTCCATGCCCTTCCAGAAAATTCCGAGGATCTTTTACATTTCGCTACGGCCGAATTTGGTAAAAAGAAAAAGCTGCTTATGTACAAGTTGCTTACAGAAGTTCCAGTTTGGGAGATACTTTTGATAAGATAAAGGTAAATCGCAAAGATAGCTGGCCGTTTTGGATAGCTCTATCCTAAATCACACTTTTTATGTTCTCATTTAAAAGTTTATTAACACAGCCAATTATAAACTGATAACCCAAAGCTAGTTTCGTTCCCTGTTACGGACGACCCCCCCCCGCAGATCCGGAGCTGGCATCCAGTCTGATATGCAACTTGAGATCCGCATGCATTACCCACTCAAGAGCAGTGGATGGAGGCAACGCAAACAGAACCATGAAATAGCCAAATATGGTAAGCTCCTAGATTACGAGACCAGTGGCTAACATGGGAAAATATTTGCCCTGGCCAGTGCAAGGAAGCTAGTAGGGATCACAGAGAGCATATAATTAGAGGTATAGCTTCCTATGTAGCCATCCACGATGAGGTGTTACACTCGATAGTTTACAGATTGTTCTTTGAGCGGTCGGTGGTTCGAATTTCAAACGATGCACCGCAGGGTCAGCCAGGCGGCTAAGGAATTTTTACATACTAACCGGCTACTTTTTGGACATTTCCAGATAGCCGGGGGATCCCAGCGCTTCCTTCCCAGACTAGCTATGCTCTCATGAAGTTTGTGCATTTGAGCTGATTAGGCGACACCTGCCACACGGCGCTCGAGCTTCGGTTCGGATTTCACTTCGAACGCGCATAATTAATGATGCAACCAGAGTCAACATCAGGTCCCCGGGATCGCAGACCATCTTGCTTCTGTTACGTTAGGCCCCGGTCAGACTTCACGCGACTTAATCGTCGCGACCAAATCGCCAAGATTTCCATTCATTTTCATTTCACATTCAAAAATTTCGGGCTGGAAAAGTATCACAACCGATGCAAGTTGATCGGCATGGAATGATGTTGTAACAGTTGTCTCGTCGCGATTCAGTCGCGACGATGGAATCGCGTGAAGTCTGTCCGGGGCCTTAGGTGTTTGTGACCCAAGAGGAACACGAAATTGGGGCTTGGTGAAGGTTTCTTTGTATAATAATTAGGAGAAAGGCTTTTTGAGAAATCTTGATTTTTGATTTTCTTCTGACAAGATGTGGAGCAGGATTGCGAAAATCGCCACCTGAAAGTCCCTCAGTGATCTTCATGGAACTCGAATTATATCATCAACACAACTACTGAGTAAACATTGGCTTCATTTCGGCGCCATTTGATAGACGACGTCTACTCATCATCGAAATTTGAAAAAGCTTAGCGATTTGTCACTCTTGTTTAAAAATGTGAAATTGACAATTTCGTTACTGATTCAAAACCAAACAAGTGCTATGACTAATTGTGTATTCACAGAATGAAGGAAAAGTTTATTTACCTTTTTTTTTCAAAAAAATAGTTTATTGGCAAAATCGGAAAACTAGGATAACTTACTCAGTTTATACGCTTCTGCGCTCAGTAAATTACTAAAAACTACATTGGGGAAAGATACAAGTGCTTTACAAAAGTTTTCCTTCTATAATCTTAGTTCCTCAGGAGTGATATGTACTACGTTTACCTACAATTTCAGAGGAGCGAGTGATTAGATTGAAGAGGGTCACACACTTCCTAGTCAAGATGTGTACTGTTTCTAACTTTTTGAAGCATAATTGATGCAAAAAATGTTATCGAAATCCAGAATATTCGCAAAATTTCTGAATTTTTCGGGAAGTTACCAAATTAATATGACTTCCAGCAGATTGTATTACCTCATCCAAGGATAAATGGTTTACATTACGCTCTCTCAAGAGTTGTTTATTCAGAGGGATTTTGCGGGATGGAAATAAAAAAATGTGAAGCTTTTCAGGGCTACCAGCAAATTTTATGTTTTCAAGATTTTCATGAGTAATATTAACAGGTTCTTCTTCTTTTTAGTGCCCTAGTTGTTCGAAAGAAGTGGTTCGTTGCCAACACGTAATGTCATTTTGGTACAGAAGTATTTCGGATTCATTTTATACGCTGATTTCACTGATGTCATTTGCCATCGCGATACCCCTAAATCACATCACCATTTGGGACCACTATCACCCAAATTTCACCCCTGAGAGGTGTCATTTTTAAAACCGGAGGGGAGCCGTGACCCGACGAGTTGTTCGGTCGATATCGGCTTGTTCTCGAGAAGCATTGTCACCTGCGCGATCAATATTTGTTCTCGGCCGCTCGTGCGCCGCCAGTCCGACTTCTCGCGCGCCAATCACACGATGATTACGGTAGCGCCTCGGCAATGCATCAGGCCAAGGGGAATTTCTCTGAGCAGAAATGACTAGTCTGCAACTCTCACATGTATAGATACTCTTAATAACGTAAACATCGGGTTGGGAAATGAGCCTTGACGAAAAATCCTAAAAATGCCTAAGGATGTTTGAAGCAGAATCTCAACAATCATATTTTTCTGTTGAATGAATGTTATAAAGCCGTATTTGATTTATTAGGATTGAGGATTTGATTTTTAAAGAAACCAATCAGAAAACTGAAAGCTTCTCATTACTGGCACGAACTTTCGATTAGCTCTAATTTGTATAATCAAAAGAGTAAGTCAGAAACCAAAATGAACCAAACGAAACTGGATCTTAGCCTACTAAACTAATTGTGATCCTAAACACTTGAAAAACGAAAATAAGTTTTGGCCGGGAAATAGTTGCTAAGAGCGTTCCTTTCTTATCAATGACTACGGAATGACATGAAAGTAGTGAAAAACGAAAAATCTACTCAATGAAGTCATTGAATATAACAGCTTCTCTTTTCCTGTTGCCAAACGTGAATTTAGATCGATTTTTCGAGGAGACGTAAGATGCAAAATATGATAATATCTATTATTTCTTGCAATAGAGTTGTGAGGTTTCTCAATCTTTACGTTGAGTTTATTTTATGCTGAAAGTGGAAATGACCAAATTCCATTAAATCTTATAATTTTGAACATGAACAGCTCAAAAGACGTTGTTTTTGTATTTAGTCAAGGAGGATGCGTATCTTCAAAAGAAGTAAAGTCGAAAAGAGTTGAGGTGATCAACTTGTGATCGTTATAGTAATTACATTCAATTCTCGCTGCTCAACAGTGAATTTTCTCTCAAGGGTGCTCTGGCGATTTCTACAGGAAGTACTAAAGATTCGCAGTGATCTCAGGTGCTTGAGATGTGAGATGCTTTTGGCTCCTCGATCTAACAACAATTTCGTTTTTACATTTCTCATTTATTATGCTCGAAATGTTTCAAACAGAATTCTCAGAAAGAAAACCACAGCTTGTATGAGGAACTGCAGCACCCTGCCTGTGTCTAGTTCCTCATCAGGCTTGCATGACAAAGAATAAGAGAAGACTTACGTGATTAAAGTTTTCGATGTTCGAATAAAAATTTGTATTTTGATTATTCTACCTTCTCTTCTCCAAAAGTAGCCGTACATGTGCTTGTCAGAAAAAAAATCTAAATCTAGCGAAGCGAGAGACAAGGCTATCTGTTTATATGGGGCTTGGAAAAGACTAGTGATATTGTTATAAGAAGCATATGCCATGAAGAGTTGAAACAGATATGAGTGCGCAATGGCCAGCTCACCTTGAAGAAGCGTACAGATGTTTGACTTTCCTCCAAACTAGCCCGAGTTGTGTTTACAAGGAGCTCACACACAGTCTAGCACTGTAGAGAGATACTGGTAGACAAGACTGAGGAAGAACTGAGACGCGCACTTGGGGAGTTTTTATGAGTATCAATTTCTCTTGATTTTTGAAGTTTCATTAACGTCGAAATCAAAATGTGCGCTTTCGTTATGCGCTACAGCGATCTGCGCCCACCACGCGCAATTGCGCAAACCCACCTAACAGCCTGTGTCGTGACGTAGTACTCACTACAGCGAACATGGCAACATAGACGTCGTGACAACGATGAAGTACCGATGCCGCGAGTCGAACGTCACGGCGAGAACGACGGAGGTATCAGTTTATGGGCGAAGTACGGGGAGCGAGACCCGTCGCCGGGTAGGGTTTCATACGTATCAAATGTTCTCCGACGCAGGCACTTCGCGCAGGATCACTGCCGAAGTCGGCGTCTTTCTAGCCGACCGCTGCGGGTGGCTGGCTATTCACTCGCGCAACACAGCGTAAACTCGAAGTACTTTCGAAAGACTTGAACTCACCTCTGAATCCGTCTGATGCAGCATCCTGTGAGCAGCCGACTGGCCTGACGCTCGTTCTCATGCAGCCAGCTGGCACACTCGCCGCGCTACCGTAGTCGTCCGCGGCACGCTCCGCCCCGCGTCGCAGACGTTGACGCAGACGTTGCGCAGCTTCCGTTGCGCTCATGGCATCCTTTTGGGGTCATTCAAGGCCAAAATGAGGAATCATAAGTGTGAACATGAGCTGGGGCAGAAAAAGCAGCTTCTTTTATCGCGAGGATATTCTATACGCTTCCTCGCAAACGTATCCGCTCTCATTTCGAGGGCTTTCTCTGCTTTTGTGTGGTAGTTCTTCGGACTGATCATCTGCGTAGCCAATGACTATCGATTGCTGGGTACTGTGGCTTTTTCGACAGTTACCATTTCTCGCAAATACATACTGTCGTATCTTTTTTCGCTCTAAAACCATTCCGACTCACATAGATCCTTTTAAATTATATACGAAACCGTGTGCTTTCTATTTCTTTACTTTTCTAGTAAATTCTTGAACAAACACCATTAGCGAAAGCATGAGCAATGACCTTTAGTACATCCATCGTCCCCAACACAAAACCACGGCTGCTTCGGTCAATATCGCCTCCGGGCGAGCACCGTATGCTTTCGGTTCGAGCAAGAGACGGGCGGTGCATAACAGCGCTCAAACTATCGGATTTCATCGGGGAGCCATTTGCGTTTTTCTCTACGCCTCCCTCCGTCTCGTGCATCGATTCCATTTTCAGAGCCTTGCCCCTCACTACTATATGTACCTTGTCCCCTTGAAATGTGTTATATTTGCCCCCGCTCTCCGCTATTTCCGCGCTTAAAGACAGCCTTATGTGTTCAAAGACAATGGCATTGAAACCGTGTTATGGGGTTTGGCAGAAAAAGGAAAGATTTCTCCTTCGTGGCGCTTGCAGTCAACGATGTTCTAGAAGAAAAACTTCACACGTTTGGGTAGTCGTAAACGAAGGTCTTCCAAAAAATACACGGATAAGAAAGCAATAATCAGTATTGTTTATCAGCAATCACGGGTCACACCAGAAGACTACGATAGAAATCATATTTGTTTATTCACTTGTCTAGAGTAGGGGAACTGTCTAGAGTAGGGGAACGCTACGGACCCGGAGCTTCGTGCCCACCTGTTCGACTCAACCGTTCTCCCAGCGCTCTGCTACGCAGCTGAGACTTGGGCCGACACCGTAGCCACGTCGAAAGCTTTAAGGACCACCCACAGAGCGCTCGAGCGAAGTCTTCTGAAGATGACCCGACACAAGCAACATCTAGTCGGACTTCGCAGCACGGATATGAGAAGAATGTCCCGTCTTCGTGACCCAGCGGAATACGTTGCGAAAGCGAAACACCGATGGGCCGGTCACATAATGAGAAGAACGGACGATAGATGGACACTAAGAACATCTGAGTGGATTCCTCGCGAAGCCAAACGTCCTCGAGGAAGACCACCGACGAGATGGGCAGACGTGTTCGTGGAACGGATGGACCAGCTGAGAAATCAGCTGGATACGATTCTTGCCCCTGGAACTCGTGGACGCAGCCACCGACGACGACCAAGAAGATCGTGGATGTCCGAAGCGAGGGACAGGGATCAATGGCGACTTCTGTACTGGGGCCCGCACGTCACGTGAGGACGGGCCATCTAAGTATCTAAGTAAGTAAGAGTAGGGGAACGAACTCCGCCATTTAAACCGCCTCCGCGGACTCCTGGTCCTGCAATGACATGCAGCAATACTGCAAAAAGGACCAGTTGCCAGCGAAGGCGGGCTCAAACTAGCGGAGTTCGCTCGCCCACCCACCTGTCTACAATACCCCTTATAGTTCTTGTAAAAAAACGCCATTGTCATCGGAGTTTTTTAGAAGCGGCATTGTCATTGCCATCGTAGACTTGTAGACGAATTCTGATTTCAGGGGTACCATTCACCTCAGCTCGACGCCGCTTTCTTACTAGATCTGCCTATTTAAGTACTGTAGATATACGGTAGGGTAATTACTTCTGAGCAGCAGCTTTTATGCGACATGTCAGCATCTATCCTGACTATCCCACCAAGTACTGTCTGTCTACCGCATGATGCGCAGGTTAAGCTGTTACAATTTAATTGTATTCAAATTGCTAAATTCAAAAAAAAGAACTCTCGCACTCTGAGATATGGCGATGCGACGCGAATAGCGCTACTTTTGTGACAATGACAATAAAATTGCTTTATTAGGGCCATATACCTACTGGCCAGTGGCGTACCGAGGGGGGGGGGGCGTGGGGGGGGGGGGGCGTGGGGGGGGGCGAAATTTTTGAAAGTTACTTACATGAGTTATAAAAATGTGCAAATGACTTGTTTATTTTTGTAAACAATTAAAATAATTTTTAAAATTTTTTAAAAATTTAAATTAGCCTTATAAAAAATTTTTTTCGGGGGCGTGGCGGGGTTGGGGGCCCGCAAAATTGTTGAGAAGCCCCCTAAAAATTTTTCGGAGTGCGTGGCTAACGCCACGCACCTTCATTTGAAAAATTTTATTGCCGCGCCCCCCCCCCCCCCCGAGCCGAAATCCTGGGTACGCCACTGCTACTGGCTACTGGCCGAAGATGAACAGCTGCTTATAATCACAATTAAATTCGATATGAGATCGTTTACAGTAGAATAATTACAGAACAGAGGGAAAAGTGTTGGTTGTTCAAAAGTGATTGAATAGGTTCGATAGAGGACTTCTTCTTTGAAGGTTTGGAAAAGCTCAATATTGTAGCTTTATCTTACGTAGCCGTATAAGCAAATGTTCTTAGAAAGCCAGTCTTCGTTCGCAAATTCTTTCAGCAGCAGTTATTTGATTTTTTTTGCAAGCTCACTTTCTGTTCCAGTAAATAATAAAGTTCGTAGCCCTCGAAGACCGGAGCATGCATGCGAAACTGCGCTGAGAAAGTTTCCAATAAAGGTGTCACGGCGATATTATTGTCAATCTTACAAAGCATGTCAACTTTTCAGTTTGTTAGAAATTATGAATTGACATGCATAATATCCCAGCATTCATTTGTTACATAGAATGCTCTCAAATGTTACCTAGAACCTAACACGACTGCGTTTTGTTTTCGTTCGAATTCGCTAAGACGGAGTTCTTTAACCACAATTTGTAAATTTTGTCATATGATTTAGCTGTTATGAACAATTTTGGCTTGTAGAGTTTATTGAGCTCAAAATCTGCATTGTCAATGCTCTCGACGAAGAATATGATAGGTTGTGTTGCTAAAGGAAACTTTAATGCACAAATGATTAAGAGACTCTTCTTTCCAACTATCTAATCTTCTTGCAACACCAAGACATCGCAGGGTAATTTATAGACTGATGTCGGTTAAATAATTCAGTTTGACACGCAAACACGAAACTCCATAAAAAACTTTGCATTGCTGTTATTCGGCTGTTCCTTTCGAAAAGCCGCTTTCAGTTCATCACCACTTCCGTACACCACCCTACATCGGAAAAATTCGTACTCAGTCAGAGTTTATTATCTTATCTTCCTAAATTATGTTACATATCACCAAAAAACTGTCGTATTTCTAACAACCGTCGAAATTCTACATAGCAAAGAAGTCTCACTGCAAAGAAGTATGCAGTCTTTATGTCGTTGATGCAATCCGTCAACGCTTTTGTGAGCACTCATAATATTCTTTTTGCATCCCATATTCGCACTAGAACAACTCCAGCCTGAATTTGAGATGACAAAATTAAGGTCGTATCGAAGCTACTCATTTGTTTTTTGAGATTGAATTGCTAAGATCTTGCAAACCAGCTCTAAGGTAAAAGCGTTTCCACAGCTACTTTTTAGTTTTAGACTCATATTCATGTAACATAGTATGTCAAGACGAAGCTGACGAGATGATGGTCCCTTTTAAAATTAGGAAGCAAGAGTTGAGCAAGCATGGTAATCTAAACAAGCAAAATAATCTACCAGATCGTTCCCGAAAATTTTAAATAAGGACAACACTCCGCGGTACAAAGATTTTTTTGTCTATTTACATCAACAGTTAATTCCCGAAAAAAATCTTAGTCAATAAATACACTCTGGACTTATATAATCGACCTTCGGGGCTACTTTTAAGAACTAGATCTATTCCATTGGCAGCAAGCTTGCGGACGACATCTAGTTATCCTGACCCAGAAAAAAAACTCTTTTTCGGAGGAGCAGCAGTATTAGATATGAAACATGGATCGCCATACTAAGAATTTTATGTGTAGAGATCAAAAGAAAATGAAAGGAAAAATACATCAACTAGGAAATAAAAAAGGACATACAAAAAAGCTAAGCGGTCATTTAAATATCTTGAGAAAGTAGTCTAAGGCTCATTCCCTGCTTTGATTATGCCTTGTGAAAAAAGAGACATAGAATTGTTTGTTTGACCCTAAATAGACCTGAACCCATGTACTTTGGTTAATAATATTGAAATTATTAGGTGGGAAAGAAAAGAATGTCGTTCACAGCAAAGCGACAGGAGGAATCGGAAAGAATATATGAAGAGTGTCGTTCGCTAGAGCAAAGCAAGCTCTACAAGATGGCATCCGAACATTGGCTTGAATCGTGGTTTACCCACAGTTCAAAGCCAAACATAAAAGCAACTCATAGCGCCAAAAACCGGATTTTCGCTCTAAAAATCCCACAAACCTCTCACTTGCTCCAGGGTATAGCAGGCACATGCAATCATCCATTTATGCACTTACCATATTTTTGTCGCGACTGGAAATCAGGAAAGGGAAACGAAAAATGGCAGACTCTGCCCCTAGTAGTCCTGGGCTCCGCCAGTATATGAAGTTGTGTACTAAAAACCTTCGAGACGTTAATCATGGACTGGGGCTTCGATATGCTCTGGTTCTTGAGAAAAACCAATTTTGGGAACCGAAGAAAGCGTATTTTTCTTTCCAACCTAACAGACAGCACAGAAAAAAATTTGCATTCAAGATTGATTTTCTTAGTTAGAATCTTGTGGACGAGATTTCAATCGTAAGTTATTC